TTGTCCATATATTTTGTGGATGTTGTGTTTTAATGTTTTTTAAATTGTTTTATAATTTTAGAATTGTAAGCCACCCAAGTCACTTCACATCCTTTCTTCTTGTGATGAATTGTGAGGTAGCGGCAGCACTAACCTGCACAGGCACCTGTTCCAGTCACTGCACAACCTATTGCTCTGGGGATCCTTTCAGAATAATACCTGAATCAGTATCCAGTGATGTCAATGTCACTTTGGAAACTCCTTGAAGAACTGGAAGGTCTTCTCCTCGCCACCAGCAGAGGAGCTTTTAGGAGGCTTCTTTTATAATAAAGATAAAAGCTTTATTGTGATATAACATCCATCTGTTGGAAGGCAAACTGATGAGGCTGCTCTGTGCTACCATCTTTCCCCACAGGGAATTATCATCCTCTAACTTATCTTTGTCTTTTTGGGGGGGACAAGCAGGCATAAGAACCATGGTGGTGCAGTCATTAGAATGCAGTATTGCAGACTAACTCTGCCAACTGCCAGCAGTTTGATTCTCACTGGCTCAAGGTTGACTCAGCCTTCCCTCCTTCCGAGGTCAGTAAAATGTCAACCCAGATTGTTGGGGGCAATATGCTGACTGTAAAGCACCATGAAGAGGTATATAAGTCTTAGTGTAATTGCTATTGCTGTATTAACCAATGAAGTGCTACTCTTCAGCCGCTCACCTTTTCTTATTGAAAATATCTCAAGGCCAATGAAGAGTCTAATGGCTTTCAGGGAAATTTGATTTGGAAAGTCAGTGGTTTGTATCAGCATGGTCTTAAACCACTTGGTTTAAAAATTTAAACAGAGGGTAGAAAGAGATGGGCAGGCCTGAAAGAGGATATCTGTGGACATATAGTACCCATAGGATCTATATCAGGGACTCTTAGTCTAGTGGAACCTGTTAAGGTTTGTAACCCATCCATTTTGTAATTTGCAAAAAGAAGAAAACAGAATTTAAATACTGTGTTTATAAATCTTACAAATGAATGTAAACAACATATTTCACCAATACAGTTCAAATTTTGAACATATAATAAAGTCTTCTGAGTCAAGTTCAGCTTCTTGTGATCTCATGACCACAATCATTTTTCGTGCAATACAATGGTTTTCATTTCCTTCTTTTAAGATTTTTTTTTTTTAAATTCCCAGCATAGTCTTTAGCACTGACATTTTTGGGTGGTCTCCCATTTAAATACTAATGAGGTCCAACTCTCAATAAAATCTGTCAGGAGGTTGGGTATCTCTTTTAATGCACTCCATGTATTATTAGTGCCTGACCCCCAAGAACGCCTTTTTATACCCTTTGCTGTATATTTTTGTTAACTCAAACACATACATTGAAGGTATATTTTTCACTCTTTCCCCATGTAGTTCCATCGCATCCTGTGTTATTCAAAGGTCGCTCACCCCTGAGTTTGCTTAGAGAGCAGGGAGATGAAGGATAGAAAACTTTTCTCTTATGAATAACTTTAACATTTTAGAATGTAAACTGCTGAGTCTAGTAATTCATAACATGGATTAAAATAAGCACAGATCTCTTTTAAAAGCTATTTTCTCACTTTGTTGGCTAGAGATTAAGAGATTTGAAATCCAACACATGGGGGAGCTATCAAGTTGGGAAAAGGAACTTAAAAGTTTATGATCCAGTGTTCTGGGATCTTAAATTTTAAGGTTTAAAACCTCAGTCACAGTTAAGAAGATGCACGACATAGCCATATATTTTCTATTGTTCCCTAAGAGCTTGTAAACACTTTTAAGATTTGTCTTTCCAAACATAAAAAGTACTCATATTTTATATTTTATGTGCCAGGCCTTCAGCCAGGCTCAATGACACAGCTCCATTAAAACTGTCAAAAAGAGTATTGGCCTGAATTTGTATTTTTAAGACATTGGCATCAATTTTACCAGATAAATCACATTTATGAGGCAGGGCAATAATATAAAAGATAAAACAATACAAACATCATAAGAGGCCCTTGACATGCAAAACCACAATGTACCCAATGTGGAATTTTTCTGAATGGCAGGGCCTAGGTTCTTTTCCCCAAGACATCCTTGGCAGTTATTGGTCTTCATTATAATTTACTAACCCTTACCAGAAATACAAGTTCCTATAACTCAGCAATATGCCACATGTTTTGCATTCAGAGAGTTTTGATTCATCCTTCATAATTCCAAGGCACGTTGAGAAACATTTTCCTTGAAACCTGGGCCTTTATTCATACAACAGTCTAAACCACACGCTAGTCAACCAAATTTTGGCTTAATATACTGAGTCTATTTATTAGATTTTTATCCTGCCCTTATTATTTCATAAGTAAAGCATATCAAGGCAGCAAACATAGTTAATACTCCTTCCTCTTCCTGTTTTCCCAACAACAATGCTGTGAAGTGGGTTGGGCTGAGCGTGACTGGCCCAAAGTTACCCAGCCAACTTTCATGCCTAAATCAGGACTAGAATTCATGGTCTCCTGGTTTCTAAGCCATCACTTTAACCACCAGACCAAACTGGCTCTCTAGATTAACTGTCTGGAGTTAATCCAGCCTATGTTGTTAGCATGAGACAATGGGTGTCATGAATTAATGCAGTAAAACATGGTGAAGTTATCCATGGGTAAGCATATCATGTGAAGGTAGCACACAATCCTAAACTGTGGTTTAGTTAAATTTCAACTACCTGCATAAACATACTAAATCTGGGGTGTCAAACTTGCAACCTCACGTGACGTGTCATGACGTATCGCGACTTTTTCCCCATTGCCGGCAGGTTTCGGCATGACGCATCCAGCTCGCAGGCCAGCAGTTTGACACCCCTGTACTAAACCATAAACCATGATTTACTAAAAACAGTATTTGTGCAATTCACTAAACCAAGAGCTGAAAAATACTTTACAGGTTAACAGAATGTGAAACCAAGTTGGCAATGTACTAGATGAGCTGTACACTCTAATGCATGCCAGCTGGGGAACTCTGGCAGTTGAAGTTAGATCTTGAAGTTGCTGAGATTGAGAAATTCAGGCAGTCCTCGATTTAGGACCACAGTTCAGCCCAACATTTCTGGGTTAGTAAGTGAGACATTTGTTAAGTGAGTTTTGCCCCATTTTACGTCCTTTCTTGCCACCATTGTTAAGTGAATCACTGCAGTTATTAAGTTAGCAACACAGTTGGTAAGTGAATCTGGCTTCCCCATTGACTTTGCTTGTCAGAAGGTCGCAAAAGGTGATCACGTGACCCCAAGACACTGCAACCGTCATAAATATGAGTCCAAGCTTCTGAATTTAGATCACGTGACCATGGGGATGCTGCAATGGCTGTGTGAAAAACCATCATAAGTCACCTTTTTCAGTGCCGTTGTAACTCTGAATAGTGCTGTTGTAAGTCGAGGACTACCTATACTGTTATATTGAATTAATTTAAAGCATTTCTTATATTTCTGAGTTTCAACTTATTGTTTCCTCAGTTTTTATTTAAGACAGTTAGCCAAATGCTACTCTCCCCTCAGGGAAGCTACCATATACCAACCGGTATCCAGCCGTAAAGAAAGCCATGTTCTTTTAAGGTTTAATTCTCCTCCTGCTGCCCCAAAGGGGAGACAACAGAGGCCTGGTCAAAGAAGACCAACTTCTCAGGAACTGCGTCCTGCTCATTTCCCTGACATCACAGCCTTCATCCAGCTGGCTTCTGGTTAGGGAGAACTGTCATCAATCTCAGTAGAGAACACTGGACCCAAATCAATCCATTAATAACACTGTTAGCTGAGTGACCACAGCTGTAAAGTCAAGCAGCTGGATGGCGGAACAAACATCAGGCTGAGCACAGCTATGGAATAAGAAAAATCCTTGTGGATCTATTCCCGCATTCTACTTTCCTTAGCATTTAATGGGGAAGTGGAGAAGGGGGTCAGGAAGTTCTGTGGGGTTGGATGCCCACGGATTCACAGCATAAAGAAAACCCCAAAAAGAAACAATCCCTAGCCTGCTTCTCTTGGCTCTGTTCCGACTCATTATTGAATTCAAGCTGTCCAGATTATGCACGTGAGAGACGCAGTTCTTGGTTGATTCCTCTGGCTTTAGTATGTTAGTCCATGGAAAAAGCATCCTCCAATCAGGGGAGTACAGTAGGATTTTGGGGTCGGGGTGCAGGACTCTGTCATCTCTAGACTCCTTCTTGTGCCCCTCCTTCAACACTCCAGACCAGCACTGAAGAAGCTTCTTGGATAAGAAACAAAACATTCTCAAGGAAAATACCAAGCAAGTCCATTTGCCTTTTGGAAAGGCACCTTTGGTTCCTCAACCAAAGGCAACTTTAAGATGTGTGGACTTCTTTTTTAAAAAAAAAACAAACACCACTTTTTATTAATTTTCCAATGTTACAATTATATCCTTTGAAAAGCAACGTGATGTCTGAGTTACAATAATTCCATTACATACAAATGTACATACAAAGGTTAGATAAAGGTGATTAAGACATATATATGTTAAGAGTGATATAACGTATAGGTCAATATTGGAAGAAAGATTCGTTGCCTACATTAGAAGAATGGACACTTAAGGTTTCTAACTTAGCAGAAATGGCTAAAATTTCTGCTTATTTAAAGGATCATACACAAGAAAGATATATTATGGCATGGAGAAGATGGATAGATTATATTCAGATTAAATATGGAACTAAAAAATTTCATTTATTTTATGATTAAATTTTAATATGTATTATTAATAATATTTCACAATGGGAATTAATTAGTTTATTTACTGTTTTAAAGGTTTATATAATACTCGTTTAGAAAATGGATTTGTTTATAATGTTATTAAAGTTTAAAGGGAGTTAAGGGTTAAGCATGAATTTAATTGTTCTATAAATTGTTAAATTTAATTAGATTATGTTTAACATATTTGTTAAATTTAATTATGTTATGTTAATATGTTTGTAATACCCTGTAGTCGGCTCTGGGAAGTGGGGGGGGGGTAGGGGGATGGGGATGGGTGGGTAAGTGGGTGTATTTTGTTATTAATAAAACTTTTTAAATAAAAAAAAAGAGTGATGTAACATCACTAACATGTTTTGATGTAGTGATAAGAATAAAAAGTATAAGCTTAAGTATGAGAAAGTGGACATAAGGAAGAATGCTGGAATGGGAGAAATTTTGGTTATTGAATCTATAATATTTGGAAATTATAATGAAAATAAGAATATTATATTGTATTACTAATCTGTTGATATAGAAGTGAGATAGATAAGATATGTATCCGGAACACTAGATGCTGGGGGGAATTGTGACAAAGGGAATCAGGTCATTTAAAAATTTGGAAATGATAAATATTAAATGTTTAATTTAAATATCAATGCAAAATTAAAGCTGGGAAAATTCATAAGGTTATTGATGGTCCAAAAGATGGAATGTTAAAATAAATAAGACATATAAAATTATTGATAAATGCAAGAAAGCTATTAAGTAGCTGATGGATAGAATAAGAAATATATTAATTTAAACAAGAGACAGTATGTATTAAGGGAAAAAAGAGAGGGAATATTGGCTTAATAGTTGGAGATTTGTATTAATAATATTTGTATGTAATGGAGTTATTGTAACTCAGACACCACGTTGCTTTTCAAAGATATATTAAGATGTGTGGACTTCTTATTGGCTGGAGAATTCTGGGAGTTGAAGCCCACACCTCTTAATCTTGCCAAGGTGTGGGCTTCAACTCCAGAATGATAACCTAACCTAAGATTCTTCTATTGTTTGATTCCGTCATTCCACTTTTTCACAGCTTTGTATTAAACTGGTAAGGTCCAAGCACTTACAGTACTGATGGGTTACCAATCTTCTACAGCTAAAACACAGAAGATTCTACTTTACTGCCCCCAATTTCTTAACGGCCAGTAGACAATTCTGTAGATTTGGAACTTACGTAGCCTTATTTTCAAGAGAGAGAGCACTGGGGAAACTGCTATTGACCTTTTTAAAATAAACACCAGAGATTCTGTGATAATACATTTCTCATCTTCATGTCCAGATTAGCCTTAAACTCTTGAGATTTAAAAAATAATTGCTTCCAGATGTGTAAGCATAGGCACCCATGTGCAGCCATCCTGCCTTATTAAGTGTAATCCAGATGATATCTTTCTCCATTTGTTACCCTTCTGTCTTTTCTTCAACACTTTCAATCATTTTTCTTTCCAAAGCAAGTGCATATGACAGAAAAATGCTAAAAATGCATGTTTTAGAATCATAGAAGCTTTTGGAGGCCTCCTTCTGTATGAAAATTGGCCCATTATACCTATGTCACCAACTTTGTGTACATAAGAACTACACAGTTTTAAATAAATGTTTATGAAATATAACTGCCTTCTCTAGACCTCTGCATTGTCTATCCTCTACTTCCAAAACTATCCAGAGATCCAACATTACCAGGTTGCTTTATAAATCTGAATGGTGCTTAGCCTGCTTCTCCTGTGCTCCCAGATGTGGAGCTGTCCTTTGTAGGACCCTTCCAGTTGGCTTCTTTTGCTTCATGGTGGAGTCCATTGCTGCTTCTGCCTTCTTTTCTCCTAGGATCTCCTCCTGATGGATACTTATACTTTCTTGAGTATAAATAGTAAATTCAGGCAGTGTGGGTTCCATCATACTCAGGAAGTCATAGGCAGGAAGACGGGGCTTCCACTCTTTCACAGACAAGGTAGCTAAGAAGAGGAAATGTACACATCAGCTGGTTATCAGATTTCCTAATGCAGTTTTCCCCCATTTGGGCATTCCACAGATATGTGGACTTCAATTCTCACAATTCCCTAGGCACTTAATATTTCTGTAGTTCAATTTCCAGAGGGAATCTAGATTGTTAAGCTTGACCTCTGATTATAACTGATGTTAATCTAAACAATATAAAGAATTTTGTAGTTCACTTGAAGACGACTTTGAAGAAGACTGCAAGCCATATTTATATATATAAAGGCTCTGAGACTGCATAGCAGCCACCTAGCGATAATAATAGCCATTGTAACGTCCAAATGATGAAATATACACTCTCTGACATCACAATGCAAATCCCACTCTTTGGAACTGTACTGGCATTTCATTAGTTCCTTCCTTGCCCTCCTGTAGACCCCTTTGATGGAGGGTCAACTCAAGGGAGGCTGACCTTGAAGACCACCCAGAAGCTTCAACTGCTCCAGAATGTAGCAATCCAGGCAGTGAAGGGCATGCCTCAGTATACTGATGTAAAACCTCTTGTTTCACAAGCTGCATTGGTAGCCAGATTGCTTCTGGGTGTGTTTCAAGGTGCTGGTCACTACCAATAAACCCTACATGTCACAGGACCTAGTTACTTGAGGGATCACCTGCAGTATGTTCAATCTGGCAAGATTGGCACACTCCAAGTATCATTGATTAAACAAGGTCACCTACTGAGATCCTGGATATGTGCCTTCTCTGTGGCATCACCAGCCTTCAGTTCCCCCTAGAGATTTTAATGGCCTCCATCCTGCTGATGTTTCAATGGATCTTAAATATGCAGCTATTTGTCCAGGGCTTTGGAGAGAATGACTGATACCCCTTTTCTCCATTCTGTTCCCCTCTGGGTTTATTTTCTTTGCCACTGTTGTTTCTTGTGATGTTTTGTGTTTGCTGTACTGTTCTGGTTTTTTAAATGTTGTACAATCGTAAACTGCCAAGAGTCATTGGGAATCGAGAGCATATAAATTTAGTAAATTACGATTATAATCCCATCTACAATAATGTTTTTGTCATATGTATTACAGAAGCATACCATAAGCTGCAAGGACAGAGAGAGTCAAAAGGCAATCGTTAGAGATAAAAATAAATGTTTGAAATTTAAACTGGGCCCTTCTGAACATCAGGGGATATAATCCATATCCATAACATGGAGATTGCCATCAAAAAGGCATGCCTCTGAGTTGCTGACAGGAGGATGAATAGCCTATAAATTTAATAAATGAATAATGCCTCTGCCCTCCCTCCATTTCTATAGGCTGATTATGTCCTCCTTCACTGAGAACAACTTGGATTTTTCCATGAAAAGCCATGTTCATATTGGGAAACTAACTTAGATCCACAACTAAAGAACAATTACCTGATATTAAAAAAATTCAGAAATATCAGAAATGCCAAATCATGTGTCAAACCACTTGCAAGAACAAGTTAATTCCCTAGGTGAAAAAAGCAATCTAGGGGTATCATGTGAAGTGGTTGTTAAGCAAGGTTTACCTTCCCGATTTGCACAGCACAGCTGACAAAAGGGCATTCCATTTCAAGCTCTTTCACTTTTTCTTAAAGCAGTCAATTTTCTAATCACAACATTAAAATGTTCCAGCTTCATTCCACTTTTAAAAACCGAAAATTCCCCAATTGAAAAGGAAGCTGTTCATTTAAGGATGTACAGATTCTTATAGTGAGGATAAAGAAAATAAGAACATCTTAGAAATTGGTTACAAGACAAAAAAAAAAAGGAGAATGAGAAAGGAAGGGGGAAGGAAGCAGGAATAAGGGGAAATCCTTAGAGAAGATTTTCCGAGGAGGTATTTGATTGGCTCTCATTCTCCAGGATTCAATTTCTTCCCAGCACTGCTGGGTGTAATGAGAACCAAAGAATTCAACCCACTCCCAGGGAACAATATGACTTCCTCCTTCTTTGAAGTGTATTCTTCTTCTTTACAAAGCCCAGAACCTCTTAGAGTGTGATGTCACCTTCACTTGGCGGTTTCTCCCTCTAACTGGATCCTTCACACCATTCTCTGTATCTGTAGCTAAACTTTGTCTAGCCCCATCCTGCTCTTATCTGTTACAAATCATTTTTCCCACCTGTGCAAGCATTTCCGCTAGCAACAGTTTGTGGTTAACTACTTGCTTTCAATTTTAGTTGTTCTAAAGCGTGCGATCAACTAGCATCCTGTTATGTATCTACAAATTCTAAAGAAAGGAGAAGCAAGGTGGGTGTATTTTTTTCAAAGCCACTTAAAAGCAAAGCATATGACATGGCTTCATCCACTGGACCTATCACTTTGCTTTTAGAGTACTGCCATGTTATTTTCTTGAGGCTGTTCTTCAAAAGCATTTGAAAGCTGCATTTGCTGATTTTAGCCTATAAAGTCCTACATGATTTAGCATCATAACTGAACTTCTCAAATTTAATTTTATTTAATCCATCGGAAACAGTGAAAACAAGTTGAATATGATCAAAGCCTGTTTGATTAATTGTCTCTGACTACTTACCCCTTCCCCTTTATGGATTACTGCCTTGTCGTGGCGAAGGGGCTTGCGTAACTCAATGAAGCTATAAGCTATGCCGTGCAGGGCCACCCAAGACGGACAGGTTATAGCAGAGAGTTCTGACAAAATGTGATCCACTGGAGAAGGAAATGGCAAACCACTCCAGTATCTTTGCCATGAAAACCCCATGGACAGTACTAAAAGGAAAAAAGATATGACACTGGAAGATGAGCCCCTCAGGTCGGAAGGTGTCCAATATGCTACTGGGGAAGAGCAGAGGGCTAGTACTAGTAGCGCCAGAAAGAATGAAGCGACTGGGCCAAAGCCGAAAGGACGCTCAGCTGTGGATATATCTGGTGGTGAAAGGAAAGTCCGATGCTGTAAAGATTTTTTCTCCATAGGAACCTGGAATGTAAGATCCATGAATCAAGGCAAGCTAGACGTAGTCAAAAAAGAGATGACAAGACTGAACATCGACATCTTAGGAATCAGCGAACTAAAATGGACAGGAATGGGTGAATTTAACTCAGATGACCATCAGGTATACTACTGTGGGCAAGAATCCCTCAGAAGAAATGGAGTAGCCTTCATAGTCAATAAAAGAATAGGAAAAGCAATACTGGGATACAATCCCCAAAATGACAGAATGATCTCAATTCGAATCCAAGGCAAACCATTCAATATCACAGTAGTCCAAATCTATGCCCCAACCACTGGTGCTGAAGAGGATGAAATTGACCGGTTCTATGAAGCCCTACAGCACCTTATAGAATTAACACCAAAAAATGATGTCCTTATCATCATGGGGGATTGGAATGCTAAGGTAGGAAGCCAAAAGATAACCGGAATAACAGGCAAGTTTGGCCTTGGAGTACAAAATGAAGCAGGGCACAGGCTAATAGAATTTTGTCAAGAGAATACGATGGTCATAACAAACACTCTTTTCCAACAACCCAAGAGACGGCTCTACACATGGACATCACCAGACGGTCAACATAGAAATCAGATTGACTATGTGCTCTGCAGCCAAAGATGGAGAAGCTCTATACAGTCAGTAAAAACAAGACCAGGAGCTGACTGTGGCTCAGATCATGAGCTTCTCGTTGCAAAATTTAGGCTTAAATTGAAAAAAGTAGGGAAAAGCACTAGGCCACTCAGGTATGAACTAAATCATATTCCTGATGAATATACAGTAGAGGTGACAAATAGATTTAAGGAATTAGATCTGATAGACAGAGTGCCTGAAGAACTATGGATGGAAGTTCGCAACATTGTACAAGAGGTAGCAACTAAAACCATCCCAAAGAAAAAGAAATGCAAGAAAGCAAAATGGCTGTCTGAGGAAGCTTTGCAAATAGCTGAGGAAAGAAGGGAAGCGAAAGGCAAAGGAGAAAGAGAAAGATACACCCAATTGAATGCAGAATTCCAGAGAGTAGCTAGAAGAGATAAGAATGCCTTCTTAAATGAACAGTGCAAAGAAATAGAAGAAAACAACAGAACAGGGAGGACCAGAGATCTCTTCAAGAAAATTGGAGATATGAAGGGAACGTTTCATGCAAAGATGGGCATGATAAAGGACCAAAATGGCAGAGACCTAACAGAGGCAGAAGAGATTAAGAAGAGATGGCAAAACTACACAGAAGAACTATACAAGAATGAGCTTAACATCCCAGATAACCACAATGAGATGGTCATTGACCTCGAACCAGACATCCTAGAATGTGAAGTGAAATGGGCCTTAGAAAATCTGAGCAACAACAAAGCTAGTGGAGGTGACAGTATTCCAGCTGAGCTATTCAAAATCTTAAAAGAAGATGCAGTAAAAGTGCTACACTCAATTTGCCAGCAAATTTGGAAAACTCAACAGTGGCCACAGGATTGGAAAAGGTCAGTTTACATTCCAATTCCAAAGAAAGGCAATGCCAAAGAATGTTCAAACTATCGCACCATTGCACTCATTTCACATGCTAGTAAAGTTATGCTTAAAATCCTACAAGCTAGACTCCAGCAGTATGTGGATCGAGAACTACCAGAAGTACAGGCAGGATTTCGAAGAGGCAGAGGAACTAGAGATCAAATTGCCAACATACGCTGGATCATGGAGAAAGCTAGGGAGTTCCAGAAAAACATCTACTTCTGCTTCATTGACTAGCAAAAGCCTTTGATTGTGTGGATCACAACAAATTGTGGCAAGTTCTTAAAGAGATGGGAGTACCAGACCATCTCATTTGTCTCTTGAGAAACCTATATGCGGGTCAAGAAGCAACAGTGAGAACCGAACACGGAACCACTGATTGGTTCAAAATTGGAAAAGGAGTCCGGCAAGGCTGTATACTGTCGCCCTGCCTATTTAACTTATATGCAGAGCACATCATGAGAAAGGCAGGGCTAGATGAATCAAAAGTTGGAATTAAGATTGCCGGGAGAAATATCAACAACCTAAGATATGCAGATGATACCACTCTAATGGCAGAAAGTGAAGAGGAACTAAAGAGCCTCTTGATGCGGGTGAAGAAGGAGAGTGCAAAAGTTGGCTTGAAACTCAACATTAAGAAAACCAAAATCATGGCATCCGGCCCTCTCAATTCCTGGCAAATAGATGGGGAAGAAATGGAGGTAGTGACAGATTTTATTTTTCTGGGCTCCAAGATCACCTCAGATGGAGACTGCAGCCAAGAAATTAAAAGACGCTTGCTCCTGGGGAGGAAAGCTATGGCAAATCTAGACAGCATTCTAAAAAGCAGAGACATCACCCTGCCAACAAAAGTGCGCATAGTCCAGGCCATGATTTTCCCAGTTGCAATGTATGGCTGTGAAAGTTGGACCATAAGAAAGGCTGAGCGCAAAAGAATTGAGGCCTTTGAACTGTGGTGCTGGAGAAGACTCCTGCGAGTCCCTTGGACTGCAAGGCGTTCAAACCGGTCAGTCCTAGAAGAGATCAACCCCGACTGCTCTTTAGAAGGCCAGATCCTGAAGTTGAAACTCAAGTACTTTGGCCACCTAATGAGAAGGAAGGACTCACTGGAGAAGAGCCTAATGCTGGGAAAGATTGAGGGCAATAGAAGAAGGGGACGACAGAGAATGAGATGGCTGGATGGAGTCACTGAAGCAGTAGGTGTGAATTTAAATGGACTCCAGAAGATGGTAGAGGACAGGAAGACCTGGAGGAATGTTGTCCATGGGGTCGCGATGGGTCAGACACGACTTCGCAATTAACAACAACAACTTACCCCTTGGAGCTTCTTGTTTGATGTTTAGTTTTTCAATCCAAGCAAGGATATTTGTTTCAGAAATTGACTGGTCTGATGGAAAAACAAAGACATGGCCTCCAGAATGAAGGTTGATCCAGAGGAGGAGAGGCACAGGAGGAACCGAGTTTCCAAAATAAGCTTTCAGAATACTTCTGCCTACAGGTGTGTTCTTACTGGGTTAAAAAGAGCACACACACACAAATCAATCAATGCTAAAAGAAATGGTACAGATAAGTCATACTTCTTCTGAATTCAAGCATATCAGAAGAGATAAGACACTGCTAAGAGGTGCCTCCATTATGCTCATTGGCTTGGCTTGCCAATAGACCTAATCAGAAGATACTTTATCTTTGGTCTTTAACAGTGGTATTTTGGGTGCACGACAGACTTTCCTGGTATCGTTCCTGAGGTCTTGTTGGTGCTAAATAAACACATTTCTGTTCACTCAAGTCTTTTATATGAACTTATTTAGCCTAGGAGCCTTATAGTTTTAAAACCAATATCTTTATTTTGGCTGTTAATTTTGTTTTGGTGTCCTTTGTTATTATGAAAGTTAACCATATAATGTCATATTTCCTATTTAAATCATTGCAATGTCTGTTTACAGCAGTTTCTCAACTTTGGCAATTTTAACATGTAGGGATTTCAAGTCCCAGAATTGAGAACTGGGGAATTATGAGAGTTGAAGGCCACCCATCTTAAAATTGTCAAGGTTGGGAAACACTGATTTAGGATATCTAAAGAACTTTCTTAAACCACAGTGCTAAATCTTAATCTAAAGAATATGTTAAGTACAGGTTGTCCTCAATTAACAACCATTCATTCAGAGACCATTTGAACTTAAGATGGTGCTAAGCAAATGATAGTTATAATGGGTCCTCAGAGTTCAGACCATGGCAGAACCTCCCTTGTCCCAGAATCAAGTGATCATGATCAAGATGCTTGTTCTGACTGTTGCAGCATCCCACAGTCATGTGATTACAATTTGCAACTTTTCCTGCTGACTTTCCACAAGCAAAGTCAATGGGTAAGCCAGCAGGAAGTCAGAAGTCATGGTAATGAAGTCCTTTCTTAATAAACAGTGATGATTCACTTAACAATGGTAACCAGAGTCTGTCAAAATCGCAACTGCTAAGCGGCACAGACATGTAATGCTGCGCTTTATGACTGCATCTCTTGGTGACAAAAATTCTGGTCCCAATTACCATCATTAAGGGAGGAGTCCCGGTAACATTTCCTAATGCAAAATTCATATTGCATTATTCACCTCCAATAGGTTTAAACCAATGGGAAAGGCCCACATATAATAATAATAATAATAATAATAATAATAATAATAATAATAATAATAATAATAGTAGTAGTAGTAGTAGTAGTAGTAGTAGTAGTAGTAGTAGTAGTAATAGTAGTAGTAGTAATAGTAATAATAATAATAATAAAGTTGGAAGGGACCTTGGAGGTCATCTAGTCCAACCCCCTGCTCAGGCAAGAAACCCTATACCATTTCAGACAAATGGCTGTCCCATCTCTTCTTAAAAACTTCCAGTGTTGAAGCATTCACCGCTTCTGGAGGCAGGTTGTTCCACTGGTTAATTATTCTGTCAGGAAGTTTCTCCTTAGTTCTAGGTTGCTTCTCTCCTTGATTAGTTTCCATCCATTGCTTCTTGTCCTGCCTTCAGGCACCTTGGAAAATAGCTTGACTCCCTCTTCTTTGTGGCAACCCCTGAGATATTGGAACACGGCTATCATGTCCCCCCTCGTCCTTCTCTTCATTAAACTAGACATACCCAATTCCAGCAACCATTCCTTATATGTTTTAACCTCCAGTCCCCTAATCATCTTTGTTGCTATTCTATGTACTCTTTCTAGAGTCTATTGTAAACTTTATCCCCAAATGGAGGTCAGCGTGGGTATACTGCAAACTTACAGGTTTAGCCAGCAAGCAATAAAGGTTTTGTGGTCCTTGCCAATAGCCACATGCTTCATTTGTTCTTCTTCCCTTTCGCTAGGAACCCCGTCACTGAACAAAATGAGCAAAGGTTTCTTCATCTGGAAGTAATCAGGCAGGTTTTCCACTGTGATTTCTGGCTGCAACAGAGAAAAGCTCAAATATAATACAGAAAAATGCTCCAGTTGTTCTACATTCAAAGAGTTCTAGTAACTATGTGCCCAGAAGACCCTTTAACCAACTGGACTTCATTTTCTTGCTAGAATCAAGACACCAAAATGTGCTGAATTTTTTTATTAGAGAACAATCCCAATAAAGAGTCTCTAAATAAATAAAAGATCAGAACTAAAAATTATGCTCACAAATGTCTCCAACAATGCATGACGGATTACTTTAACAATGTCTTGTGTGTTATACTGCAAGAGCTGGAGGGCATTCCTTTGCTGAGTTGCAGGCTTAGCAAACAGAAGTGCTGGAAGAGGTACATTATATTTATGGGAGCTGAGGAAAAAAGACCACAAAAATATATTTCAAAGATCTACCAAAATTGCTCTTATTATCTGATTGAGGAATCTTAGCCAAATCATTAAAGGAGCCTAAGTTAAATTGAACTGACTATTGAATTAATACCATATTTGTGTGCATATGAATACAACGATACAAAAAGCACTGCAGTCATTAGTTCTCAGTGACTGTTCGATGTACCTTATGACCATTTTTCACACTTATGACTTTGGCAGCATCCCCATGGTCACTTGATCCAAATTCAGATGCTTGGCCACTGACTCATATTTATGACAGCTGCAGTGTCCCGGGGTCATGTGATCACCTTTTGCAACCTTCTGACAAATAAAGTCAATGGGGAAGCCAGATTCACTTAACAACTGCAGTGATTCACTTAACAATAGTAGCAAGAAAAGCTATAAAAGGGGGCAAAATTCATTTAAAAGATGTCTCGCTTAACAACATAAATTTGGGGCTCAATTGTGGTCATAAGTCAAAGGCTATCTATACTAATTTCCTTGATATACAATAGTGTAAGTGTCATCTTAGAAAATGCATAGCATCTTTCCTGAGGGAGAAACTGGAACAGCCCTGGAAAAATAGCATTTCTTATAACCACAAAGAAATCTGCTGTCCCTTTAATCTATAGCATTAATCAACAGCCCTGTGAACCACATTCAGTTACTCATGTCTCTCTTTAGAAAGGGGCTTCCTAATTTTTTTATGCCAGAGATCCATTTGACCATCTATTGCATTAAAATGAATTTACTTGCAAAACATAAATATATATAGTACATGCATATAACTTACATATAACTTAATTATTCTCAAACACAATTAACAAAATATTTAAGTATGCAATAAAGTAATATATGTGCTTTTTCATTAATCCATTCAATCAGTAACAAAATATTACCCTTTCTTAGGACGTAGTAATTTTAGATGAAAGAATTAAATGTTTTTGGAATTTAGAGGCCATATGTTACTTTGTTGCTTATGGTATATACATTAATGAATGAAAAGCTAAATTTCAATGAGAGGTTAATGAAAACATTTTTTCCATCCAAGTTCATGAACCCCTTAAATCAGGGGTTCTCAACCTTGGCAACTTTAAGACTGGCTGAGGAATTCTGGGAGTTGAAGTCCACAAGTCTTAAAGTTGCCAAGGTTGAGAACCCCTGCCTTAAATCTACCTATGGATCTCCAAGGGTTCTATGGACCTCAGGTGAAGAAATTTTGCTTTAGAAAGATGCTGACAATTAGAAACAGATCCCATCAACAAAGAAAAGGGAGAATTCTGTTTAGATCTTGCCCAGTCCTTGAATACAGCAATTAAATAATTGATTCATTATCTGGTTCAAGCAAGGAAAAAAGCAACATACAGAACTGTAGCATCCTCTTCATAGTAGATCCCTGTTGTGACATAGCCATTTAGGATTCTTCCAGCTTCAATAAAAGCCTCTCTTGCTGACAAAACAAAGCAGCTTTAAATGTAACATAATAACCAAATTTCTTTTCTTGCCTCTGGCTAAATTTATCAACTTCAATCAGACATTCACAGATATAAGCAGTAAATGAAGTAAGTGTGTATCATACAGTATTGCTCTCAACTGCAAAAAAATTCCAAGGCCATTTTATAAATACTTTACTTATTTGTTTATTCCATTTATATACTCAATACACGTAAACCTGTTTTTTGCCAATACATGAGAACCTGAACAAAAACCGTCCATTGAAACAAACAGGGAAAAACAGATTTTAGGAGAAGCCAACCAAAAGGGTAAATGTGAAATACAAAAAAGAAAAAGATGACTGTTGGGACATGGTACAGCACACAAGAGAAATAATTTCCCAGCAGAAGTGCAGAGCAGGCCCTTCAATATGTGCATACTACAAACTTTGAAATCATTAATGGAATCATAAAAGGGGATGCATCATAAGATGCTATAGAATAGGATGCATATATCCTATTAGACTAGAACATTTTATTCTTACTCAATCGGTATGTATGAGTTTGGAATCTTTTTTGCTTAGTCTATTAATTTGAATGAATCAGACTTGCTGCCACTGAATAATGATCAAAAAAATGACATGTAGGAATTGGAGGGTTCTATTGTATTTTGACTCCTGATTTTGGTATCAGAACTAACAGGAAACTTTGTCAGATGGTAACTCAATTTATCCTATTTTGTTGAAAATGAAATTTCTTAAATAGCATTAAGAGAAATGCAACTCCAAGGTTGATTTATATTATCAGATGTTCCTTTATGTATATTTTGTCACAGATATATAAAAATTGCTCTATCAAGAATACCGTGTGAGATTTTCATTCTGCTAATTGCATTACCTATTGGTGCATCTGTAGGCTTATCATTTACTCTAGCATTGGTCATTATCTAACCCATAATGCAGCCATCAGGGCCCAAACGATTGGCCCTCTTGGGAGATGGACAGGATCAAGAGCCAGTGCCGGAATCCCTTCTAGAGCATCTGATGTTCATACTAGGATTGGATATTTGGGGTTTTAACAGCTTCTTACTCTTTATAATGTAAAATATGCAGGGCCACAAAACTTTTGGAAAACGCCAATGAGTAAATTCAGTTGCTCTTGGCTTTTCCTTAATAAAAGGTGAGGAGTAACCAATGCCCCAGAAAATTTCCCAAATTATCCTATTGAATCAGTGTGAATTTCTCCTTAAAAGGTGAAGAAAACCTTATAGAATCATTGCTCCAAAGTGCTCCTCAGGAATATTAGAAAGATTGAAGGGTAGGCAATAGCTGTGGAACACTCATGCTTCTATTGGGAAAGCACCATTTTGCTTGGACAACTGCTTACTTCAAGCCAACACTGCATCTGAGGCTACCTAAGATAAGGGACAGACAATAGGTAGCAAAGGAAATGCTACTCCCCTCAGCTGCCTCTGGAGTCACCTCAGCAGGAGATGGATGCTTGTAAAGGCAGTTTCTTCTGACCTTGTGAGCCCTTATCAACAGAGTGTATCAGTCTGATTACAAAGAGCAGTTCGGACTAAGAACCAGATTTCGCCAACAAAATGGATCAAACAAACAATTGATAATAAAGGTCCTTCTGCCAGATTGTGGACTGTAAAAATGCTAGTCATGATAGATTTTCCTCAGCTAAAGGAAGAAATTGGACTGTCATGTAATAACAGTACCTTATACTCAGAAAACAGTTCTACGTATTAAATCAATCAGTCCATTGATTTAACATTCGGCTTTGGGCTTTTTTGACACACTCTAGATCTTTCTGTTTACCAATCTCTGAGTCTTGAATCAACTGAAATAGTTAATTATCAGTTTTCTCTCTTCTTTCTTTGCGTCACCCTTAATAACATAAAAAATATAGTACAATTTTGAAATTCATTATCAAAAGCGATGAAAACACATTGTTGGTAATTATCTGACAATTTCAACTCAATTTCCTGCAAAAGCTGACTTATCACCATATAAAAGTCAGTGTTTTCACCCAGCCATCAGGCAACAGAATCTACAGCCAAGTACAGATATGCTGCTGCCCCCTATTGGCCTAAACGAACATGAACTTTAGAGAAAACACATAATGCAGTTCTTCAGTTCTTGGATGTGGCTCAGAGGAACCTTCCAAAGTTACTGCTAAATTATAATTTTAATGTGACAGAAAGGGAAAAGTATAAAAGACCTTGGGAATAATAATTTTAGTTTAGCTTAGTTTAATTAAATTCAATCTAGATTAGCCATTTTCTGGCCCCACCTACTTCCAAATTATGGGAGTTGCATCTGTTTCAATGCTTCTTATGGGATCAGGTTGGAGAAGTTGAAGGAATATCTTAGAAGTTTGCTTAGCAAACGTATAATGGAGCTGAATGAGGGGACAAATCCTTAGAGTTCCGGTCATTGTGGTGTCCCCCAAGGTCACAGGATCATGATTTTTGACATTCCCTGCTAGCTTTCCATAAGCAAAATCAATGGGAAAGTCTGTAGGAAGTCAGAGGTTGCGATCACATGAAATCCTTACTATCATGTGAGGATGGTCATCATTTAACAACTAGAATTGGGACTGCCGGAATTGTTGTTGCTAAGCAGCCTGGTCACATGACATCATACTTTGAAACTGCATTGCTTAGCGATAAGAGTTCCCTGTCCCATTTGTCACAACCCAAGGTCTACCTGTACTCAAGCTGTACTCAACTTGAGAAGTAACAGAAAAAAACCCAAAGAAAATAAGAAGCAGAGCATGAGCAATTTCAGATTTTCTAGGTCAAAGAACACTTCATACTTGCCCTCCAATCCTCTCTGAATTTTTCCAATACATTCCAAATAGCATCTACATTTTGTATTTGTATGTATGTGTGTGTTTATGAGAGAGAGAGAGAAAGAGTGATAAAGTGCTTGTTTTTAACAAATAAAATTATCTGAATGATGTTTCTATATTTTTTAAATTCGTTCTTGATTCTCTGGCCACTTACCTCCCTGGATAATCCAAATTCTAGTATTATAAAGGAGAAAAAAATTATACTCACACAGCCAAATTTGGCTCACAATGTGAAGCAATAACCTTGTATAATACAGCCAGTGCCCTGTCTATTGGGTTGTTGTGAAAGATCCTAGCATAAATTTTATTCTACAATCACAAGGCATTACAAAGTATTATAACTTTCAGCAACATTGTGTTTTGCAATAATGTTTGAAATAACCAGACAATGGATTTACCTTCACTCATGCTTGAGTCAAATATTCCCAGAACAGAAACTGTGTGGTGTGTTGACTTTTTGTGACTTAAATATTCTTCTATTTCTTCAGGCGTCATCAATCTCACTGGACAAGAATTTCTGCTTCTAGAGATGTAAATTGAAACCAGACTTCAGGCCGATTTATAAGGGACAGTTTTATTTTATTTTGCTTTCACAGAATTCTGTTTCCTAGGTGCAGGACAACTCCATTCCCTGCAGCTCCCACGTCTTCAACATTTTCCAAAACAATTTCAGAGTGTCATGGAGAAATGTAAGAATGCACAACTTGTTCTTTCATCTAATCTGAATGGCACATGTAAACTGTGCATGTTTGCTTCAGCTGTGAAATGTACTGCAGAGGCAAAGCTACCTCAGATTCAGGTTTTCTGAATTCTTCTTACTGAAAGCCCACATAGTATAGTAGTTAAGGTGCGAGATTTAGGGCAAGGAGATTTAAGTTTGACTCTCCACTTGACCATAAAGCTCTCTTGGTGGCATTGGTCCTACATTATTGCTAAATCTACCTCCTCACGGCATTGTTATTCTGTGGGTACAATTTAAGGGTCTACCCTGAAGTCTAGAGAAAAAGGGTGAGATACAAATGTAAGAAAAAACCACCCAAAATGCAACAGTTTGAATTTCACACTTCCCAACTACTTCCCAGCCAGTTCTTCCCTCAAGGGTTTCAATCAATCAATCAGAATAGAGCTGGAAGGGACCTTGGAAGTCTTCTAGTCCAACCCCCTCCTCAAGCAGGAGATCCTATTTATACCATTTCAGACCAGTGTTATCCACATCCTTTTCATTTCTTCTCAGGTTTAGGTGAATTCCATGAATTTGCTTATATAATGTGGAAATAATGAGAGTTTACGTTCAAAGAAATCTAGAGCAGTGGTTCTCAACCTGTGGGTCGGGACCCCATTTGGGGTCGAATGACCATTTCACGGGGGTCACCAAACAACGCAGTCCGACATTTTTTCCCCCTTTTCCTTAGCTGTGCTACTCCCTTTTATTCTATTGGCTTTTGAAAGCAATAGAATAGACTCACTTGAATAGAGTCTAATTCTATTGGTTTTCAAAAGCCAATAGGAATTGTCCAGGCTGTCTCTGCCCTGCTGAGCCCGCCAAAAGTCCCATTCTGCAAACGGTGCTGCACCAGTTGAGTAGTCCTCGACTTATGACCAGTTGAGTAGTCCTCGACTTACGACCGGTTGGGGGTCGCGGCATTAAAAAGGTCGAGAACCACTGATCTAGAGGATATCAGGTTCAGGAAAGTTTGCCTTAAAATGGCTCTTAACCAGCAACATAGTACTTACAGTTCAATGAACTTTCTCATCTCTTTGGTCTCCCACATGCCAGAGTAAGCCGGCCATGCCCTCTCTCTTGTATACATCTTCATGGCAGGAAATTGGGTGACATTTTCCTGCAAGCAAAGTTGTGGCCAATCCCAGCAGTTTACCCTCGCAAGTGAAATCTCAGGAGTCCCTACAGAAAATGTGTGGAAAAAAAACAACAAAAGGGCAGTGATGTAAATGTTTCTGGCTCTTTGTGTAAGATTCATGAAACTTTTTTTAAAAAAATCCTAGAATTTGCTCCATTGACTACTTTTGTTTTATGAAGAACTACTCTAGTTTTTATTCACTGATTCTTCAGCTGACTAGGCCCAAATGATTTTCTGAAATATCAAAAATAAGAATCAAAACATATTGGTCGGAATATTCACAGGAACTTTGCTGAATCAGATCAAAGACCATCATGAGCAAGGTACGAAGACAGTGGCTCTTTCCTGCTGTTACACTTTAATAACTGTTTCACATGTGCTATTACTAAACCTGGAAGATCATACAATCAGTAGAATTTTGGTTCATTGCTATGAGTACTCATTATGTATTGTAAAGTATTGTAGAGTACTTTAGTTTACTCTCACCACAATGAAAATCTTGGACATGTTCAGTAGGATTTCTGCTTCTCTTTTTTAAGAAAAGCCACCTTTGATCCTTGTGATTCCATTACAGGCTGCTTTTAATAACTGGAGGATTAAATGTTCAGAATTAAATTTCACATGGCATAAAAAGAAATCATGGTTCTCGGGAAATGCATTCTCAACACCCCTTTGAATAGAAAGGTTAATTGTATGTTTCTTTCTGTCTCTGAAGTAAAGTTAAGTGAAAAAAAGCAAAAAAATAACAATTAACAAACAAAAGAGTACAGGAATACCTTGATCAAACAAAGAGTTTCTAAGAAAAGTAAGTTTTGTCTTTTATTTAAAACTAGCTGTACCCAGCCACGTGTTGCTGTGGCTCAAGAAAAAAAAGAGAAAGCGCACATTTGTAATATGTTTAATTTCACAATGCTTGTGGGTATACAAAATTTTTTGTTGTTCCATTGTGTGTGCAGATATGGCGCTGTTTTTTAAAAAAAGCATGTTTTTCCCTGTTTTTCAAAAAAGCATGTTTTTACCTGTTATATATAGCTATATAATATAGGTATATAAAAACACGCGCGTATTCGAATGCAACGTTGTGTCAAAATTTCAAAGCAATCGGTGAAGAACTTTCGGAGATTTAAGATTTTAAACAAACGAACATTTACATTTTTATTTATATAGATTAAAATTAGAAAATTAACATCCAAATATTTATGGCAGTGGTCAGGGAGTTGAAAGGCCAATTCCAAGATAAATGTAATGTTTTTAACTAGTTCTTTAAAAAGAGCAGCATTAAAATTTAAGACTGCCTAGAAGCTACTGATCTTCTGGAGCACTCCAGGCAGTCATCTGTTAAATGCTAAACTCTCATCAGAAGAAGCTGGGTCATTTTATTTTTCATTTGTACAGGTTTAGAGTGGGAATGAACATAAGGGGCTTCTGGAGCAAAGCAGTCACATCTTCATCTTAAATTCTACCTGAAATGGGCCAAAATCATTTGATTGTTTGACCACAGAAGGTCAGTAGCTTAATCTGCATGTACCAGAGGATTCCAACGGGGTCCTGGAGAGTGTGCCTATATGCTTTTCTATTTCTCAATGGAAAGCAGACAACAAGAGTTAGACCCATAGATGCTACATCATATTTAATACCTTAAGCCAGTGTGGTAACATCTCCAAATTAAAGAAAAATAAATGTAACTTTTTGAAATGACTAAGATCCCAGAAGCTAGACAACTCTCTAGTTGAGATGTTGAGTCTCTGGAAAGAATGCCGAGAAGAGCAACAAAAGTGGTTAAAGGCTGGAGGATAAAATGTATAAAGAATGGTTACAGGAACTGGGCATGTCTGGTGTAATGAAAAGAAGGATTAAGGGGAGACATGATAGCAGTGTTCCAATATCTAAGGAGCTTCTACAAAGACAAGGGAGTCAAACTATTTTCCAAAGCAGTAAAAGGCAAGACAAGAAACAATGGTTGGAAAATAACGAAGGAGAGAAGCAACCTAGAACTAAGGAGAAATTTCCCAACAGTGAGACCAATCAACCAATGGAATAGTTTGCCTTCAAAAGTTGTGGGTACTCTATCATTGTAGGCTTTCAAAAAGACACTGGACAGCCACTTATCTCAAATTGTATAGGATCTCCTGCTCGAGCAGGGAGTTAGACTAGAAGATTCCAAGGTCCCTTCCAACTCTTATTTCTACGTTCTATGTTCTCATGAGATTTTGCTATGCTTGCATGAGATCATGAGGAGGGGTTTGCTCTCCTTTCACAAGACCTCATGGATTTTGGGAAATGATTACAGAAATTTCTTGGCAACTTCAGGACTGACTGACTGACTGATTGATTGATTGATTAACTGACTGATTTGGCATGCTAGACAATCATTTGAGATCAAATGATGGCAGCTGGGAAACAAAAACTGCCAGCCTTTGGGAGAAAAGAAATAACTGCAACTGCATAGAAATTTACAAAGTATATTCTGCCAAAAACAATTTTTTATTGTTTTAGGTATTGATTTGTTCCAAGGCTTAGCCCAAGAATTGACAATACATTCTAGGACTACCCACTGAGTAAAATTAATACTACAGTCTTTTTAAAAATGCTACTCTTTGAATCAATAGTCAAGGCTACTGAAAAGTTGACTTACATTATTATAAATCAGTCAGCAGTAGCATGGCTGTTTTTCCAGCCTGACCAAAAGTATTTAATGCCAGGAAAAGGAAGTCATTATAAATCAATGTAAAATATTGGAATAAACATAAACACAGAGAGACGCCTTAACATTTAAAACAAGGTAGATCAATCTCTTAAGTGGCTTAAATTAAAGTACATTAGATTTTGATGCATTTGTAAAAGTGCCTCTTGGCATTTGCCAGCTACTTAGCAACCATCCTAGTAGAAAAAGTTATAGTTCAGATTATCTTCCTAAACAAAAGTGTCACCTAAACGTTAGTCATTACATGTTTGTAAGTAAGTAGGTGCTTTATTATTTAGATTTAGATTGATATAACGTTTATGGTCATTTTTTACTGTGGGCACAATGGCACACATTAAAGATGAAATTTAGTTGCTTGCTCTCAAAGTGTACACATACATAACACACATTTAAACATACTACATACAACATATGTATAGACCTACTACACCCTTACATATAAGTAACATATAAATATTAATCACTGTCCATCTTGAATACATAATGGAAGGAGGAAGCTTTAGAGTTCACAAGGTTAATACTGTATGGAACAAAACTGTGACTGGATCTGGATGTTCTGCTTTGGATACCATGGAGCCTCCTCTCGGAAGGTAACAAGGAAAACGGGTCGTGAAGAGGGTCACTACACATTTCTTCTCTTTTAGATTCATGGATACCTTAAAAGAGACCAAACCTCCTACAAACCCCTACTGAAACTCCTTGCTGCAGCTGCATTCAAAAGTGAAGTTGGTCAGATGAGTGTAACAGATCTAACATCTGTTTATTGTGTCCAGCTTTTTAAGGGGATGAGTTGGCAGGCAGTTCGTATGCAGCTAATTTACTTGCTGCTTTTCTGCCTATTGTCAAACAGTAGGTATGCAGGACATACTCTCAGCTGGGCATTATAATTCCATTTAGTGACGTCAAAGTCTGCCAGGAATGAAAAAAAATAAGACAGTAGAGTTCTGAGAAGTAACTAATATAAACACTCATTTAGAAAATGACCCAACTATTGTTTAACAAATTCAAAGGGAAGTCATTCCTGAAGACTAAACCATCCTTGATAATGCTCAAATGTGTTTGTGACTGTCAGAATTCCCAGTCAACCTATTTCTAAACAGACCACTTTTTAAAAATTTTATGTATAAAACAGGAAATATTTCACAATATTTTTGTTTCTTAAAAAAAAGTGCCATCTCCACTATTTTTCTAGTTTTTTTAGATCTCTGCATTCTAGGTTAGCAAGTGATGGTGTTCTCTCAAAGCATTGGAAGGATGTCAAACTGGGAAAGACAAAAATGTGACAGGTTTTTCTTTATGGGAGGCTTTCAAGCAAAGTTGGGCAAAGATTTCTTTGGGATTCTATAGCTCAGTTTTTCCCTTTGTGCCACTAGGCATCACCAGCTTTTCCACTTACCAAAATTAACTTTAAGCTGAATTAATCATGTGAAATAACAACCTCTTAAGGAAATAAACTAGCCACAGCAATTATACTGATTGAGCCATACCTTTCAACTGAGCAGCAACATCAAGGAAAAACTGCATCACCACCAGAGAGACAGCTTCCCCTGTAATGAGAACAGAAAAAGTAACCCAGTATCTCAGATACCAGAGCATCTGGAGTCTGTCAAAACTCAAGACATGAAGGAATACGAGTCCATATCAATAAAACTCAACTTTCTTTTGACAACATGTTTTATACCAGACAAAGTATCCAGAAATTCCAAAAAATGCACAGGTAAGGTGCTACCTGATACAAGTTCAAAGGTGATTTGATGCCTGTACTGAAAGATTTGAACCGGTTGCCAGCAGTTATTGGGCACAATTTAAGATGTTCGTATTAATCCCTAAAGCCTTAAATAGCTAATGAACAGACTGTATATGGCTCTAAACCTCGAAAGCCTAGACTGATGGACCCAGTTGAGTTCCATAAGAAGTTTGGGATTTTCCCTGAAGATTTGATGGGCAATTCAGCTAAGGTCTTAGCCACTGGCTGGAGTGGGCAGATGGCTGAGACTCTGAACAGATAACATTTATTTGGCTTCAAGTTGCACCATGGTTCTCCAAAGAACTCTGAGGGATGAGGCACCAGGTGACAGTGAATTCTAGTCCTGCCTTAGGCATGAAAGCCAGCTGGATGACTTTGGGTCATTTTCTCTCAGTTCAATGGACCTCATAGGCTTGTTGTTGTTGTTGTGGGGAAAATTGGAAGAGGGAAGAGTAGCAGTTATTTATCATGACAATAAAGGTGGTAAATAAATAAATAAATAAATAAATAAATAAATAAATACAGTATATCTCACAAAGATAAAGGGAGAGAAAGGGGAAGGCCATTCAGACTTGCAAGACTCTGTTACTATAACCTTTTATAAAAGTTGTTTTAGCATGCATAGCTTTGATTTCCTATTCTGGTTTACCTTAGAGGCCTGACAGATATACCATCAATCACATTATCCTTCTGGAGTGGCTATAAGATTTGGGAATGGGGGGGGGCATCATTTTGGGTGGTTCTCCTTCATTCTCCACTTTGGTATATCAAAGAGGATCTTTTCCTAATGGTTGCCAAGCTATGAAATTTATTCTCTCAGGATATGCATTTGGTTCTTCCATGTTCAGAGAATATATTTTTGTCCTATTCTTATTTCTTAATTAATTTTAATGTTATGTTATTGTTGTTGTTGTTTTTAAAAAGTAGCTCTCTTTAATAGAAAAAATGGACTATATTTTCAACGAATAAATAGGCCTGTCTTTGGCTTCTTTGGTTTTGTCCTTAGAGAGTGAGCAGCCCAGCTAGTCAGAACACAACATGCAACTAAACTAGAATATTGTCCAACTGCCAGCACTCATAAGACTGGAACAGCAGCAAAGAGCTCATAAAAAGTGTTTTGTGGAATGAGGCAGGATGGATAGAAGGATATGTAACCCAAGAGCAATGCCAGGAGATAGGGCCAATACACTTGTATTTTATCTTTTTTATGACGCTCCTGGGATTCTTTTGGACTGAAAGGCAGGATCAACCTCAAGTAAACAAGAGCCCTGCAGGATCCTAATAAAGTTCCAATAAACTCAGCATCCTGTTTCTCTAAAACAGTGTTTCCCAAACTTGACAATTTTAAGGCATGTGGACTTCAACTCCCAGAATTCCACAGCCAGCGTTGCTGGCTGTGGAATTCTGGGAGTTGAAGTCCTCATGCCTTAAAATTGTCAAGTTTGGGAAACACTGCTCTAAAATTATGTTACGTATGTTTCTATAAAACCTTTCCTCTTATTGTACCATAGGATGTAGTCTTTAGAGATACTGCCAATGAATGTAAAGGTTTCATAACCAATTTATATTCCACAGATTACTGTTCTTCATTTAAAAGTTTCCAAAGGCTTATTATTATTATTATTATTATTATTTATTTGACAGGTTTATGTCCCATCTTCATCCAAGCTCTGAATACAACAGTGTTTCCCAAACTTGACAATTTTAAGGCATGTGGACTTCAACTCCCAGAATTCCACAGCCAGCATTGCTGGCTGTGGAATTCTGGGAGTTAAAGTCCACATGCCTTAAAATTGTCAAGTTTGGGAAACACTGGAATACAACATTCATAGCACTTCCTCTTCCAAGTTTTCCAGCAGCAACTCCTGATGGTAGATGAGCTCAAAGACAGTGACTGGTGCAGGGTACTTCCCATATCCGAGGGTAGATATGAAACTGGGTTTTCCCAATTGTAGCCCAGTATCTTAACACTCACTCTGTACTGGTTCTCCTCTTTTGGTAGAGAAATCCTGCTCTTACTTGGGCTTTCTACCAGTGGTTTCCAGCATGATTATGAAGAACAGTGTGATGCTCAGCCCAAAGATGATCCAATGTAATCAATAAAGTCCAAACCTTTATTTGCTTATACCTAATGGACAAACCCCTTTATGGATTACTGCCTCCCCTTTATGGATTACTGCCTTGTCATGGCAAAGGGGCTTGCGTAACTCAATGAAGCTATAAGCTATGCCATGCAGGGCCACCCAAGACGGACAGGTTATAGCAGAGAGTTCTGACAAAATGTGATCCACTGGAGAAGGAAATGACAAACCACTCCAGTATCTTTGCCATGAAAACCCCATGGACAGTACTAAAAGGAAAAAAGATATGACGCTGGAAGATGAGCCCCTCAGGTCAGAAGGTGTCCAAAATGCTACTGGGGAAGAGCAGAGGGCTGGTACTAGTAGCGCCAGAAAGAATGAAGTGACTGGGCCAAAGCCGAAAGGACGCTCAGCTATGGATATATCTGGTGGTGAAAGGAAAGTCCGATGCTGTAAAGATTTTTTCTCCATAGGAACCTGGAACATAAGATCCATGAATCAAGACAAGCTAGACGTAGTCAAAAAGGAGATGACAAGACTGAACATCGACATCTTAGGAATCAGCGAACTAAAATGGACAGGAATGGGTGAATTTAACTCAGATGACCATCAGGTATACTACTGTGGGCAAGAATCCCTCAGAAGAAATGGAGTAGCCTTCATAGTCAATAAAAGAATAGGAAAAGCAATACTGGGATACAATCCCCAAAATGACAGAATGATCTCAATTCGAATCCAAGGCAAACCATTCAATATCAGAGTAGTCCAAATCTATGCCCCAACCACTAGTGCTGAAGAGGATGAAATTGACCGGTTCTATGAAGCCCTACAGCACCTTATAGAATTAACACCAAAAAATGATGTCCTTATCATCATGGGGGATTGGAATGCTAAGGTAGGAAGCCAAAAGATAACCGGAATAACAGGCAAGTTTGGCCTTGGAGTACAAAATGAAGCAGGGCACAGGCTAATAGAATTTTGTCAAGAGAATACGATGGTCATAACAAACACTCTTTTCCAACAACCCAAGAGACGGCTCTACACATGGACATCACCAGACGGTCAACATAGAAATCAGATTGACTATGTGCTCTGAAGCCAAAGATGGAGAAGCTCTATACAGTCAGTAAAAACAAGACCAGGAGCTGACTGTGGCTCAGATCATGAGCTTCTCGTTGCAAAATTTAGGCTTAAATTGAAAAAAGTAGGGAAAAGCACTAGGCCACTCAGGTATGAACTAAATCATATTCCTGATGAATATACAGTAGAGGTGACAAATAGATTTAAGGAACTGGATCTGATAGACAGAGTGCCTGAAGAACTATGGATGGAAGTTCGCAACATTGTACAAGAGGTAGCAACTAAAACCATCCCAAAGAAAAAGAAATGCAAGAAAGCAAAATGGCTGTCTGAGGAAGCTTTGCAAATAGCTGAGGAAAGAAGGGAAGCGAAAGGCAAAGGAGAAAGAGAAAGATACACCCAATTGAATGCAGAATTCCAGAGAATAGCTAGAAGAGATAAGAATGCCTTCTTAAATGAACAGTGCAAAGAAATAGAAGAAAACAACAGAATAGGGAGGACCAGAGATCTCTTCAAGAAAATTGGAGATATGAAGGGAACGTTTCATGCAAAGATGGGCATGATAAAGGACCAAAATGGCAGAGACCTAACAGAGGCAGAAGAGATTAAGAAGAGATGGCAAAACTACACAGAAGAACTATACAAGAATGAGCTTAACATCCCAGATAACCACAATGAGATGGTCACTGACCTCGAACCAGACATCCTAGAATGTGAAGTGAAATGGGCCTTAGAAAATCTGAGCAACAACAAAGCTAGTGGAGGTGACAGTATTCCAGCTGAGCTATTCAAAATCTTAAAAGACGATGCAGTAAAAGTGCTACACTCAATTTGCCAGCAAATTTGGAAAACTCAACAGTGGCCACAGGATTGGAAAAGGTCAGTTTCCATTCCAATTCCAAAGAAAGGCAATGCCAAAGAATGTTCAAACTATCGCACCATTGCACTCATTTCACATGCTAGTAAAGTTATGCTTAAAATCCTACAAGCTAGACTCCAGCAGTATGTGGATCGAGAACTACCAGAAGTACAGGCAGGATTTCGAAGAGGCAGAGGAACTAGAGATCAAATTGCCAACATACGCTGGATCATGGAGAAAGCTAGGGAGTTCCAGAAAAACATCTACTTCTGCTTCATTGACTATGCAAAAGCCTTTGATTGTGTGGATCACAACAAATTGTGGCAAGTTCTTAAAGAGTCTCTTGAGAAACCTATATGCGGGTCAAGAAGCAACAGTGAGAACCGAACACGGAACCACTGATTGGTTCAAAATTGGAAAAGGAGTCCGGCAAGGCTGTATACTGTCGCCCTGCCTATTTAACTTATATGCAGAGCACATCATGAGAAAGGCAGGGCTAGATGAATCAAAAGTTGGAATTAAAATTGCCGGGAGAAATATCAACAACCTAAGATATGCAGATGATACCACTCTAATGGCAGAAAGTGAAGAGGAACTAAAGAGCCTCTTGATGCGGGTGAAGAAGGAGAGTGCAAAAGTTGGCTTGAAACTCAACATTAAGAAAACCAAAATCATGGCATCCAGCCCTCTCAATTCCTGGCAAATAGATGGGGAAGAAATGGAGGTAGTGACAGATTTTATTTTTCTTGGCTCCAAGATCACCTCAGATGGGGACTGTAGCCAAGAAATTAAAAGACGCTTGCTCCTGGGGAGGAAAGCTATGGCAAATCTCGACAGCATTCTAAAAAGCAGAGACATCACCCTGCCAACAAAAGTGCCTATAGTCCAGGCCATGGTTTTCCCAGTTGCAATGTATGGCTGTGAAAGTTGGACCATAAGAAAGGCTGAGCGCAAAAGAATTGAGGCCTTAGAACTATGGTGCTGGAGAAGACTCCTGCGAGTCCCTTGGACTGCAAGGCGTTCAAACCGGTTAGTCCTAGAAGAGATCAACCCCGACTGCTCTTTAGAAGGCCAGATCCTGAAGTTGAAACTCAAGTACTTTGGCCACCTAATGAGAAGAAAGGATTCACTGGAGAAGAGCCTAATGCTGGGAAAGATTGAGGGCAATAGAAGAAGGGGATGACAGAGAATGAGATGGCTGGATGGAGTCACTGAAGCAATAGGTGGTAGAGGACAGGAAGACCTGGAGGAATGTTGTCCATGAGGTCGCGATGGGTCGGACACGACTTCGCAATTAACAACAACAACAATGGACAAAATCTTGCCAAGCTAAAGTTATAACTTTCTAACTTACTAGATATAATCTGAGAGATTCTAGGGTGTGGCTGCTCTGAATCTCTTCCTCTTTCCCTCCACTAGTTCAGGACTATGCAGTGTCTTGATCTGGGTGTTTCTCTCATGAGATTTACTACCTCATCCCTGCAAAAGCTCTGTGTTGCCAAAACTCTTCTCCACTGATTCTCCTGGTCCACACTCCATTACAAACAGCCTCACCTACTTATTCATTTTATTTCTCTATCGTATTTGTATGGCCGCCCATCTCACAAGAGCGTGACTGGGCGGTTACATCCATGTGCTTCAATAATGTCACAACAGCCATAACCTATACAAACTAAGCATTTAAAACAGCTTAAATTCTAAAGAGCACTACAGCAAATAGAAGGCACCAAAATCACACTGCAAAACACCTTGCAAAATCTGACTTACAGCTGGCATAGAAGAGCACTGCTGTATGGTTGGTCTCTGCCAGAAATGAGAGGAAGGATTCTTCTGCCAGGGTATGGATGAGTTCCAGGGGGAGTTCATGCTTCCGATCTCTGACAACAGATTCCACCACCTCATCATCCTGAATTTCTGCAAAGCAGATGCACATTCTAATTTACAAGAGCGACAGGGTGGAGAAAAGGTACTTATATTAGCATTGGTCTGAATACACTCTGAGGAAAAAATGACGGGAGAAAATATAATGGAACTGTCTTTTTTTTCAGCCATCACTTGCTTCAGATTTTATAGGTTTCGTAGTCCAAGGTTCATAATGCACCTCCTCCCAAACAGACCTGCCTCTTGTTTCTCACCATCACCATCTGCCCCTTCACTTGCCCCTTCCTTGAGGTTGGGATTGCCTAGACCAGGGGTAGGCAACCTTGGCTCTTTTATGACTCATGGACTTCCAATTCCCAGAATTCCTGAGCCAGCATAGCTCAGGAATTCTGGGAGTTGAAGTCCATGAGTCATAAAAGAGCCAAGGTTGCCTACCCCTGGCCTAGACATTGAGGAATTTAACTCCCAGCATCCCTTATCACTGGCCATACTCTTAGGAAAGAGTAGTTCAACTTTATGGTTTGGGCTTAGCAGGAGAAGGCAACACAAATGGTCATGGCTGCTCCTTGTTCTTGCTTCTGTCACCACTTGATTGTTCAATAAGATCTTCCAAAAAAGGTGACAGAGATAAGAAGAATGACAACTTTGGGGAACATCAGTAGGATTCCTCTGAATCCTGGCAAGTAGGACAATGCCAATCTCTGACCTCTATCCTTTGGTCAGCCAAGATGAAATGAGGCCACTGGACTTTCGTCAGCAAAATCAGAGGCAAAAGATATCCAGTAGGAAAGCCTCTTTAAGAATATAGTAAAAAAAAAAAAAGGATGTGACTCAAAGAATAATCAAGAACTATTAAAAAAGACTTATCAGCTGAAGTTAAGAGACCATGAGATGATTGCCTTCCCTCTTGTCAAAGTTTTGGGAATCCAGTTGGGCTACATAAGACAGACAATTGTAAAAAAAAAAACCCACATATTTTGGGGTAAGTATGCTTGCCTTGACACAGAATGGCCCTATCATAAAATGTTTATTTTCTAGAAAGCAAACTGCTGAATTTTCTCCCTAATACCCTCCTTCCCTGCAGGATACTATCAGCCCGTAGTAAAAAAAAGAATATATTTTTGCACTACCAATGGATACCTTTATTAACAAAATACTAGGCAGCAGTTGTTTATCATGTTTATTTTCAGCTCCAAGCCCTATGAAGAATTCAAGAGAATTCTGGGGAATAAATGATTTGGAAATTGCTTTCCAGCAAATGCTGGTGGCCTCTGATGCAAATATCAACCCTTGTTAGCTTTTAACAACCAGCCAATATTGGTTATGTGCTGCCCTCTAGCTGGGCCAATATACAATAATATGTAGAAACAGCGTGACTGCAAAACAAATTGCGTAAATAATTTGCTCATCTCTGGTGAATATGGAATCTATCCAGGCTACCAGGAAAAGAAAATGTGTCAAAAATCAGCATTTTGAGCATGTTATTTTAACTATCAAGCTGTAGAAGGACGGCGATGAAATGTGTTACTGATAAAGGAGAATATTTGTATCTCAGGGTTGAAATGAGGGGTCCCTGGTGCTCTCTGAGCTTGGTTGTTTTCTTGCAGATGTTTCATTACCCAAACTAGGTGACATCATCAGTCTAGCAGATGACAGCAGCTAAATGTAGATGATCTTTAATATGTAGATGATGTACCTAGTTTGGGTAATGAAACATCGGCAAGAAAACAACCTTATCAGAGAGCACCAAGGACCCCTCAATGAAACGTGTATCAGACAGGCTAGTGAATACAATGAGAAAAATAATTTTTGTCTACCTTTTTTTTAATTGGAAAGCAAAGAAATAAATTTGTGAAAACTTAACAGGTCAAAGACACTTCTGAGGAATCTTAATTACCTTGTTCATTGTTCTCATTCTTCACTCCCTCCTCCTCCTCCTCCTCCTCCTCCTCCTCCTCTTCATAAACCTCTTCATTATTATCCAGACTAGGTTTGCTCTGCTCACCATTTATCACCAATGCTACAATTTCATCTGCATCTTTCAAAGTGAGGTATTTAACAGGCATATCCTGCAGAGATGTACAAATATCCAAAAATGTGGCCCAAAATATGATGTAAGGGAGAGTCCAGATTTCAATTGTTCAGCACACCACATAATCAGAGGTAAGGCATGGGAATTATTATAATCCTTATAAACAAATGGGGTTGCTGCTATTGAATATTGATCTTCAGATCAAATCTCCAACTCTCAGTATTAGATGCATTTTGACTGACACTATTAAGAGCTGTCTGGAAATATTCCAAGGTTATCATCACCAATAAAAAATACATTACTAGTATACACTCTATATCACAGAACAGCTAAGGCTGCAGATTTTATGTGCATAATTCTGGAACTAAGCAGGAGCATTTCCTTTCCAGCAGACAAGCCTAGGATTGCACAATAAATTAAAAAGTCAGTCTGAAATAACTACGATGACCACTTACCTCCTCAATTGTCTTGATAGCCACATTGTATCGGGAAGAAACATCCAGACCAACAGAATTCCTTTAATGACATAAAAGTTTAAATTGTGAGTTACAATATATAGAGAATCACACCTTTGCAATGTTTTCAGAGATAAATGAGCAATACTGCATCAGACCACATTATTATTGTGTTCAAATTATTCAAAACGTCTCTGTACGAAAACAGATGCTCCATGAAAAACAATTAGCATGTCAGAAAGATTAAATGAAAACCCTTTTGCCCTGATGTGCTACTTATCCATGTCTATAGATATAAGGGAGAAAGCCATGGTCTTATCTACAAATGCAACCAAAGTATTAACTAGTTTGTTCAAATTCTTTTTGTCCTGATTAGACATAGACATAGAAGCATAGGGCTGGAAGGGACTTTGGAGGTCTTCTAGTTCTAGTCCAATCCCTGTCTAAGGCAGGAGTCCTTTTACCGTCCCAGACAAATGCTTGTCCAGTGTTTTCTTGAAGACCTCCAGCATGGAGCACCCACAACTCTGCGAGGCAAGCTGTTATTCCATGGATTGTTCTCACTGTCAGGAAATTTCTCCTTAGCTCCAGGTGGAATCTCCCTTCCACTCATTGCTCCTTGTCCTGCCTTCAAGTACTTTGGAGAATAAGTCAACCCTCTCTTCTCTGTGAAAACCCTTCAACTTATTTTGTTTGACTGCCCTTCTTAATCCACTTGTCCTTAATTTCTCTTATCTATCCAAATGTTCTTTCACTGTGACAAATTTCCTCTTGGGTCTGAGACCAAACTTTCATGAGCCCAGGTATATCTCCAGGTCCTTTGGTTCTGCCAACAGTATTCCCAACAAAACTAGATGGGGAACTCATCAAATTTGCAGACGACACCAAGCTGGCAGGAATAGCCAACACTCCAGAAGATAGGCTTAAGATACAGAAGGATCTGGACAGACTTGAACACTGGGCACTAATTAACAAAATGAAATTCAATGGTGAAAAAAGCAAGGTTCTACATTTACGCAAAAAAACCGAAATGCACAGGTATAGTATAGGGGGTACCTTGCTCAATAGTAGTAACTGTGAGAGGGACTTCGGAGTTCTAGTGGACAATCACCTAAATATGAACCAGCAGTGTGCTGCATGTGCCAAAAAGGCCAACACAGTGCTAGGCTGCATTAACAGAGGGATAGAATCAAGATCACATGAAGTATTAATACCACTTTACAATGTCTTGGTAAGGCCACACTTAGAATACTGCATCCAGTTTTGGTCACCACGATGTAAAAAAGATGTTGAGACTCTAGAAAGAGTACAGAGAAGAACAACAAAGATGATTAGGGGACTGGAGGCCAAAGCATATAAGGAACGACTGCTGGAATTGGGTATGCCTAGTTTAATGAAGAGAAGGACGAGGGGGGACATGATAGCAGCGTTCCAATATCTCAGGGGCTGCCACAAAGAAGAGGGAGTCAAGCTATTTTCCAAAGCGCCTGAAGGCAGGACAAGAAGCAACGGGTGGAAACTAATCAAGGAGAGAAGCAACCTAGAAATAAGGAGAAACTTCCTGACAGAATAATTAACCAGTGGAACAACCTGCCTCCAGAAGCAGTGAATGCTCCAACACTGGAAGTTGTTAAGAAGAGACTGGACAGCCATTTGTCCGAAATGGTATAGGGTTTCCTGCCTGAGCAGGACTAGATGGCCTCCAAGGTCCCTTCCAACTTTACTACTACTACTACTACTACTACTACTACTACTACTACTACTACTACTACTATTATTATTATTATTATTATTATTATTATTATTATTATTATTATTATTATTATTATTAAAATATGTGGAACTCTCTCCTTGGCTACAACACATGTACACAGAGATAACAAAAGATGCCGAGCCACAGACTTCACTGAGAAGTCCAGTCATGGCATCCAGGGTTACCTGCTTTATAAAAAGAATTGTTTCATATTGCTTTTACTTGCTTCCTTTGAGCAATGCTTGAGGATCAAATTGTACATTACACTATTGTATATACATAATAGAGCACAAGTAAACATTAACATTAGTAAAGCACCAGCATGAAAGTCCCAGAACCACATGGAAGCTGAAGAAGCCTATTTAACATCATCCCTGCATCCATCCCTGCATGAATTATTGTGGAATTATCATATTAATTATTTTGCTTTGATCTAAAGCAAAGTAAAATCAAATTTGTGTTCTGACCCTTCCCATTACTTTTGGAGTATGGTCCAGCAAAGCATTCCTAACACACACAGAGACACAAACACACACCCCAACTAAGGTATATGACCTCTCACTAAGCTGAAATTAGAAAGAAAAGCAGATGTGGATTCTGCCTAGTGCAGCCACATTTATTATCTGGTTCATTGGCCAAATTTTAACTGCCCACAAGTTTTGGGATGTAACTGTTAGGGTAAGGAGTGCTGGAAATTGTAACTCAACAACTTCTGGCCAATTATAAATCCAAATGATGTTAAAATTGTTTCACAAGCAGAAGTCACAAAAGCCCAAATGGTATGAACGCACATTTTAATACACACTTTTTTTTATAGCAAATGTTCAGAAGTTTAAAGGCTTTAAGTCATTTAACCAATGGTTAGTAAAGACAGAGACACAAATAACATTTCAATAAGCTAATGGTTTGAATAATAGCTTATTCTCCCTCTCCCAGCTTAATTGCAAACTGACCAAATTATGAAAGATAAGCAAGTGTATTCAGCTCTTGCAGAATTCATCTTTTATTTATTTCAGCAGGGTGCTCATGTTGGGAACTCATGCTTGCTCTTTCCTATCTGCGCTGACAAGATCTTATATTGCTGATGTTGTTTAATCGCAGGAATGAGCATTACTGCAGGAACACCTGCCCATCTATAGCCTGTTTCAGTCAAATCCATCCTATTTGCTAGGAATAATAAGAACAGCATTCAAACATTTCTTGCAGACATCAGTTTGGGAAGGGATGCAATTAAGATTCAGGCACCCAGGTTAATTTCTTAAGCCAAGTCTTTTTTAACCGTGGCAACTTTAAGATGTGTAGATTCTGAGAGTTGAAGTCCACACAACTTAAAGTTGCTAAGGTGGAGTTACACTGTCCTAAGCAAAAGGATAGGCTTCAACCTTAGACATGTTTGATTGGAAGTAAGTCCCTCCTCTAAATCTTTCCAGGGATATTTGTGGAAGTTGGAAAGGTTGGGGGACAAAACTGTCAAGATGGCAGTCACAATCAAAGTTCAGTCTCTTATTACATGCATGTTGGATGCATCATATCAACATAAATTTTAATGAGGAGCTTTAACTGGAGCTTCAACCGTGCAGTAGCATTTGCCTCCATCCTGGAGGCAAGTCTATGGAGATTCTCAGTCATCCAGGTCATGGTTGTTCCAAAGATACATTGTTAAAAGGCAACTGGACTTTGTTTTTCCTTAAAAATGTTTTGCTTGTCTCCAAGAAGCTTCTTCCACTTTGGAAGAAGCTTCTTTCCAAGCTTCTTAGATGAGAAAAAAAATGTCATCAAGAAAAAACAAAGTCCAGTTGCCTTTTGAAAGTACACCTTTGGAACAACCATGACCTGGATGACTGAGAATCTCCATAATCTTGTCTCCATGATTTTTGGGACCCCATGCAGATGCCCCTGACACTTGATGTGAGTCTTTGAGCATTTCCAGCCTAAAGAATTACACTGATAAGAACAGTGATAGGATAAATCCTCCCCTTTTTTCTGCCTCCCCACTTTTTAATTCCAAAGGACCTTGACAAAAGGAGGACTCCTGCTTTCCCCAGCACCTGCCAGGCTACAGATTCGGCAATCATCTTGTCTGCTTCCAAGGTTTCTTCCTGGCTCAGAATGAAAATGAGTGGTAGACCAAGTTGGAGATGAGTAGTTGAAATCTTTTCAGGATCTTCTGCAACCTCCACCTGGAGAAAAAACACCAGTATAAAAGATCAGCTGAGATGTGCTGCAGGTGGACCATCAAGTGGACATGATACAGAAGAAAAAGGAATGGGCAGGACAAACTCCACCATAGTAGCAATGCTTTTTATGAGGATAGTTTCTAGTAACTATCTTCCCTTGCCAAGACTTTCTTTTTTGGGGAAGGAAAGGATGCTGTGCTATTTTGGAGCTTGGTCCTGCTACTAATTGATGAGGCCAAAATATGATTTTCTTCCACTAAAGAAAAGGGAAGAAATTTTAGGATATTAAGCTCTAATATTTACAACATTTTAGACTGGATTTACTTTAATCTGACCAACAGCAAAAGATGTTTTCAGAATATAAGTCCTAGACCCAGTATGCAAACCAAATACTTCTCTGATATTTTGTGCTACCGGTACTTGCTAAAAATAATCGTAGCTTTTATTTTCAAAATTTGCTAAATGTAGTGAAAGGGGATATATTTCCACCTATCCATTATCCCCTTTCTTCCTTGTACCTTTCCCAGCATTAGATTCTTTTCTAGAGAATTGGATCTTTGCACAATGTGCCCGAAGTAGGATAATCTGAGCCCAATCATTTGTGACTCAAATAAGAACTCTGGGTTTATTTGATCAATGATTCGTTTGTTTTCTTGGTTGTCCATGATATGCTCAGGATTGTTCTCCAACACCAAAGTTCAGAAGTGTCAATACTCTTCTTATCTTGCTTCTTCAAAGTCCAACTTTTGCTTCCGTACAGCATCATGAGGAATACCATGGCTTACATGATTCTGATCTTTGTCGGTGTAGATACATCATGGCATTTGAATAATTCTTCAAAGGCTTTCATGGCTGCTTTACCAAGTGCTAGTCTGCAGTGCATTTCTTGACTGCTTGTTCCTTTACTGTTGATAATTGATGCTAAAAATCAGAAGCTATCCACCACTTTAATATCTTCACTGTCAATTCTAAGGGTGGTTGTTCTACCGGTTATCATGTATTTGGTCTTTAATTTTAGCTCCATTTTTTCACTGTGGTTCTTGACTTTTATTATTAGAGCTTAGAGATCCTTTGCGTTTTCAGCTGTTAGAGTTGTTTCATCAGCATAGCATAGGTTATTGGTGTTTCTTCTTCTAATTTTAAAACCTCACTTATCTTCTAATCCAGTTCCCCATAATATATATACTGTATATGTGTGTGTGTGCAGTCCTCGACTTACAACAATTCAGCCCAAAATTTATGTTGTTTAGTGAGATATTTGTTAAGTGAATTTTGCCCCATTTTACAACCTTTCTAGCCATAGTTGTTAAGTGAATCATTGCAGTTGTTAAGTTAGTAACACGGTTGTTAAGTGAATCTGGTTTCCCATTGACTCTGCTTGTCAGAAGGTCTCCAGAGGTGATCACATGGCCCCAACCGTCATAAATATGAACCAGTTGCCAACCATCCGAATGTTGTTCATGTGACCATGAGGATGCTGCAATGGTCGTAAGTGTGCTGTTGTAACTTTGAATGGTCACTAAATGAACTGTTTGTGTGTGTGTGTGTGCGTGTGTGTGTGTGTGTGTGTGTGTGTGTGTGTGTAAACCTCTTAGAGAGGGCTGTAAAGCACTGTGAAGTGGTATATAATTCTAAGTGCTATTGCTATGGTGCAGTTTTGTCAAAAACTGGAAGTAACCTCCAGTTTTTGGCAAAACTGTCATAAAATGCAGTCCCACGACCACGGAACACCGCAAATGCCCATAAATGTGGCCATATTACCGAGTGCTCAAAATGTAGTCACTTAACCACAGGGGGAGGAGGGGAGCGGGTTTGTCATAATTGGGTCATAACTTCAAATGGTCACTGACTAGTCATAAGGCAAAGACTACTGTACTGTATTGCACATACTTTCAATTTCCTTTTTGCTTAAAAACAATAACAACAGGATTTCCCCCCCCCCGTTCCTTTAACATTTCCATTGATTCCACTAGCCCAGGGACAACCATGCTGGCTCATGGGAGTTGAAGTCCACGAGTCATAAAAGAGCCAAGGTTGCCTACCCCTGCACTAGCCCTTCTGGATGCAACTCGTCTCTGATACGTTTTGAAGGGAATTCAGAACACAAGAGGAACATCTTGAAAAGAAGTCACCTACCACCAGAGGCTCCCCCATCAGTTTCAGAAACTTGTGGATGCTTAACGTAGTCAATGGCTGTTCCATCAGAGTCCTGTGGCATGGCTGTTTAGGATCCATGGCCACCTTACAGTGGCAAAAGAAGAGTTTCGAAGACGGCACCTCTGGCTCTTCACTGCTGAAGTAGGAAACCACAAATCAAAAAATGAGTTGGCTTTGTCTGCCACATCCCAACCCCTGGCTACACTATGTACAGGATGGAAGACAAACAAAAAACAAGGCCTTCTACCATATGTGAAAGGTCATCGTGTGTGTGTGTGTGTGTGTGTGTGTGTGTGTGTGTGTGTGTGTATTCATTCCAAACAGCTACCTGTATCAAAGCCTCGATTCCTTAATTCAGCAGCCCCCAACCTTTTGGGCACCAGCGACCAGTTCTGTGGAGAGAAATTTGTCCATGGACTGGAAGGGGCGTGGTTTCACATGCTGCCTGCATCCCGCAGATGGGGCTTCACTTGTTTGTGCGGCCCAATTTCTGGCATGCCACAGACTGGTGCCGGTCCACGGACTGGGGATTGGAGACCACTGCCTTAAGTGACACCTACATTTTTAATAGATCCACAAAACTGGTGACCAGTTACTCACCACTCCCTTCTTAGCATCGCTGCCTTTACTTGGTTGGACCTCTATATCCAGCCAGACTTGCCACTTCTCCAAATTCTTCTATCTTTTTCATAAGCTTAAAGCTTGTCTCAAGAGGCTCTTCTAATATAAAGACTAAATCGTCTGCAAATGCTTGTAATTTGTATTTTTCATTTTTTATTTCCAGTCTTTTAAATTCCATCTCTTAAATTCCGCCTAATATTTCTATTTAATACCTCCAATGTTAGTATGAATAGCAATGGAGATAGTGGACACTCTTGTCTTGTGCCTATTTTAATATTGAAATTTTCTGTAAAATCTCCATTTACAATTACTTTAGCTGTTTTGTCTGTAATAAATTGTTTTGATTATATTTATGAAGTTTTTCCCAAAGTCATTGCTGCCTTTACTTGGTTGGACCTCTATATCTAGCCATGGCAGTAACCAGAGCAGAATTGTTGCCTCTTAAGAGGATGAAGCTGTCTTCCCTCATGTTCTGTTTCTGATTGGCATTTAATGCTAGCCTGAAGACTTTGGCCTGATGCATATGGGCTCTTCTAGAGAAATGCCTACCGAATGCTCTTCAGAACTGCCACTTCAGTAGTTAAGGCAAACTTAACTGAGCCATAAACAAATGCAGCCTCCATGAAGACTCGGTGCTCTAGAAAGAGAAAATGTTTATTCATCAATTCCTCTAGATGACTAAAGCTTGTCTTTCTGTCTCTCTTCTTCCTTTCCCCTTAAATCAAAAATATGGGTAGCCTTTGGACGTCTGAGCCTTTTGAAAAACAACCACTGCTTAGTAATTTTTCAACTTAGAAAAAACAATACTGAGTATAAGGGATACAATAGTAACCGCATTTAATTTAATTCAAATTGAAAAAAAATTAATTTTGGAGACTGTTCTTTAGAACGCTGGGGTACATGTAGTCCTCGACTTATGAAAATTAAGCCCAACATTTTTGTTGCTAAGTGAGACATTTGTTAACTGAGTTTGTGCCCCATTTTAGACCTTTCTTGCCATAGTTTTAAGTAAATCACTATAGTTGTTAAGTTAGTAACAAAGTTGTTAAATGAATCTGGCTTCCCGATTGACTTTGCTTGTTAGAAGATTGCAAAAGGTGATCATATGACCCTGGGACACTGCAACCGTCATAAATATGAGTCAGTTGCCAAGCATCTGCATTTTGATCACATGACCATGGGGATGCTACAATGGTCGTGTGAAAAACGGTCATAAGTCGCTTTTTTTCAGCGCTGTTGCAACTTCAAACGGTCACTAAATGAACTGTTGTAAGTCGAGGACTACCTGTACTCCAGAAACAAAGCACAACCAGGAGTACTACTTCTATCTTTATTGTAAAGTTACATTAACAGAATCTTGCCGTTCCAAAGGTGCTTCTCCCTTCCTTTCCTTTTACTCTCTGGAAAACTAGGGAGGATCCCTCCTGAGATGCTTCCCACACCCTCCTTCCTCCTTCTCTGGGCTGAGATACCTTTTACACCCTAATTGTCCAGTCTGCGGCTCTTCCTCCTGTCATCCAAGATCATTCCCACGTACCATTACGGTTCTTCAGTGTACCACTCAAAGGCCAAGTATACTCCTTCATTGTGGAGAACACCACACACTCACTCCTGTCCTAAACCAACTTAATCCTGACTTTGCAAACTCCAGGCAAAATCTACCCATGTCAAATGCTATTCAAGTTTATGGCATGTACGAACAGACATAATACATATCACTTACCTTTTATTTATCTACATATTAGTCATACATACTGCTTACCTCTTCCAGCCCAGTTCAAAATACAAGAGAAAACTATAAGACAGCACTAAAAATAGAAAACATTTAGCAGGAAAGTGGCATGTTAGTTCAAAGCAAAACATATCGCAAAAGCAGCAGCCCATGAATGATAGAAAGCTTTGTGAATGGGTACTAGAGCTGTAGGATTACCTGCTGTCCCAATAGCTTGCACATATGCGAAAGCAAGATCAGACCAACCCTTCAGAGAGTCTTCTAAATGCTGAAGGTCCATCAGCGTTGAAATATATTTCACTTCATTGAAGAGGAGAGCACTGGGAAGAAAACAGGATGACCAATATGTGAAGACCCTCAGCAAGAAAACAAGCCATCTGCATTTTAAGTAAGAGAATTTAAAAGGGGCCTAAAACACAATGCCCTTTATATTACCGTAATTTAATAAACATGTATATACTTCCTGTTTGATGGCTTTCAAACTGGTTCCTCCTAAAAACAGCTAAATAAATTAGGAAACTTTGTATTTAAAAAAACCCTAAGTTGTGCTCTACAAATCAGAATGTATGGCTTGTTATTCTGAGAAATCCACGAAAATAATGAACTGTAGTTTCAGATTGAGCTTGCTAGACACAAGGATGTGTGAATCCATTCAAGTCCAGTGAGATCTACTTTGAGTTTGTTTGTTTTGGTGCCTTCAAGTTAGTATTGACTCCCAGCTACTACTTGGACAAGTCCTTGCAGTTTTCCTGAGAAGATTTTGGAAGTGGTTTGCCATTGCTTCCTTCCTAGAGCTGAGAGGGAGGGACTGGCTCAAGGTCATCCAGCTGGCTTTATGATGAATGGGACTAAAATTCTTGGTCTCCCAATTTCTAGCTTGGTGTCTTAACTACTACATTGGCTATCTTTGCTTTTTTAGCAAAGCAGTATTCTGGTCCCTATTAAGTGATTCATTTTAAATAGAAGTGGTACAACTCCACACCCCAATGGATCCTGAACCCAGGCCACTGTTGGTTGCTGTGCAGAAATTTGGCTTGTACATCACCACAGGGTGGCACCCAAAGAAAGAGTAATAAAGAATAATATAGAACTCAGCTTGGAAGAATTGTCACATGTCATTCTTGGTTTTGGGCCTGACAGATTATCAACATTTCAAGGAAATAAATCCAAGCCCTTTAACAACTACGAGGTCAGATCTTTATTACAAACTCCTACCAAAGACTCCTTGCTCTGTCACTTTTCTGCTTCGTTCCTAAAATCCTGCTGTCTAGAACTCTCTCTGGTAATTTCTCATTAACCAGCTGGGACTATCTGCTTTCCATTAAAAAAATGAAAAGCAGCTCATTAGGGAAAATAACATCAGGAAATACCCCAAACAAGAGAATTTTAACTAGCTTTAATATTTTTTAAATTGTATTTGTATTTAGCTTTGTTTGCTGCCTTGAATAAAGGCAGGATGTCTTCTCCTCCTTCTCCTCCTTCTACCACTTTGGGTGTTGAGAGAGAGTTTTGGTTCTCGCTCTTCTGGCAGCTTCAATTCTTGTTATTTACAGGCAGGATGTACATTGAGAAAATAAAAGAAAGAGAACTTACAAAAGTACATTTGCCACAATGGCATCCAAGCTGAACAAGGCATCTATGGCAAGTTCATGAACCAACACATGGGCTCTGGAAAACAAGATAAATGCTTATAGCTAGCTGGCAGCTTCTGCAAGAATATAAACACAGTCTATCACATGCTGCATCTTTGGGATGGTGGGAGTCAGACTTCTTTACGGGGTGCCAGTGAACCTTCAATATGCCCAGTAACATGCAGAATGGAAGCAAAGCTACTGAATGCCATTTCTATTTAATATGTGTTTCTGTTGCACCGAGCAGTTGTATCGAATGGTGTCCAGACTAAGATCTGACCCCTCAATCTTTCAAGAACCCTCAGAACCAGCCCTTTTCTCAAATGATAGTTGATCTGATTTGCTATAGATTCATATGTCTAAGGGCTGAATGTCTACAGTGATTCTAAGTCATCCAGGTCATGGTTGTCCCAAAGGTGCTTTCCCCAAAATTCACTTTCTGGACAGAGAGGACCACTGCTTTGGCGTGAGGTCAAAGAGGCCATCTATGTTAAAATTGAACATCCCTCTCTCAACAGAAGGGGAAAGATACAAATCTCTTGTTTACAATGCAGTCCTTTCAGGAGTCCCAAGAAGACTCCACACCCATTAGCACACTGATTCGGGTGATCTGAGGATATAGATAAATCCCCAGGTGGTCTCAAAGAATATAAATCCTTCTATTTCCCACCAGTCAGCTAGAACTGAAGAAGCTTCTCAGATGAGAAGTGAAACGTTTTCAAGGAAAAAAACAAGAAAAGCATCTTTGGGTCTGAGGGCTGAAGCTTGCAAGATGGGAAATAAGGAACCTAAGAGAAGACACGATCATTATGTAAACATAGGTCAGGCTGCTAGAGTCTTCAGGCCATACTATTTAGTTAATATACCCCTTGATAAAACTGCTTAAATTGGTGATCCTCACCACATCTGATGGCATTGGTGTTTGGTCTAGTTACAAAATCAATACTTCTCTTATTAGAATTGAATAGGTTTGAAACTCACTACTGGAATTCTAATACTGGGAGAAAAAAAATAGCTGGGTCCACCTTTTCCACAACGTGCATGTTTTTATACACAGCCATCAGAACCTAATGGTTCATTTAATGAAATGGGGTGTTTCAGCAAAATAAAAGCATCTGTTTTCAGTTCAAAGCACGGATAAAGAAGTTCATTTCATTCCAGAGCAGACCAAACTCAGCCTTCTCTCCTTTGCTTTCCTACGATTAATAGGCTAACTTTGGGTGACCAAAGTTAAATTTTCCTAAATATATAAATAAACTCAGCTGCCCTTGTTTTGTTAGCCTCCAAATGTTGTGTTAAAATTCCTATCACCTTTGGGCAGGAAAAAAAAGAAGCTGGGGAAGGACACAGACTGAGGGAGAGCACACACAATCTGAGCTCAATGCCAAGCTATAGAAACAGTCCTCAGGTTATGACCACTTGTTCAGCAACCATTCAAACTAACAATGTTGCTGAATGAGGGGGACCTACAATAAAGCTGTAGCCGTTGCAGCATCCCCACGGGCACATGATTGTGGTTCAGGCATTTGGCAATCAGCTCACACCTGAAGAATCCTGCAGTTATATCAGTGTTTCCCAAACTTGACAATTTTAAGGCATGAGGACTTCAACTCCCAGAATTCCACAGCCAGCAACGCTGGCTGTGGAATTCTGGGAGTTGAAGTCCACATGCTTTAAAATTGTCAAGTTTGGGAAACACTGAGTTATATGATCAGTATTTGAGACCTTCCCACAAGCAAAATCATTGAGGAAGCCGGCATGAGATCTTTTCATCTACCTGAACACCATAATGCCATTGCAGCACTTCCCCATGCTCTATAGCACCTGACCACCCATAGTTCTCACCTGCTGGCCTGGGATTCCCACCTTTTCCAACATTGTGGTCACATAAGATCCTTGATTAATACCTGCACTGTCCTGGGATTATGACAGCAACCAGGACTGCCAGGATTGTTGTCACTAAGTGATACAATCATGTGACATCTTACTTTACAACTGCATTGCAAAGTGACAGACATTCTGGCCCAATGCCTGTTGTAACCCAAGGACTAGCTATGTAAGCTGAATCACTGTAATTTATTCATTTGTAATCAGACAAACTCTTTACCTGAATAGGTATACTTTTCCCAAGGAGTTATCTCCTCTGCAGTAGCTGGAGGCTTCTCCTCTTTGGCAGTTAACCTACGAAGAAGAAAAAATACTAACATCTATTGAGAAACAATCGTAATATTAACTACCATGTGGCAAAAGGATGAAACCTGCAAACAGCTCAGTTATATAATAGTGAAGTTGATTGCTATCATCAAGAATTAATCAAACCCAAACTTGCTTAGCTTTCTAGATCATTCTCAAATCACCTGCTGAGACTTACTGTGATTCATTTGGAAAACACTTATATGAAAACCTTCCTCTCAACCTCCACATCAACAAATTAGACAAACTGAGTGATGCATTAAATATACATTTCAGGAGTCTGAATTTGCTTATTTTTAGAAAACAACTTTGGGGAAACATCAGGATTGAGAATGAGGCCTATGAGTTGAGCTTTTGTGTCCTTGCATCACAATCCTGTTCAAAACCCTAACTTCCAAAGCTGTTTTTTGCTCTTGGAGAGAAGCTCCTATTAATATCAATAGTGAAATAGTAGCACCTATTATTATAAATAAAAGCAGACATGTTATATAAAACCATGATGTAAATGAATTGTCTCATTGGACCCATATTAAATGAGGAAAAAAACCCCTCTCTCCCTTTGTTATTCCCAGATCTCCAATGTTCTCCTTCTACATACCTTCTCTTTATACAGTGCTAGAAGGCAGCAACTCAATGATAGAACTGAGCCTTAGACATTCTAATTTATAAGCTAAGAAAAACATGCAGAACTTCTGGAATTTTTTCCAACCCTTTCCAGAGTAGCCCTAAATTCATGCATATGTATATACAGGCTACATAGACTCTGCCCTGGATCACATGAGTGCAACAGAGCAGCTGTCAATGTTTGAGCCTTTCCCACAGCTGGAAGAATGTCCTTCTTTATAGCCTCCAGATTGATCCAGGCCATTTTTTTTTTACCACATTCTTTTTCCCTGCACACCAAATGTGGTTCCATTCTATTTAGTATTCAGAGATTTACCATGCTGACAGACAGAGGGATACAGCCTCAATCGCTTTACTTAATTTCTTTCCAATTTTCTACTGAGTTGGGCAGAACAAAAAGAAAACAGTAATGGGAAAACGGTTATCTCAGGACTTAACAGTCAAACACATTGCACTAGGTAGACAGAGAATAAATTGACACAGTAGGATTATGTTTTGTTGAAAACAATAGAGAACTATTTCACTCTCCAATCAAAAGCTGATGTGCAATTTGTCATTTATATTGTAGTAGAATTTGGCTGGACTGTCTTGAAATTCCAAAAATGTCATGCTTCCCTAAGAATTATAAACCAGAAAACAATCCCACCTTTAAAATAGAAATCCCATAATCTTGGAGAGCTTCTCTGGAGTTCTCCAGCTGCTCCAAGAACACCTCACTATGTGGTAAAACTGGAATAAAAAAAACAAGACCTTCACTGGTATCATAATGACAATCACAGTGATGTTTTTAGTATTTCTAAAGCATTGTTTAATTTTCATCTTTTTTTCAGAAATCAGGGGAATAGAATAGAATAGAATAGAATTGAATAGAATAGAATAGAATAGAATAGAATTGAATAGAATAGAATAGAATAGAATAGAATAGAATAGAAAGGACTTTAAAGGTCTTCTAGTCCAGCCCCCAACACGAGCAGGAGAACCTATACCATCTCAGACAAGTGACTGTCCAATCTCGTGTTAAAAACCTCCAGTGATGGAGTGCCCATGATTTCTGGAGGCAAGGTGTTCCACTGGTTAATTGTCCTCACTGTTAGGAACTTTCTCCTTAATGCCAGATTGCTTCGCTCTTTGATCATTTTCCAACCATTGTTTCTTGTCCTGCCCTCTGGTGTGTTGGAGAATAATTTGACCCCCTCTTCCTTGTGGCAGCCTCTCAAATACTGGAATTCTGCTATCATGTCACCTGTTTCTTCTTTTCTTCAGACTAGCCAAACCCAAGTCCTGCAGCCACTCTTCATATGTTTTAGTCTCCAGGCCTTGGATCATCTTAGTTGCTCTTCTCTGAACTTTTTCCAAGGTCTCAACATCTTTTTTATAATATGGTGACCAAAACTGGTTGCAGTATTCCAGATGTTGTCTCACTAGGACTTTATAAAGCGGTACTAATACGGTACCAGCTTATATTGGATTTAACAGCAGGAATGAATGTACGGTATCACTCTCTCTGCATTGTTGGCTTGACTTGAGATCCTCATGTTGATTTAAGGCCATTTTTATTAACCAGCTTATCTTTTACCTCTGTTCTGTATCCATAATGACAAAGATAGGAAAGGGCACAGAAGGCCTTGAAGGACAGAAGGAAGAGCTACTACCAAGGCCAGATAAGAGGGGTTGGAGCCTGTGCCAAGAAAGTAATTTGAGCAAAGGTTTCAAACAAACCCCTCTCTACTTCACATGAAGATAAAAGAAAGGAAGGAAGAAGTACACTCAGACTTACATGATTTCATGACTAGGACTGTTATGTTAATAGCACTACAGGTAGTCCTCGACTTACAACCACAATTGAGCCCAATATTTCTGTTCCTAAGCAAGACATTTGTTATGTGAGCTTTGCCCCATTTTACGACTTTGCTCGCCACAGTTGTTAGTAAAATGAATCTAGCTTCCCCATTGACTTTGCTTGTCAAAAGGTCACAAAAGGGGACCACATGACCCCCAAGACATGGCAACTGTCATAAACATGAATCAGTTTCCAAGCATCCCAATATTGGTCATGTGACCATGGGGATGCTGCAACAGTCGTGTGAAAAACGGTCATAAGTTGCTTTTTTCAGTGCCATAGTAACTTTGAATATCACTAAATGAACTGTTGTAAATCGAGAATTGCCTGTACTGACTTATATGGCGCTGGTTTCTTAAACTGGCCTTCTCTAGAATGGCACGTAAATTATGAGATTCCTTCCCAATGAAATCTTGCTTGAACTTCCTCTCAAATCATCTTTTAAGGTGAGGAAAATCTCTTGCGGCTGAGCCCTATATCCAGTGCTGAATGGCATATAAAGATTAAAAGCTGGTGTGCCCAAGGGGAAAATTAAGCAAGCCATAAGAAAATTAAGCAGAGTTCAAAGTTGAGCTATATGTAAAATAAACAAGATAAATGTATCAGTGCCATCGTCAATATCAAAGGCTCCAGAAGGTGATCATAAATATTGATGGCTTTGTTGTGACTGTTCTTCCTCAGACATTAAATTAGATCAGGGTTGCCCTCTAAACAGCCAAAGTCACCTTCCTAAGGACAAGACACAGCCTATTCCAGTCGAACCACTATAGAAAGGGTCTTAAAGATAAATAAAGCATAGGGAAAAAAATCTGAACCACAGCTATGTAAGAAATCATTACGCCAACCAAAATATCACAAAATCATATACAATCTTTCACATTCTAGAGAACTCTTCATCAAATTAGACAGGTGGAAGGAACTAATGCCTGAGGGAATCAGATCACCATGGGTATCTCCCTCATCATCCACCCCACCTGACTTTTTGAAAGATTATTTGGAATCGGGGTTTCCACTATGAGTCATGGCTGACTAAAGACATCTCCATGAACAAGTGAATGGGACAAACATTGTGTAGAATGAAAAGCTCATTGTCATTATGAGTGAATCATCAGAATATATACTTTATGCACACTGCAACTTGGTTCCTAAACCTAGTCATGTAAGTTCTCTTTCTTTCCTAACCAATTTTCTCAAAAAAAAAAAATCTGGTGAAAATACTCACCATCCTTCTGAAAATAAACCAAAGATGCTTTAGATGCTTGCAAGTTGCTAAAATATTCCTGGGGACTTAACTCTGGAATCACATTTTTGACACTGCTTGTCACTGAGATGTAAGAAACTGACATGAGCAGGAAAAAGAAGCGAGTCCCTTGAGTTATTTGTGGTGATGACATGTCTCTAGCTGCTCAAAGTTGTCCCAGGGAGAATTCAAATTTAAAGATATACTGGGTAAAAAGGAAAAATAAATAAAATACAAACTTGTTATTCCATAGAAACGTACAATACAGATAAAAAGGTAAAGAATATCTTTCTACCCTAGTTCAACATTCTAACCCAGGGTTCCCCAAAGTGATCAATTTCGACCCCTCAAAAGTAGATAGGACTATCTATTATTGTGGTTGGTTGCACTGACTGGAGGAGTGGCCTAGAGGTGAAGATTCTTGCCTCCCATTCAGAAGGTTGAGAGTTCGACCCTAGGCAGTGACAGATATTTCTCTATCAGGGCTCAAAGAGAAAATATTTGTTGCCAATTCCAGTAAATGCTCAGATCCATTCAGTCACCTCAACTCCATCCAGGATTAAGGATGGCAGAAAGAAAAAAAATGTGTGTGGTTGGTTGCATAGTCAGCCAGATATTTAGACTGGATTTGGCATTTTTATCCACCTATCGTCCATTTCAGGATTTGGGATAGGCCAGGGGTAGGAAAAGAGCCAAGGTTGCCAACCCCTGGAATAGGCAAATGTCGTTTGATGTTGTTAAATATATCTTCACAAGATATAAACTTTCTAAGTAAAGCTGCCTTTTACAATAGACTGATGGTGATTTTGTTAATGCTGATGGTGTTCAAGTGGTGCTCCAGATGTTTTGAGATTGCACCCAAGGCGCCTATTACTGTTGATACTACTGTTGCTTTCTTTTGCCACAGTTGTTCAACTTCTATTTGCAGGTCTTTGTATTTTGTGAGGTTCTCTAGTTTTCTTCTATCCTGCTGTCTCAAGATATTACAATCATCCATTATCCAGATTTTGTATTTCTTATCAACAATTGTTAAGACTGGGTGTTGTGGTAGGTGTTGTCTATTTAAATTCTAAAGTCCCAAAGCACTTTAGCTTCTTTATTTTCTATGACTTTGTCTATTTTATGGTCTCACACAGTGCTTTTTTTTGTAAAAAAAAAAAAAAAAAAGATGCCGGAACTCACACACAGCTCCGATGGACTGGCAGAAACCTCTAGCATGCAGCATCTGGCTCTAGTCGAAAGCCTTTACGGAGCGGGGAGGGTACCGCTTTAGGGAGCTTCTGAGGCGGAGATCATGTGAGCAGGGTCAGCTGACGGACGCCATTGCCATGGCTTTTGAGAGGACGTTTCTTCAGAGCCACAATGTCTTCTGCCACCTCATCCTCCTTCGCCTCTGATGACCCAGAGGCTTCCTCTGGAGCCAGAGTGACCAAGGTGGTGATGGTGCTGCTGCTTTGGGAGAGCGCCTGGTCCCTTGAAGAGATTTGCTCCAGGAGCCAGTCGTGGTCCCTGGCGGCCAACGCGGGGGTCAGGACAGGCGGCAGTGGCGGGAACCCCGTGAATCAAGGCAGAGAAGGGGGTCTGCTTTCAGGGCCATGGGGTTGACCTTCTGGGTTGAACTTCAATGCCCCCAAATTCCCCTGGCAGCTTGCTTTCACCGAGCCAGAGCTTTACTCGCACTGGCGGCTTAGAAGAAGCCAGTTCTTCCCTTCCAAAAAAGGTGCCGGAAAGCCATTCCAGCACATTCTATGACAAAAAAATGCACTGGTCTCACAGGTTCTTGCTTGCAGGCAGATGGTATTTCTTGCAGATCTTCCAGTACACCATTGTTGCTACTTTGTCATGCTGTTGTTTGCAGTCACTCTTTACAATCGTTATGCAGCAGCTAACTAGGCACTCCACTGTTTGTTCAGCTTTTTTACAGTGGTGGCATTTGTTTTCTGTTGCTGTCTTTTCAATTCTGGCTTTGTATGCCTTTGTCCTTAAGGTTTGGTCTTATGCAGTTAAAATTAGCCCCATCTCTTTTTTCAACTTTCCTGCTCTTAGCCATTGCCAGATATTATGTGTTTTGCCTGTGTGTGTGTGTGTGTGTGTGTCCCAAAAGTGCTTTTTTTCATGAGGCAACTAGACTTTTTTGCTTTTCTTTGAAGTTTCATTTCTCATCCAAGAAGCTTCTTCAGCTCTTATTGGATGGTGGGGAATGGCAGGATTTATACTCCTTGCAGACAGCTGGTCATTTGCATTCTTTTAGTGAGTGCAAATGACCAGCTGTCTGCAAGGAATATAAATCCTTCAATTCCCATCCAATCAGAGCTGAAGAAGCTTCTTGGATGAGAAGCAAAACAAAGAAAAATTAAGAAAGTCCAGTTGCCTTGTGAAAAAAACACCTTTGGGACAACTGTGACCTGGATGACTGAGAATCTCCATAGATGTGTGTGTGTGTGTGTGTGTGTGTGTGCACTAGCCATGCAATACCTTCTCTTGCCATATCTCTTTTCTGTTGTTTAATTAGTCTTGTAGGATTCAGTAAGCCTTCAGGTGTACTAGGACATTTACAGCATGAGAAGTTCCATTTGAAAGGGAGTGCATCTTCTTCACTGGCCTTCAGATATTCTTCCAATTCTTCTTTAACAGTCTGGTATACTTGTAACATTCCACACTCTCCCAGGCTCCTTTGTAAGTAGAGTCTTGCTCAACATTGCTGCAATTACCTCATTTAATTGAGGACCACCTGTATTATTCCCAGGAATAAATATTTGGGGATAAATGAACAATCTGAAATTTCATGAGGGGCCTGACAAACTAAAGGGTTTGGGAATCCCTACTCTAACCATTACACCATGCTCCCTTTCAAATGGAACTTCTCATAATGTAAATATCCTTTTACAAGGCCTCTGGAGCCATGCAATTGGCTGGCACTATATCATCCACCCATTTCCCTCCGAAGCAGATAAGGCACAGATCAAAACTGATGATTTGTGAAGCTGGCAGTATCACAGTATCATTGCAGACTTCAGGATGTTTGCATGTGCACCTACACTTGCTCCCCCACCATAAAAACAAATGTGGCTAAAATGAGAATAGGGCATTTGAAAGTTATGCAACTATTTGTCTGAAGTGTTATAGGGCTTCCTGCTTTAGCAGGGGTTGGACTAGAACAGGGCTTTTCAACCAGTGGCACGGGTACCACCTGTGGTACATTGGCACCTGGCAGGTGGTACGCGACCATCCTAGAAAAGTGGTAGTGGAGGAGGGGAATGAGCTGAACCAGTGGCAGCACTGCACAAGCCTGAGCAAGAGATGGCTAGAGCTGCAGGGCTGTCAGGGCTCAGCAGAACAGCAGGATCAGCACTTATTCGGGGTTGTCAGGGCTCAATGGAAGCACCAGGATCAGTGCCAGGCTCCAGCTGGAGCTCGGCGCTGATCCTGGTGCTTCTGCTGAGCCCAGAAGACGCGCCGATCAGCTGGAATGTTGCAGCCTCTCCAGGGTCTTGTGATTTACATTCAGATGCTTGGCAACTAATTGATATTTATGACGATCACAGTGTTCCAGGGTCATGTGAAGTGACCAAAACCTGCTGCAACCACCCAGCAGACGGGGGGGGGGAATAAAAACCAAACACCCCCCCACCCCACCCCCACTGCCAATCCTCCACAGAAATGCTCACAACAATGAAAATCTAGGACAGGAGGAAGAGTGCCACCGGGTGGGCAGGCAGGTGTCTTGCTTGGCTGTGGCTTGGGGGGCACTTTTTCCAGTGCCATTGTAACTTCGAACAGTCACTAAGCAAACTGTTGTAAGTCAAGGACTACCTGTACTTTATCACTTTTTTTTTCCTTTTGGGGGGGCTCATCAAGTTTTTGACACCTTGCTAGGTGACTGGTGGTACTCGGACGTTGCCATATCCTAAAAGTGGTACAGTGGGTGAAAAGGTTGAAAAGCCCTGGACTAGAAGACCTCCAAGGTCCCTTCCAACTCTCTATTATTCTGTTATTCTCTTTGGGCTACCGCAAGGGAAACCGGTTGATTCAGGAGGAATCTTCACCTTTGCAGAGTTGGTATTCATTTTGGCTAATAGCTAACTAATAAACATGTTTCCTTTCATTTCTTATTGTAAATAAGTGAAAAAATATGTAAACCATAATTTTACAGGTGTGAAATTGTGTTGAATTTTAATGGAATGATTTTGGAAGATGTGGGACTAAATAGCTGCCCATGGTATATAGGCTTTCCAACTATCCACTGAGGGATTCACTTTTGGTGCTTGAATTCACTCCTTTTTAAAAACTATTTGAAATGTTAATAAAAATAAGCGTGAAGGATGTGTGCTACAAAGCAAAGCATCAACTTGCAGAGATTGTGGATTCCATACTGGCCTTGTAAACATACTAGCAAAGTATGGCATATTTTTGTAGGCCTGGGTTATGCTTTGAATTTCGACCAACTGTCTGGGGAAAAAAGATAAATTGGATGGCTTTAGCATGCATCCTGGGAGCTAAGGGGAGGGGGGGAGTTATGGAGAGGCAATCATTTTGTGAAAAGCCCTTGACATACTTTTGAGGTAGTCCCTAAAGATACTTAAGACATTCAATCTCAAAACTCAGATATTCACAATCTTTGAGGCATTTTGTCACTCTGACAATTAGGAAAAACATCGAATTTATATTCACTCCTCCAAACATCACATCACTTATCTCCTAGTACACGTGCTTATGAATTTGGCCATAATTATTCTCTGTAGCAGCCTCTTCCGTCTGGAATAAAGTTTCACCCAAGATCTCAATGGCCTGCACTCTGCTGTTGTTATAAGAGCTGTGAAGGAGACCTGGCTCTTGACCAAAAACTTTGGGGAAGAAACGGTGAGACACCTTGCTACAGTCCATTTAGTCTGTCGCCCTTGCCATTTTTATCTTTTATTGATCTTATAGGTAGTCCTCAGTTTACAACCACAATCAGGGTAAGAAAATTCATTGTTACGCAGTGTGATAAGTGAGGCATCCTATGACTGCACCTGATTTTACAACCTTTTTGCCACAATCATTTTATAAGATATCACAGGATCCCAATTTGGAACCTTCCAAACCAGCTTCTCCGTTGACTTTGCTTGTAGGAAGCCAGCTGGGAAAGTCACAAATGGTGATCACATGACCCCAGGATGCTGCAACTATCATAAATAGATGCCAGTCTCCAAGAGGCAAGATCACCATCGCAGGACTGCAGAGATGCTGCGATGATGTAAGTCCGAAGATCAGTCATAACTCACTTTTTTCAGCACTGTCGTAACTTTGAACGGTTGCTAAACCAATAAGTCAAGGACTAATTAATGATCAAAAATCATGAATTCTAATTTCTTTGATTGTTGTGAGCTGCCCAGAGTTACTGAGAGAAAGGTGGCATACAAGTGTAATTATTATCTCTTACTTTCAGAGCTATCACAATAAAACGATCAAAAGAAGTAACTCACCTGCCATTTCACTCTGTGTGTTTGGAATGCAGTCCAAGCTATTAGCCACCATCAATGTTCCTGGAGAATTTCCCGAACACGGAATTCCCCAAATCAATTGTGTTTTGAGAACTCCACTTCCACTGTCACCCAGACTTCAGACTCCATCAACTTTGATACATGAACACTCCAGTGATCCAGTAACTTTAAAATAGGCTGTAAAGACATTTCTTAAATAATACATTTCTTAAATACTGGTGTTTTATGAGTGAAAAACCAGGTTATGGAACATTATCTATCAATCAATCAATCAACAGCAAAAGGGTATGGTGGAAAAAATATGTTAAGTACTCAACCTCCAATCTTTCCAAATCTGAGCAGTACTAGTTTAATGACAAAGAAACAATTAAACAAAATCACAGCCGTCTTAACGAGCAGGGAGAGAGCACCGTTCAGACAAATGCATTTTGGAGATGGGGCGCGGGTTGACAACCGCACTTAAGAAAGGAGGCGATTCGCTTCCGGTCAGTTCGCAGAAATCCCGCTGCGCTGGACAGAGACGAAGGAATACAGCAATCGCTTTTGCAAAACGCTTCAAGCAATAATGCTGCAGCCCACCCATCCAAGGAGAAACGGAGAACGCAGTTATGAAAACAGTAAGCATTAACAAAAATCGTCTCCAGCAAGCATTTACTCGGGCGTAGGCCTCTCGCACCACTGATCCAGCAGCCAAACGCAAAGAAAAGCGAAAGCGAAGGAGAGAGGATTAAAAGAAGCGAACCGGATGGGGGAAGACAGCGCGCCGCACGGACAGGCAACGCCACTCTAAAAGAACTGATTAGAAAATCCGGTGGAGCAAGGGAAGGAGGGGGAGGGGGAGAAAGAGGGAGATAAAGAGGCGGAGCCTTCTCTGCTGAATGACTCGGACGCGCAGCCAACGGGCTCGGCGGTTGGACGCCCGGCGGGTGGAGCTCCGCGGTGACCAATGGAAAGCGGCGCGTGGCCCGGAGCGAACGCCTCAAATCCTCTGGGCTCTCAGCTGATTGTTTCTCTGGAGCAAGAGTTGGTTCGGCGAAAGGGAGCCGGCGCTGCAGAGAGGCAGGCGGGCGGGCGGCGAGCCGGCGAGCGGAGGACAAAGGGAGGGCGGCGGGGGCTCCCCCTCTCCGGGTGACCTGCATGGCTCTCTGATTCATCCGGCGAGAGCGAAGCGGGGCGTCCCCCCTCCCGCGGCCCTGAAATTGCACTTTATCTTGTTTTTGCACACTCGCTCCGCCCCCCCCCCCCCGTTATGGTCGGGCCAGGAGCGATGGGACTCGGCGGGTCTGATCTTCTTGGCCCCTTTCCCGCTCTGGAGTTGGGGCTGAGCGTCCTGTACACGCTCCTCTACGCCGGCCTCTTCCTCTTCACTTACCTGCAGCTTTGGCTGCTGTTCTACTACCGGGAGAAGCGGCTCAGCTACCGCACCGTGTGCCTCTTCCTTTGCCTGCTCTGGGCAGCGCTGCGCACCGTCCTCTTCTCTTTCTACCTGCAAACGTCCACCCAAGCCGTGGAGCTCCGGCTCCAGCCGTTCCCACACTGGTTGCTCTTCTGCTTCCCGGTCTGCCTGCTCTTCGCCACCAATTGCCTCCTCAACCTCTACTTCGCCGAGGTAAGTGGGCAGCTCAGCTTTGCCGGCGCCGGCTCTTTTGTAAACTCTTTTGCAACGGGATGCCGTAAACAAGGGACACAATGAGCGGCGGCGAGCCGACACGCCTCCCCTTCTTCTTCATGTTGCTTTTTTCTCCCCCGTTTGTGTCATGTTTACCACATTCTGGTGCATTTTCAAACAAGCCTTTCGATGGTTTTCCTGCCTTCCCTCCGCCTACTGTCTGAACAAACAAACAAGCTTCGGGGAGCCTCGGCTCGAGCGCGTAACGAGGCGAGCAAAAACCGCGCTACGAGGCAAAACCCCGGGGTGGCATACAGTATCTGTAGCAGGAGGCTTGCGGTGTAACAAATGTTGCCCTTAAAGTGCACACAAAAACCCTTCGCGGTTCTGGATGCAGCACAGTTAATGCGGTTACTTTTTGGGAAACCGTAGATCGGTATTTCTTTAAGAGTGAAGCAAACACGAATAGCAACAGCCTAGGTTGCTCAGCTGGGATAGGGACGGCTGACAGCCATTACGTCATTGCTTTGGGCTTTCTTCTCCACCTCCTATTGTTGCTGCCTTTCTTAAAATACTATTTTAAAAAAAGACTTGGCTCTTTTCCCCACCACCCCCTTTTTCCCTGTTTTTTTTTCTGCAGGAGATAGCATCTTGCAACATGGTAGTTTTGGCATTTTTTAACTGGACTGGGTCACATCTGAAATGTTAATGTAATTTTTGTGTGGCTGTTGGATTAATTTCCACCCCCCCCCCTCCCCCTTGAGGCTTGCTGATCAGCTGTTTTAAAATCCTTAGTGTCATCTTTGTTTTTTTAGCTTCTGTATTGAAACAAAGCCAATGGCCCAATCCTTACAGCTGCAGCAAGGTTTGGATGGCCTTTTAGGGTCCTTTGTTGCAATCTTATGCCTAAACAACAAAGAATTTTTGACACTTGAGAAAGATGTGTTTGTGCCATGATACAATCTACTCTCTTAGATGCATCTTCCCGTATAAGGTAGATGCTTTACTTTCGAGCAAAGTACCTGCAATTGCAGCTTTGTCTGGTTTCAATTATGCATGTCTGGTGAGTGATCTAGGTAAACTTTTTCCTACGAACGGCATATATCATCTTTATGTTGCACTTCCTCCAGTTATTGGGAAATTGTTACTTCTCGGACAAACCTGCAGACCATCCTTTCCTTCGCACTGCAAAATTGTATTGTCACTTAGGAGGCAGCCTCCACAATGACTTCATTCTCTGAGAAACTCAGGGGTGTTCACATGATGAGCACAAGAGAGCTGCTGTTCTTGCCATGAAAATGAAAATGTTTGTTTTGTGAGCAAGCCTTAACATTTTTGGGAGGACAGGGAGCTCAAACTAACTGGCTGACATCTCACATGTGGGTGGAATTGGAATTGAGAAGGTTTTTGTTTTTAAACTGGGTATTTGGAGGCTCAGTGCTGTTTTGCGCTAATAAACACAGAGAAAACTGTAAACTCTCCAATAAGTATTCAGTGAGCATGATAAATGGCAGATCCAAAAGTCACAAAAAGGGAAAGGGGCCACCTATGCTAACTCTAAGGTGGTGCATGTGTAATATGAACACAAGGAGGCAAATAGTTCCTGAAACCTGGAGCACCTCTACTGTATTGGACCATTTTTAACATAACCCATTGCAATGAACAGACAAAATATTTGAGTACCAGTAGCATAACCAGCTATAATATGGAGTCAGATCTCTGGTGTTGGTTGATTGCTTAAAAAAAACAATAATGCAACACAGTTCCTCTTTCAAGGGAAGCAACCCATGTCATTTTCTTTTAGAGAAAAAAAAACTGGAAATATAAAGCTGTTTGTTCCCTATTAAGAAATGGGGAACTTGGAAAGAGTAGAGTTTATCTATTTACTTAGTTGATATTCTAAGCAACCTTTGTCTATTGTACTTAGCAAAGAAAGATGGGATTTGTGATTCATCTGCTAAGCAGGATACCAGATTGGGGAAGGCTGGGGAATGACTGCACTTCAAATAGGGACTGCATCCAGCTTGTTAAGGTTAAGAGTGTGAGCAGGTATTATGAAGAGACCGTAGCAATCTATGATAATGTTTGATAAATCCCAATGTAATATGAATCCCAAGAATGTTGGGTAGCATGGGAGCTGATTAAATCAGTGAAATAGATGCTGAGCAATAATTTAGAATAAATGAATGATGTCACCTCCACATGAGACGGGCAGCATCTACGTTGAATAAATAAACATTTTAAATTTGCAAATGCTGAAGAACATGATTCCAGCTTGCAAGATCCTCTGTAATCCAGAACAGTAGGGAGCAAGATCAAGTCCAAGAGCAAAATTTGTCATCGTGAACTTTGTACCCATCCCCTTGAGCATATATTTTTGCCTATAAAAATAAATTTACTCTTGAATGATTACTGATTGAAAATTCTAATCACAGATTCTAAAATATATTAAGGGAAATACCGAACAGCACCTAGCCAATAACATTGCAATTTGCAGAATATGGAAGATTAGGTGAGGTTAATCCCAAGCCAACCTGGTTGGCCACAAATCAAGTTCAACAGAATTGTGACAGCTTATTTCAGTGCCCTCTGAACCATCTACATTTGGCCCCCAGTCAAGCTATGCTGCCATTCCATCCCAATAATATGTACACAAAATGAACCTTGGGTATGTTTCTTCAGTGCAAATAAAGTGTAGTTGGGAACTGTGCATGAAGATGCAGGAGTTTAAAAATATTAATTTTCCAGTTTAGAGATCCCAAGCTCAAAAGTGTCTCTATGTAGGTCTTTGGTTATTCAGGTTTTCTCCCACATAAAATCGAAACGTCGCCAAGAATGACTGGAAGTGATATGGCTGGAAGTGATTTTGAACACAAAGGAGTGTTTCACAAAAGGATTGGGTTCACAAATCATGCTAAGCTATGTCTTGTTTTCATTTATTTTCTTTAGCCAAGCAGCCCCAGTGATAGAGTGCAGACCCTGTAACAGAATAAGGGGAAGTACTAATATAAATATGGCAAAGCAAAGAGGAGGGAAGTTTTCTATATATTCAAGCAAAGATGAGAGTTTTTGAAATATTTTAAATTAAAAAAAAACATTGTTGTACAGATAAGTATGATTCCAAATAATTTATTCAATATCCAAAGTCTGTATAAGTATGAAGGCTATGTTGCTTTTGTGTGTGTGTGATGTAGGAGGGCAAAATTAGCTTATTAGATAAGGTTTGAATAAAGTATTCAAAAAATCTAAAAAATTTTGATGTGTAGGAAAAAATATTTTTATGGGAATATTGGGAACATGGACAATCAAGCCTCATACAACTTTGAAACTACCTAACGTGCCTGAAGTGGAATATTTTCCAGCCCACAACCTCAGAGGTAAGAGTCCCTGGACAATGAGGGTATTGTTGGGACTAAGTTCAACAAACACAGAGAAAACATGGACCCTCCAAATCAATATTTCGCTCTCCCAGGTAGAACTGGGAATGGCTCTCTGGATTACCCACAAGATGAATGCCTTCCTGATAATAGAGGCAGCACTGGCCATTTCTTTTGAACAAATGATCTAAGCTGAATTTCTTTTTCTTAGGAAACAATATTGACCAAAAATATATCCGTGTTTATGATCCTTCTGCTTGGCCTCGAAAGTTAGTTTAGCCTGCATAGATGGGGTGGATGTCAGTTCCCACCCATGTGCTCAGCCCAGTACTAGTCACGTCTTGATGGAACCATCTGAAATGGAGAGCCTTCATTATGTTAGAAATATGATTTTTTTAATAGCTTGCTCTCACCGTATGGAGGGTAGAATGAATTGAGAATTTCCCAAATAAAACTTTTTGAACCTGCAGTGGCCTTGAATTTGGAATGTCAATCAGAGAATCAGTTGCAGTGCTACTACCAACTTTTCATGGAAAGTAGGACCTGCCAAACCAAGATAAGAAGGAAGCCTCTTCACATTGATAGATTGAAGTTGGCCAGGTGATATTCCCTTGCAGACTAACATTCTGCTTGCAGATTTACTTTCTCTGCCACCTTCTTGCCTCCTCTCAGCCCACACATTTACAGATTGCTGCTGTGTCTGACAAAGAGCCAGACTGGAATCCTAACTCTCACAGATGTTTAACTTGAAGTAACCTTAATGTAAACACAATAGCAAGAAAGCAGTATCTATAATATCTTCAGAAAGCTTTTTTTTTTAAAAAATGAATCTTCTGTACAGTAGGTAATTTCAGAAGGTTAAATACCAACCCCATAGTAAAGTGTGGGGTAGTAACAAGTTTGTCAACTTGGGGTGTATAGATATAATCATACAAAACTGAAGCTCCACTATTATCTGGATATGGTGGGTGTTATATCTTTATCAAGTAAAGAGATTTGCTTCTCTTTATTTAACAAACTATGGCTACTGGAGAAAAGGATATGTGACCCCACCATAAGTACATTCCACTTAGTTCCTTTTCCAGTAATTGAAACGGGAGATGTTGGGAAGTTCATTGTTTCTTCTTGCAAGCATACGTATGTTTTAGTTCTATATGTTTCTTTTTAAAAGTATATCTCGAAGACAACCAATAGCAAGATATGGATGGAGCCAGTTATAGAGGCAATGAGTGCACCATTGCAAGATCTAAAAGAGTAGGTTAGGAGCAGATCATTATGGAGATAATCTATGTCAATGGTGGCAAACCTATGGCACGGGTGCCAGAGGTGGCACTCAGAGCCCTCTCTGTGGGCACATGCTCCATCGCCCCAGTCCTAGGCCTTCAGCTGGGTTTTATAAAACCTTTTTGCTTTAGGCCTCCACCGCCGTGTGCAAAAAAAAAGAAGGTTCAATCAGTCAATTTCAACTTCTTGCGGGGGGAAAAAAAGATCTTGCAAAGTTGGAATTGATTGATTGAACTTTTTAGTCCCACCCAGTCTGCTGTTACCACCATAGCCACGCCTAGCCAATGGGCCACGCCCAGCCAATGGGGCACACCCACCCGGCACTCGACGATGCATAAGTGGGTTTTGGGTTGCAATTTGGGCACTCCGTCTCTAAAAGATTCGCCATCACTGATCTATGTGATCACTAAGAGTTGCTTCCAACTTGAAAGCACATCAGTGTATCAGTTAATATATTCTACTCAACTGTGTTTACCATAATGAAATAAAGGTTTGCATTGACTTCTTTCCTATCTGCCCCAAAAGACCGATTTTACCACAGTCTGGTAAGGGCTTTATACAGTCTTCAATTAAATAGATAGCTGTATCCAAATCTATATGTACAGTTTTTGTGCACGCATTCTGATTTTAAACCATTTTTCTTCCCACCAAAGTATTGTAGTTAGTTCTTTATCAGGGTTGGAGGTCATCCTGTTTTCATCTTTTGCTGGATCGGAACCCAGCAGTTTTCCTAATATTGTTCCTGAGGCTAAAACCTGGGACCTTGTGCCAAATCCCTTCTCCATTTTATAGAATGGAACCAAGCAATACATGGAAGAACCAAATACATGGAAAAATCATCATCTGTTTTGCAGTAGAATATTATGATAAAAAGTATATAAATCTGGGGTGTCAAACTGGCAGCCCGTGGGCCGGATGCAACATGTGGAAGCCGCGCCCACCCCAGCTCCAGCAAGAGGAAAAAAGTCGCGATATGTCGTGACACGTCACGTGACGTGGTGAGTTTGACACTCCTGATGTAAATAGATATAGCTGATGGGTCAGTATTTATCTTCTATCAAAGGACTTTTTCTGGAAGTAGTTCCAAAATATGGGAAGCATTGCACCAAAGCTAGAATGTAGGAAGTTAAGAAAATGTTGTAGGTAATCCTCGAGTTACAACTGTAATGCAGCCTACCCATTACAGTTATAACTCATAATGGTCAGAAAATGGGTCAGTCACGTGACTGACCCAATTTTACTATCTTTTTGGGGGGGGTGATTGTTAAGCAGACCCATTGATCGCTGTGGCATGGTTTTGCCAAAAAACAGAACTGCTGGTTTTCAGCAAAACCATCATGAAACAGGGCCACATGACTATGAGATGCTGCAACATAAATGCATTCATGTTGCTGAGCTCCTGAAGTGTGTGGTCATGTGACTGGGGGAGAGAATGACTATTGAAACTTCAGATCTAGGTTGTAAGTTTCCTTTTTCGGGTCCATCATAATTTCAAAAGGTCACTAAGTGACAAGTCATGAATCAAGGACTATCTGTATGAAAAAAAAAATCAATTGTCTTGACTTCTGAGAATCTCAGCATGGAGAGTAATTGAATAAAAGCTAGCCATTCTATTTCAGTTACAATTTTTCACCTCAAATGTTCACACTGAAATCATGGTTTTCAGCAATACTCCAGATGACTTAATGAAGCAGACGTGCCCGCTGCATACAAAGCAATATATTCTTACTTATTGATCTACAATTTCATCGGTTGATCCCTTTGAAAGATTGCATATACTGGAAAGCAATGCTTGAAATAAAGTCACAAGGAAAAAAATATTTTAAGATCTTAATTTAGCAACCAGAAACTGCCCATTATGATTTGGTCAGCAATAATTTTCTGTGAACGTTTAATAAATAGGTAATATTTATATTACCACAAGTAATATAAAAGGAGTGGGTTTTTTGTTGTGGTGGTTAATTGCAAGAGTATGTCACAATCAAATGCTACATCTAGATTCAGAGATGGTTCACTCAAAGGAAACCCACTTCCCCAAGACTAGCTTGTAGATATGGTCTTAAACTTCAGAAACAAAGAATCATGTGCATATTCTTCATGTTTTTAGGATGTGCTTTTATATTGGAGTTTATGACAGTATAGACAGGAATAGAACAGCGCTATTACTCAAAACTATTTGTGTGTACTTAGAGGTAACTCTACTTCAGGTGTCCCCAACCCCCGGTCCATGGATAGGTACCATGCCGCAGCATGCCAGCAACCGTTCTGCACAAACAAGCAAAGCCCCATCCGTGGGATGCAGACAGCACACAAAATGACACCCCCTCCAGTCCATGGAAAAACCGGTTCTCCACGGAACCGGTCCCTGGAGCTCAAATGGTTGGGGGCCTCTTCTTTACTTGATTCAGTGTAGGTCACTCAGCCCGATACAATTGTACTGTTTACAGATAATGTATAAATGTATGAATGCACCCCTGTCAATATTTTACATCGTGCCTTATTTTAAAAAATCTTTAAAACCTGGTGTTTTGCACAGTCCTGCATGATTTGAATGATGGAGTCCCTTAAGAGTCCTCTTGCCTCTGCAGAGGTATTTTGGTTCTTTATTTATGCATTTTGACGTTTTTGAAAACTGCCATAGAAACATCATTTAGATATAGTATACGAATGTTCTGGATAGATAAATAAATGAACCATAATGAGGGCAAACATTAGGGAGATCTCTGAGTTCTGAATTCCCACTAATTGTTTACAAACCATGGCATCTTTTCCACTCACCCTCCTTTTCATATTTCCAATAGAAAAATTCTGTATTTGTATTTGCGTGTTATTAAAATGTTTTTGGTCCATTGTGACTCTTGAACTTGTGCAATATATATATATATTTTCTTAAATAAAGCATTTTCTTTTTTTTTAAGATTATTTTCAAAGTCAAGTGCGCAGCTGAGTTCAACAAATACAAGTAAGTTTCGCTTTAATCTGTATATATTGTGGCCGATTGATCAACATATTTTAAAGATACCTTTAGTGAATTGAAGAGCCCAATGTGCTGGAACAGAAACTGCATTACCATCTGTTTTTTAATTTGCATTCTTGCACCAAGCCAAATGTTGAAGGTTTGGGTTGAAATTAATGCATAGCAAAGTATAACTTTTCCACGGAACCTAGTAATCCTAACAGCTTTATAACATTCTACAAAAGCTCAAAGTTGCTTGTATAAAATAGGATTTGAAAAAACCTGATTATATCACTTTGACAAAGAACAGGGCTTTCAGAGCAAATATGCTGTAGGTTTACTTCTAATAGCAGGACTGGGCCATGGAGCAGATTAAGCAGATGCTGCCCACCTGCAGATTGCTCTGGGTACATGTTGGGCATGGGAAGAGACATGTCTTACACCGTATAAATGTATCTCAAACATGCTTATTGTTTGTATAAGGGCAGCATTATTCAGATACAATCATTAATCCAAAAGAAGAAAGCAAAGATTAGGAGAATGGGTCAGAAAGAAGGCTGTGCTGGACACCAACTGCCCTTTTTCTTTTCTTTACAGGACTTTCTTGTACATGGGGTCTGTATTCATCAGCCTCCTCTTCATCTTTGTGAACCTGACATGTGCATTATTGGCACAGGATAATGTTCCAGAGGATCAGCTAAGGTGGACAGTTTTTGCCCAGGCTTTGATCAATGATAGTCTCTTCATTCTTTCGGCCATCTTGTTAGCTTACTGCATGTGCAAACTTTCCAAAGTGTCTTCAGCCAATGTTTACCTCGAGTCCAAGGTAAGGAAGCAGCAGCACAGACTTCTGTATTACAACCTGTCAAGTTCTGAGTAAGAAGATGATCCATATTTCAGACACAAAATAAAATAGGGGACACATACAAAGATGTTGTATTCCATTTTCAACATGGATTGGAAATGTGGGCAACTTTTTTAAAATTCTTTTAAAACTCCTAGTAGCCTAAAAAATAAGTAACAGCTGGGTTAAAGTATAATATACTCTGCTTTCAATGGAAAATCGAATATCAAATTACTGTTTTTCCTATTACTTTTTAAAACCTCTGAGAAGAAATTTTGTGCTCACTTTATGCCTCGGAGGCAGCTTTTTGTTTAATGATTAGGTTAGAAAGTAGGAGGGGATTAATTTACTTTAGAGTTAATAGGCTTTTTTTTTTTTTTTTGGTGGAATGAATGCTTACCCCTAATGCACAATTAGCTTAGGAGCAGAGTCGACATAATGGAATGATGAAATTCCCTTTAATGAAGGGCTGTGTCTCTGTATGTGGGTCCATGCAGGGTTTTTATTGTATGGTTGCAGCATCCATCTTGATGTTTTTGACCTGGGGGACACTGTTGGAGTGAGAGAGACTATTGCAATGCAGTTGGACTTAAGCTACCTCATGCTTGCTTAGTGACAAAAAGTGAAAAAGACAGTCTAGTGGGAAGCAAAATGGAACACTCTGAGAAAATATACCTCCGATTACAAACTATTATACTTACTTTTCCGCAGTTAGTTTAGTTTTGCCTTCTTTACCTTTAACTATTGTTAGTGTAACATTCTTGCTCCTTGCTTTCTGTTGTCTCTTTACACCAGTGTTTCTCAACCTTGATCATTTTAAGATGGCTGGACTTCAACTCCCAGAATCCCCCAGCCAACCATGCTGGGGAATTGAGGTCCATGCATAGTTTATACTCAGCCACATTTGCTAGAAATATTCTTTTGCTTCAACCAAATATTTATCAATACTCCCTAAGATAGAAGCGCCATAATTTGGGTATGGTGGTGGAACTTTACACATGCCATGTTCATTGCAGTTATTGTTTTCTATATGCTTTTGATAGCGTTCCCTATTTGTGGGAAGTGAATTGTCAAGATATTTTTGCTATAACATGCAGGCAATCTACAAAACAACTGCAAGTGCTGCTTGTTTGGAAACAATTGTTTCATTTGTATAAATACAAAGTGGCAAACAATGCTGATGCAAGTCTTTTTACAATCAGAAGCCATCAGCTAGCTATGAATTAACTCTGCTAAGCAAGGAAGTGTTTTGAAAAGAAACATTGTCTTGCTTCTTAACATCTTCTTCTTGGTAAGCCAATGATTAGTGTCTGGAATTATTCAGTCTTCTGCCGAATCTAATGAGCAACAGCAGTTTATTCTAGTTAAGAGGATCGTCCCAGATTGGATCAGTGGTAGTAGAATATTGTTCACTATCACCAGCCTCCTGTCAGAAAGGGAATTCCTGCAGCTGGAATAAAACATGAAGTTGACTTGGGAGAGAGTCAAACTGCTCTTGATGAAGTGCATTCCAACTATTGAACAATGTAAATGAATGTCCTCTCCTGTGTCCCTGGCAAATAGTTTTGAAAAAATAAAGGCCTCTCCTATTGACCTTAATGCCGAGAAATATTCATGCTGAGATTGGCAGTTATAGCCATGTAAAATCTTTAAACTACTTTTGCAAAAAAAAAAAAAAAACTGGTAATCAAAGCTTCAGAATGGATAAGACATATGCTGGTATCATGCATCAATTAACAATCAGTTTTGCATCAATTAATCCAGTTTTGCATTAGTGCAAGCCTCTGGATGCTCATGAAGGGTGATCCTACATAGAATTCATTGCATTACTCTAATTGAGGTGTATCTAGTTTCAAGTACAAACATCTTGGAAATATCTATACTTGAGATGCTGGATATGATTATGCAAATACAGTCTTTGTCACCATTGCCATCTGAAAATCAAAAACAACTTTAGGTTAGGCAGCACTCCTAAATTTCAAAGTGCTTTTGCAGAAGAGCTACATTTCCATCCAGAATATGCTAATTAGTTTCTGGAATTTCATAGCAAGTGTCTTGAAAATGTAGCCAGCTTTACATTTTTTTTCCTTAGAGGAAAAGGAAGAATGGTAATTTATGTATTTATATTCTGCCACTTATCCTGTAAAGACATAGATTTTTCTACTTGTTTGCTTGTTCTGAGCATTCATTTCCAAAAAAGAGAATTACTGCCATCTTTTCATTGATATCAGTCTGTTTCATTCTTTAGTGAACAGAATGATTTTATAGCTTTATCCTCATCTCATTGCAGTGATTCCCATTTTGCAGTTAACAAATAGTCTGGAGGAACTTAGGCCAAGGGAGAGGATAATGCACATGAACCATGGTGCCTAGTAGTACAAGATATTTTCTAATCTTTTTTTTTTACTCAGTCATATTATTTTTCTCCCAGAAATCTTCATGGCTTTTTGATCAAAAAAATCATGTGGCTGGTATTATTCTCCCATCTGAAAAGTAATTTGACTGTTGCATAGCATCATAGCTATGTAGTTTGCTTTCAGACTTGGGTTCTGATTGTAGAAGAAGCTACAAAATCAGTAAAACCGTTGTTGAAAATATGGCATAGTTTAACAAGCATATGTAAGACTGAGCAGGAGATCTCTTCCTTCAAAAGCATGACTGCCTACATTTTAAGCACTGCAAGAGGTGACAAGAAGAGCAACAAATATAGGGGTGTCTTTATCAGTGTGACTCTTAAACTCACCAAAAGCTTAGTTGCAAATGAGAATCCCAGGTGTTATGTCCTTGGCTGGCGGGCACAGGCTGCAGCGATTGGCCCGGGCAGACCAGGTGGATGCCCGGGACAAGAAAGGCTGCTTCCAGCCTTTACAATGATTGGCCAGCAAGGTATTGTGCAGGGGGCTATAAAAGGGGGCTGCACCATTTTAAAACCTGTTCTGTTGGTGTTGCAATAAAGGAGACTTTTGGACGTTGCTTCCTCTCAATGCCTCTTTTCCTGAAATAGAATACCAGTGAAGTCAGGAGCCTCACAGAAGAGAAGAATTTGGTAGAAGGCTGGAAACATCTCATTCATGTCATGAGGACTAGTGAGGGAGAATGCTTAAAACTTAAAGAGAAAAATATTTGGAGAAGTTAGAGATGGCAGAATTAGAGAAATAATGTTCACTGAACATGGATGTAATTTATTACTATTATGTATTAGTTTTCCTCTAGAAGCTTAGGATGGCACACATGGGCTTTTTACTTATTTTGTCTCACAAGGAGCAGTCTCTGGGTGGTAACTGCCCAGATCTTCTAGTGAGCTCCATAGTTGAATGTGGTCTTATACCTTAACCATTATATTACTCTTTTAAATGTTAAAAGGTAAGATAAGGAAATCATCTAGTATATGTTGTGTTCCTCCTATTCCTTGCTCCTTATTCAGGATACTTATAATAGTTTCTTTTGTGTTGGATTACTTATCAATTGAGCTAATAGGTTTTCAGTTTCTGTCCTTCCTTTTACTAATAAGTTCATGTTTGGGTCTTTAAAGCTAATGAAAGAAGAAATATCTTTTATATCACAGCTGGTTCCATGTAGCTGTATTGGGTTAGATCCGTCATGCAGAGTTTACTTTACTTAAAAGAAAAACTCACGGCTTTCTTTAGATAGTGTTTACTTAATGGATTCTCTTAAAGATCTTTTTGTCAACTTACTGTATTTAATACCTCTTTGTGTATTTTTTTTTAACTAGGGCACATCTCTCTGCCAAGCTCTCCTTGTGGGTTCTGTTGTCATCCTTTTACACTCTTCAAGAGCTTTTTATAATTTGGTGGCAGTAATGATCACTCCAGACCATGCACCTAGTCCATTCAACTATGGTTGGAATAACCTTTCAGATAAGGTAATCAAGCTTTTCACACTTCTGTAGAAATAGTGAAAGATCACATCTAAGTTAGAACACTAATGTTGTCCACCCTTTTCCTTCACTATGCCTCCCATGAATATCAACTGGGAGGAGGAACTATAGTGAGAGACAGTTGAGAGGAGCACCAATGAGATCTATATATGTTGGAAAGCAACTTGAGATGAACTAATGAAGCTGCCATATCCAGAACTGGCGAATTCATCCAAAGGATTAGGCCACAGGTCGGCAACCTGCGGCTCCGGAGCCGCATGTGGCTCTTTGAGCCTTCCCCTGCGGCTCCCAGCCTCCTCTGCCATTTGCAGAAACAGAGACAGAGAGAGGCACTTGTGCTTCCCTTCTCTCTCTCTCTCTCTCTCTCTCTCTCTCTCTCTCTCTCTCTCTCTCTGTGTGTGTGTGTGTAAAAAAAAAGAGTGGAGTCACGGTGTTCTCCAAGAGCTGAAAGGCTTACTGGGCGGAGCTCCTCCCTTTGCTGCGTCTCTGCAGGAAGCAGGAAGGGCAGGAAAGAGCTAGCTAGCCCAGCTATTCTGGCTCAGGAATTCTGGGAGTTGAAGTCCATGAGTCATAAAAGAGCCAGGGTTGCCTACCCTTGAGCTTGTTGGAGAACAGCTTGAAGCCATCTTGCCAGGTGAGCAGAAGATTGGAGAGAGGGAGAGGAGGGGGAGAGAAAGAGAGAGAAGGGGAGAGGGGGGGAGAGAGAGAGAGGAAAGAGAGAAAGAAAGAGAGTAGGGGAGGAGGACTGACAGACCAAGGGCAGAAAGAGGGAGTGAGAGAGAGAGAGAGAGAGAGGAAAAAGAGAGAGAGAGAGAGAGAGGGAGAGGAAAGAGAAAGGAGAAAGAGAGAGAGAAAGGGAGGGAGAGAGAGTGGGGAGAGACAGAAAGAGAGACCCTTTTGACATCTAAAATGGAGATAACACTGCATATACCCTTTTTTACCTTTATGATATATATGTATGTATGTACATGTGTGTATGTGTGTGTGTATGTATGTATATGTGTGTGTATGTATGTATGTATGTATATATATAAAATGGTAAAAAAGGATATATGCTGTGTTATCTTCATTTTAGATATCAAAAGGGTTTTGTGGCTCCCAGTGTTTTGTTTTCGGTGGGAAACAGGACCAAGTGGCTCTTTGAGTGTTTTGGGTTGCCTACCCCTGGATTAGGCTGTCAAAGGCTACAGTCAAAAATGATCCAGTATGTGATCTGCATGTGCCTATCTATCTGTCCACAGATGTACATATGATTACATGTTTATGATAAAAGACAGTTTGCATTTGAGTACCAGTTACTGAGAACAGCTGCAAGGAAAATATCCTGCTTTGGAACTTTTTGATGGTGATTTTGTTAACCAACATTAGGTGCGGTCCAGTTCTGTTACTATTATTCTGTGACAAAGTCCACAAATGAGGCTAAGCCATAGCAACGGATTTTCCACCATACTAAGGCATGAATTATGGTTTATAAACAACAGTGGCTTGGATTCACATATCATATCAGTCCCAAAACAAACCAACCATGCTATGGCTTAACAAGGAGATAGGAAAGATCCCTAAGCATTCTTTCTTGGTTTCTGTTAATTCCAAGAGATAGCTATCCTTTGTTGTCTTGCCCATGAGCCCTGATTTTCCTTTTAACATGCCAAAAATTAAAATAGAGGCCTTCTAATGCCAAATTTTGCCTCTGGATTGTGAGGCTGTTCCTAGAATGGAAGGAAGGGGCTCAATTGAAAGATCCTATAATGAAAAAAAAATGGAGCCAATTTAACCACACATGTCTTGGGATTTAAGATTAGATCCAGTCCTTTGAACCAGCCTGAAATTCAACCGGAAACCAAAATACTAGACTTGTCTGTAAGTTATAGTATTGTGTTCACAATATGAGAAGTTTTAGGGCTTGCTACTTTCATTTGTTTTTTAATGTATTTTATACACACATATGCAGCTTTTGGTTTAAAAAATAGTTCATGGTGGGAGGTAGACTGTTGTTCCATCTGCAGTCCTTGAGGGCCAATCCATAAAGAGCTCATTAAAATACTTTTGTTATTTTTTTCTCTGAATCTTGTTCCTACAGCTTCAAGGAAAAGAAGTTAACAGTGAGGAGTATGTGGTGTTTGGTGTGGTGCTTTTTCTCTGGGAGTTCGTCCCAACCATATTTGTGGTACTCTTCTTCCGAGCGCAGAGATTGGCCCAGAATTTGGTATGGATTGAGATCAACTGTTACTCTTTTTCAATTATTACTTCAAAATAAGCGAATGCTCAACATTGTGGAGGGAAAACATGCAGAGGGATTTAGAACACAATGAAGATATTTCTTTGGGGGCAAAAAAGGACATTCCAAGTTGAGGCATTAATAGAAAACCACTTTATACCAAACTCTGTCCAAGGATATTGCTCATCAGCCTTTGGCAAGACTCTGCCATCTTTCTGGAATCATGGAGTTGATTTGCCAAAGAGTTGGTATGTTATGCACAGTGGGATTATGATGTGACTTTGGAAGAAAAAAGATATTGTGGCTTTCACGTAGGGTGCCTTGTACTCTGTCATTAAAACAAGAATTAGGACTATTGCATCCCAGAAAGTGCTGAGAGAAACTTTGTGAACCCTTTAGGACGGCGGTCTTCAAACTTGGCCCATTTATGACTTGTGGACTTCAGCTCCCAGAATTCCTCAGCCAGTGTGCCTGGCTGAGGAATTCTGGGAGTTGAAGTCCACAAGTCATAACTGGGCCAAATTTGAAGAGCCCTGCTTTAGGATCACCTTTAATCTCACTTGTTATAATTATTTGTGAGATCTGAGCTTCATGTAGGTCTATTAATAAAAAGATTTTGATAAATAACACCCAAAACAATGTACTGTGTCATGCCTTTTTTAATCCAACTTTCCCTCCCTTTGTTGGAAAACTATATGATGCCCTAAAATAATCAGCAATCTTAAGGAGGTAGGTTGAGTCAGAGGTTTCAATCAGATGTAAACTTGAAGGGTTATCTCCTATTTAAAAAAAAAAACACATTGTCAGCCACCACAATATTCTACTTTCATAAGACAGATCTTTGAAAATGAATCATGTGGTGATCAAAATTGTTCTGTGATCCTCTGAAAAAGGACTGTTGGTATTTGTGATGATTGAAAGGTCTACAAAATAATTGATACAGACTTTGACCTTCATCAGACCATGGTCAGACAGATAGTGTACAAATAGAGAAAAAACAATTCAGTTATTACTCTTTCCAAAGTGATCACTGAATGAATATCATCCCAAGGGCTTAGATATAATACTTGGGAGATTGCAAAGGATCTCAGTGAAATGACAAAGGATTCTGGAGACTATGCTTACATTATCTGTTATTGTAGTTCATGAGTTCACTATAAGCAAGGATGGTATAAATAGAAAAATATTTATCCAAGGAGGAAGTAATGACTCTCAAGAAGGCATATTTTTCCTTCCAGATCTCTAAAGCAAATGTTTTCTTTTGTTCTTAACTCCCACCCCTTACTATCCCTCTTAACCTGAAAGGCACCTGCTGGAATGATCAACAGCCACAGTTACAGTTCACGGGCCTATTTCTTTGACAATCCAAGAAGATATGACAGTGATGATGACCTCCCAAGGCTTGCTGGAGGAAGGTAACTTGATTTCACTAAGAGGAGGGAAATATAGCTTACAGTAAAGACTGGCAGATTTGATGCTTATGGAACATTATTTCAGCTGAAGATTCATTAGTTGGAGCCTGATGTAGCAATAGCAATAGCACTTAGACTTATATACCACTTCACAGTGCTTTACAGCCCTCTCTAAGCGGTTTACAGAGTCAGCACATTGCCCCAACAATCTGGGTCCTCATTTTACCGACCTCAGAAGGATGGAAGGCTGAATCAACCTTGAGCCAGTGAGAATCGAACTGCTGGCAGTCAGCAGAATTAGCCTGCAACACCGCATTCTAACCACTGTGTCACCACAGCTCATGTAGAAGTACTACACTTGGAATGTAAGATTCTGAAATGCATTTTGATCATTGGAACCAAACAGCTTGTTTCACTCTCTGCCATAGTTCTTTATTTTAGCAGTATGATAGGGTGTAATTTTATGCTGCTATGATTACATAATCAGTTATTTTCTTTTTAGTTTAGTGCAAGTCAAGAAATCTAGTGATCTGTATATTTGCAACTATTCTCTAATATAAGCCAATACTATCACTATGTGCAGATTTGGGGCAGAAGCAATAGTAATTTGTTTTACAGCCAGCAGACCACTAAAATGTTTGATTGTTCAGGTTTAATTACTCAGACTCTTGGGCATCATGATATTCCAGTTGTTTATATTGCCAATGTTCTTTTCTATGCCCTGTTGTAATCTCTGCATAAATATTCTGTATGTTCTGCATAGATAGTAAAAAATATCCATTTTGGGATAATAAAAATGTAGTTTAAAAATAATGAATAAATATGAAAAAGGCTCTGCTAGGTCAACCCAATCAACATCTGATTTCTTCCGGGATCAACCAGATGTCTTCTGGAAAGACATCTGGAAAGACATCAAAAGCAACACACGAAAGCTTTGTACCTTCAAATCTGGGAGTAATGACTGTCTATGCCCATTCACAAAGAAGAAGTCAACTCTCACAATCTGCCTCTCCTTGTACAGTGAGGTTGTTTTTATTTTTACATGCTTCTTTCATTGTTAGACAACATGTTGAAGTTGCTTAATCCACCTTGCACTTCCTTAATTAGGAGCATAAATTGTCTGCTTTTTTCAGTGCTCCTTCAGGAACAGCAACTCCGGGTGGCCTTGTATATACAGTAGACTGCATTCCACAATTAGATACTTTTGCTGAAAAGAAAATGGGTTCCTTAATTGCAGCTTTCCCCCCCCCCCAAAAAAAAATTGGCAGATAGCCGTAAATATTAATGTTCAAATTAGTCTATTACTCTATTAAGGCAGTTGTCTCCAACATGAACATCCTCCCCAAATACCCATGCTGTTTGTGGAATTTGGGGAAGTGAAGTCTACATTTGGAGGATGTTTAGGTTTGAGAAGGTCGTGTAATGCTGACTTTTTGATGCTGCTATTTTCTAATGTGGTCTTTCTATGTCTTACTCTCCCAAATTTCCATTTTGTATTTTTCAGTTTGGCTACTCCTCAGAATTCTGGGTGGTATGGCTCTCTGACAGGGAGCGACAGCTGCATCATGATTCCACCTTTGGTTGCACCTCCAATGGATGTTGCTCCACTGCTGTTCAGCCATGAAAGCTTGGAATCCAGAAGTCATCACAGTTCACATCCAAAGCCACCAAACTAATCCTAGAGTAGCTTTGGGGGAAGGGTTCCTGTGAGGTGTGAAAAACAGGACTCCCTTTAGGATCAGTCTTTTCCTTACAACCAATAACTGCAACCTGGTTAAAGAAATCCTAAAGTCCTAGGATTGAAAGGACATTGCCCTGAAGGTGTTGTATGAATCTCAGACCTGGAGGAATTCCCAGTGACCTCCAGGTTCCCCCTAATGCATATCGTATTTTCCATTGATCTTCTAATATGGGAATGGAACAATATTGGCTCATAGCTCTGCACTTTGGACTGGAGAGACCAATTGTTGCTATGTAGTAGTGGAAATAACAAAAGCCAAAGGAGAGCATATTCTGAAAACATTCTATTTTATTGGCCAACAGACCATGACTGTTGTCCAGATGGATATTTGCACTTTTAATCAACAATTTCCAAGGGATAATTCTCTTCCCTCCGAATCTCCTCTTTTCCAGTATCATGAAATGTCTGTTCCAGACAACACTTTTAAATTGCACATCTCTGGTTGGGAAACTTGTTCTGTCTTCCTATGATGGCAAACAACTCTACATATTTAACAGTGGAGAACTTTTGAAAGTGGGGTGGGATGAAGAATCTCTTTTGCTTTTAAATTCTTGGAGAGCATTTTATAAGTATGGCACAAGTGCCAGTCTCACAAGGATAACTTAGCTTGTGGTTATGTTTTGCCATCAATCATTAGATTGCTAGAGCAAGTTCCATTATTGCATGTTTGTTATATTCCCTACAGCGTCCTTGTGTTGTTTTGGCCTATTTCTAGCATTACAGTAATACTTCATTTTAAAGAACAGTAACTTATTTTATACTGGAAAAGCAGATTCAGAGTGGGTTACAGGCCAGGTGGACCTATGAGAATTGTAGGCTTGTTTGGGGTGATGCATAGCCAACTGGCGCAGATGTCCTTCACTGCTTTGTCTGGCAACTGCTTTTATGTTCCACAATGGAATGAAAGCAAGACTGATTTCTTTGCAACCACAGAGATGTAAATTGCTCCTGGATTGCTTAACCACCACTCAAGAGCATCATTCTCTGATACTGAGAAAACAGCTGTTTGGAATGTGAAGCAAAGTCATTTTTTTTTCTTCTTCCACCTACCAAGGAAACAGTAGTAGGCAATGCGATCACCAGGGGATGAGGCAAGCAGGGAAGATAAGGGCAACTGTAGCCATGGATGCATCTCCTGAAAAATTTGCAGTTAGATCCAGTCTAGTAGAAAGTGTTAATTATATCTGCCCCCACTCAGAAGTGTGCGATTCCTATTTATACTCCAGGCAACAGAGGCTTCTAGAAGTATTTTTTAGATTTCTGTTCTCAACTTCATGACCTTCAGATGCATAGCATCAACTTCCAGTATTTTCTTACTGCTTGGGAATTATGGGAGACATAGCCCCTAATGCATCTGGAAGATTTAAGGATGAGAAAGCTTGGGACAATGTAGAAAACTGAAGTACATCCATTTTTAACTTGAATCAGAACTACTGTATATCTTCTATTAGTGTTAACAGCCATAATTTCACAAATGGCTTCAGCCAACTGTATTATTCTGAAGCTTTGGGATCAGTCTTTTTACAACCGATAACTGCAACTCTGCAGTTCTGCAACTGCAACTTTGTTAGAGCAAAAGAAATCCTAAATTCTTAGAATTGAAAGGACCTTTCCCTGAAGGTGTTGTATGAATCTCAGCCTGATGGAACTCTCAGTGACTTCCAGGTTTCCTGAACACTTCTTTGGTGAATCTGCATACAGTGGGACCAAATACATTTTATTTCCTCATGAAAAGGGTACATGTGCCTATGTACTCTTTAATAGAACTGTTGGGTTCCCACATACTCCTAGCTGAAAAGAAACTTAAAACACTACCCTAATGTTAAAACGGAGACAATGAACCTATTGCCCTCAAGAAGTGAATTAACAACCCCTAGCATCTCCAATTGATGTAGCCCACAAAGAGGATTACAAGAAACTATGGTTTACCATCCTTAAAGTGTGAGCCAGTTTGGTAAGGTGGTAAGGCATCTGGTGAAAAACTGGGAGACAATTCTAGTCCCACCGTAGGCATAAAACCAGCTGGGTGCTTTTGGGCCACTCCCTCCCTCTCAGACTTAGGAAGGAAGCGGTCGCAATCCATTTCTGAAAAACCTTGCTAAAAATGCAGTGTCTTGTTCAGGCAGTGTATAGGAATCAAGACTGACTTGAAGATATTAAAAAAAAAGTCTGAGAAATAAATTCTTGGACTGTGTGTTTAGCATTTTGCTTCAATAAGGATTTTAAAACTGAATTGAAGTTATCAGCTGGGGTGAATGTTTCTAAACAGGACTAAATGGTTTTTGTTTCTAATCACTTCTCCCCTCTGTTATTGCTAATGTATTACAACTCACTCCTTGGCCAAAGAGTAGGTATAGGATAGACAGAAACCTTTAGAGTTACAAGTTCTTGAATTGCCATAGCTGCTTCCTAATCAGTTAATACTAATTCTCTGTAAAGATGGTAAGTCTATCATTTCATCTTCCTCACAAGGCACATAAACTCAAGAAGTGGTAGACAAACTCTGTGTAATTAGGTAGATCTTCTGGTGTGGAATAAGATTGTGATTAGGAGCACTTTCCATCTGGAGCAAAGACTGATTATCAAACTAGAACAGTGTTTCTTTAAGCTGTGTGGGCTTCAACTCCCAGAATTCCCTCCCATGGCTGACTAGGACTCCTGGGAGTTGAAGTCCACACATCTTAAAGTGATCAAGGCTGAGAACCTGCATTACAGCATGAAGAGAGCTGGTGTGTATAAACATCCATCTCCACTATGGTCTCTCCAAGTAGATTGGAACTGCAGCTGCCAGGGGTTCATACTGGAGGAGGAAATCTAAGTGTTGAGAGTCTCCATAAATCCAAAAGAGGCCAGGCTGGGGAAGATTGGCATAAACCATTAAGAGATGACTACAAAACTATTAGGAGAAAATATTTAAATCTGAGGTGCTTCATTTTTCAAATCTCAAGCTGTTTCACCTCAGCTGCAATGCAAGTAGATTGTACTGCAGTTAACGGCTGCATTTCCCATGAGATAGGCTGGACAACTGAGTTGACTTTCCTGAATGTGCTAGGTATAGCTACAGGTATTAATCACATGTGCACAGTATAAGCATTTCACATGTGCTGAGAGAAATATTTGCTGCACAATGTTCAAAATTTTGGGTAGGAAGAAGAGGTGATTTTTCAGTATTGACATGTGAAACTTAAGTTATTTCAAACATTCCTTGAGCGTATTACTATAAGGCTCTGCTCTTAAGACCTCTCTCCTTCCCTCCCTGCTTAACTTGTCCTTGACTTGTAGCAAAAATTTAGCCAAGACTTGAATTGTCTGCCCTTTTTTCAACAAGCCACCAAAGACTAGTTGAGCTAACTCCTTTCTCTGCCCCAAATATCCTGACTTTCTCCTTTATCAGTTTTATAATGCACTTGGAGCACTTTAAGTTTGTTTCTTGGGAGGGAAAGCTATTGCATAAAGGCCACAGGACTCTTTGTCTTTGCACTGAATTGCATTGAATGAAGATGGCTGTTCCTTCCAGTCATAAGCTGAGTTTCTTTATTAAAGAGTTTGAGTCCGTTTTATTCTCATGGCTATTGAAATTCTGACTGCATTGAAGAAGGCCAGTCTTGCATTTTATTTATATCTGTTACTACTTTTTATATCTAATCAAGAAATTAAGTCTTTATCAAGAATGGGGTATTTTACGTATGTTTTGTTTGACGCTATTTGCCTGTTTTCTCTCCAATCACTGGAGAGGCTAAAAGAGGCAACCCTAGCTCTACCATGTTCATTTCTTCCTCTTGAATTGTAATGTTACATTTTAAAATAAAGAGGCTTCTTTTTATCTTGTGAAAAGACTACATCTGACTTCTTCAGTTATTTTTGTCATCTTCTTCCCTGAATCTTCTTCCAAATTGCCAGAATATTGCTTTTTTGGTCTGCTGCCAGAAAAATAAGCAGAACTTGAATTAGGTCTCAAAGGAGCTTTTTCAAAAGGCAACTGGACTGTTTTTTTTTTCCTTGAAGAAAAAAACATTTCACCTCTCATCCAAGAAGCTTCATCAGTTGTGATGATGGGAGGAATGGAAGGATAGGTACTGACAGTTGAGACTGGATGGATAAGGGATAACAACTACAAACGCCTATAGACTTTCAAAAAGGCTACATGTGTGGCAAATAACACATCCTTATAACTCCGATGGTTTGAACAACTTGAACATGTCTCCTAAAAGAATAGAAACCAGAACAGGCTTTTATGTAGTCCTTAAGATGTTCTCTAGTAAAATAGGAGGTAGATCATTCACTATTTTAAAACATGAATGTATTTATTATATCTTCAAGCAAACGCGAAGGAGAAAGTTTAAGGAAAGTTATTAAAAGTCCCCCCCTACCCATACTGTGTATTCCTAGATCACAATTCTAAAGTATATGGAATTGCGCTTCCACAAACATTCTATGGAAGAGCTTGTATTTAAAATGGTGACTTTCCAAATACCAGTAGCTATAACAAATCAGAATTTACATGCCTGAAGGGGACATTCTGGTTGTTTATCAGACACAGCTTACCACACAAAATCTACATTTTAGCTTAGTGTGTTAAGTTAAGCTACCCTCAGCATGTGCTCAACACCGAATAAACTACATGTGGAAGCATGTTGCAGGAACAACCCCACCTATGAAAATTTTTCTTCATTCAACATTAATCCTTGTTTGTTGAAAGTTTATACTGTACTACCAGTCCTTCTTTAAAGAAAGCCATCACCACAGTGTAATTGTTAACACTTTCAACAACCATTCCTTCAAATTCCCCAAAGCCTCTTGGCCTCATTTTGGAAACATCAAAAGAAAGAGAAGTAAATAATATATGCACTCAGATGTCATATCCATTTTTTGTATTTACATCTACTTTTACATTCAAGTATTGTCCACCTCAGCTCCCAACCCCCAAGGCAATTTAGCAAAGTTTGCATTATTCTCCTAGAAGTCCTCTCTATGCTGATTTAATCAAAAAGAAGGAAACTGGGGGGGTGGGTTGGAAGTAGTCTTAATCTTTAATCTTATTTTGAAGTCTTTAATCTTCACAGTAAAGAGCAATTCAAGTACAGGACAAAATTATTTCTGTGCTTTCCTTGAAAATAGAATCAATCAATCAAAGAAGCATCATTTTACTAAACAAATAAGAAATGAAACACATAAAAGGTAGAGGCAGCTCCAAAGTATTACATTCAGTGGTGAGGGCCAAAAAGCCTTTACTTTTTTTTTTTTACTTTAAGCTTGAAATGCCCAGTTCCCATCTCATCAGCTTGTAATCTCAACGGCTGGCCTAAATTAAGGCTGCCCTTCCTCTTAGGCCAATTTACAATAGCATATGTCCTGTTGAGGTTTCAGAGCTAATGGAAGGATTACCGAAATACAAGACCTGCTTGATCTGCAGGATCCAATTTCTGCTGAAGATCCTTTCTGCAACAGTAGGGAATTGGAAAGCCCAAGTGTAACTGTTATTGTATAACTGTATAACAACTGTATAACAGTTGTTCCCTGAGTAGCTTTTATTTTCCAGGCAATTTAAAAAAACTTCTCTAGGCTATTATAAACTAAGTTACAAATCTATCTAGCTCAGTGGCAGAAATTCTCTATGGTTTTATTGCAACCCCCTCCCCCCCATGTTTATCTTAACACAGGAAAATTTTTCCCCAATGTGGGTGGGGAAATTCCCATGGATTCAATTCCCAGAATTCCCCAGCCAGCTACTTGTTGCTGAGAATTCTGGGAACACTGTACCCAAGTTGGGGAAGTCTGGCACAAAACAATGGCTTGGCAAATATGGAGTGTTCTTTTCATGAAAACGTTTGGGAGGGAATCTTAAACTCTCACACCAGGGTATAAAATGTTGCAATTTAGTGTCAAAATTGCACCAAGCCTGCTAATAAGCAAGATGAGAGGGGATCATGAGTACAGATATAAAAATTTTTTTACCCCTGGCACCTTCCTTGGTTTATTCTGGAAATGCTGTGGATTATGCTAAAAGGGAAAAATTAAGGTGTAATTTTACCCCAACTTCTGAAGAATATTATTAAAACTTGTAAAAGGTTCATAATCTACAGCTCTGTAAAATGGAGCACAACAGCTATAACATTCAAAACCCTGTGCAATGACTTCCACTGTTAAACACTTAAATATCTTGTTTTATGATCAGTATTTCCTTTATTGAACCCTGTAATCTTTCCTTTAATCACCAAAAGATTGTGTGGAGTAAACACACTCAATGGAATGTACAACTAAAAACAGTGAGTAAAAAAATAGGATCCTAATAGGGCTGTAAAGGTGGTTCTGAATTTGGGAGGACAGGTGGAATCACGAATCATTTTTCTGCAACTCCTTAAACCAAACCTGAATTTTTCTGCAATCACCCAGCAGCTGCAGAACAATCAGGCAGTCCTAATAAAAGACTGATCTGTTTCAAATTGTTCTTAAAGTTTTTCTGTGGCATAGCTTTGAACCATATAGTGGGCACCAAACGATTAAAAATTGTTGTACCAAAATCATAGTAATGTAGTCTCAATTCCATCATTCCCAGCCAGCAAACTAATGGCTATTTCAGTTGGGAATAAAAAGATATATAATGGGATCTCTGGAGAGTGTCTGGATGGGGAACCAGATGCTCAGAGCTTGGTTTTTAATTTTGGAGAATAAAGAAGCATTTCATACTGGAATGAGACAACTCACCATGACCAACTCATTGTGGCCAACTTGCCATAGGACAACTGACCACAGCCAATTTGCCATAGGACAACTCACTGCAGGACAGTTTAACAATACTTACTTAAAATAAATAAAAAAATATTTTAATTTTTTGTCATTCACATTTCATTTTGTCCTTCCTTTTGCATCCTTTAATGATTCTATTCCACTATTTCTTTGATATTAGTGTAACTCTTGTTCCACAATTTGCTGCAGTCAACTCACCATGGCCAACTTGCCACGGCCAACTTGCTGAGGCCAACTTGCCATGTTGCCCTGTGGTGAGTTGGCCACAGGAAGTTGACCATGGCAAGTTGGCCATGGCAAGTTTGCCGGGGTGAGTTGACTGCAGCAAATTGTCATAGGCCCATCTCATACAACTCAGTGATAAACAGGAGTTGACTGGAAGTATGAAGTCTGGAGCTCCACTTCCAACCAGTTTCAAAAGATGACATGCAAACCGCATGAGAGGAGAGAGGCATCTTGCTGAGAATGCTTTAATTTCAGTTCCTATATTGAACAGGCAGGTGGACCTGCCCCAAATGGCTCTTGTAAGTCTATCACTCACTGGGATTTCATTCAAATATGTGAGACTAGGTTGATTCAGGCATTTTACATAAGATTATTTAAGGACACTGAAGCAGAAAAATAATTTTTGTTAAGAGACATTGTTATGTAAGATTAAGAGATTCTAATCATGTGTCTAAATGAGACATTTTATCATGCAGTTGCTTTGCAGGGAATCCAGGTGATGTCATCATGTCTCATTTGTAACCATGGTTTTCTCAACTAGCCTTTTCCTTCCACAAATAGAAAAGTGTATAGAATAGCTGCACTGTGCCTTTTTATTAGTAGCGCTAAGATCCTTCAGGCTGGAAGAAACCTAGTAAACAAGGGGTAAGGAACCTGAAGTCCTTCACATATTCCTAGCATCTCTCACTAATGGTCATGCTGAAAAAGGCTGCCGAAAGTTGTATTTCAGCAATTTGCAGGAAGGATACAATTCTCCTACCTTCATGATGTGTGTGTGTGTGTGTGTGTGTCTGTGTGTGTCTGTGTCTGTGTGTGTGTGTGTTTTAAGAAGACAGGATGCATAAGGCCAATATTTGATGTATATCCTCCTCTGGAAGAAGAGTCTTGTATGAATATTTTAGCTACCTCAAAGCCAAATATAAATTTGTAAGCTAGAGAATGTGATCAATTTTTATGATCATGTTGACTTAGTCCTTCTTGCCAAGAATGGGATCATGCTGGCACTACACCAGCAGAAATCACTCTGAGCCCAATCTGCATAAAACAAGGAAGTTGGTCTCCATCAGGGTCAATTCACTGAAGTGGGCGTAAGAGCTCCTTGAAGTTTTCTAATTCTTTAACACTTGTTGAAATCCTGCATCAGACAATGAAAAAAAAAATTATTTGGATATACGTGTAGCATGGCATTTATATTTAGCTCATCTGGAAGAGACTGTAGAAAGGGGAAAAAAACATAATTTGACAATACATGGCATTGAATCAAACTTCCAAATAGAAAATGTCAAACTCACCTTCCAAAAGCATTGAAGAGGGACACAATCTCCTGCCTTGTTAGATGAAAATCATGCGAAGGACCTTTTTCTGGTATATTTTCTATCAGTTTTTCAGAAAACAGAATCTTCAGTGCTGTTCCCAAGCCCTGAGTCTGTACACAGTAGGAACAAGATTTCAGCTAAACATCACACCAGGAAGTGAGGTTGTAATCACTATCAGTTTTTTTTTAAGTAAAAACTGGGCAATTTAAATAAGGTATTAAATAAATGACTGGTCCTCCAAAGCACTATGCAAATATTACATCAGCTAAACCCATACAATCTCAATATAAAAGTAAAAAAGAAAATAGAACTTCCTTGCTTTTAAGTTACTCATTCACATGGATGCACATAGACCAGTGTTTCTCAACCTTGACAATTTTAAGGCATGTGGACTTCAACTCCCAGAATTCCACAGCCAGAATTCCACAGCCAGCAATGCTGGCTGTGGAATTCTGGGAATTGAAGTCCACATGCCTTAAAATTGTCAAGGTTGAGAAACACTGACATAGACAGATGCCCTAAATGTAATTAAATTCTGCTATGTCATAAACAAAATGTAAGTAAAATCAATCATAGGATTGTTGATGTGGAGAAAATAGGAGGCAGGAGAATTAAGCATGTCCATCACATTGAATTATATATAAAAATGGGAGAGGGATAAAAATATAATAATGTAAGACCTGACAATGGCTAAGAGCAGGAAAGTTGAAGAAAGAGACAGATGGGCTAATTCTGGATGCATAAGATCAAGCCTTGAGAAAAAATGCATAGAAAGCCAGAATTGAAAAGACAGCAACAGAAAACAGATGCCACTACTGTAAAGAAGCTGAAGAAACAGCAAAGAAAGAAGGAGTAACTTACCTGCAGCTTCCCCCAAAGGCGGCACTTCAGGCACTCTACACAGTCCATGATCCTTGAAATGTTCTTAAAATGGAACCGAAATTCCTCCTGAGAAAGAATAAATGAACTAATGAATTAGTGACTTAAAAATGCATTCGTTATCCTTGATTTGAATCTGCAGCATTTCTCCCATTCAATACCTTAGCTAGTTCAAATAGAAAAACCCAGAATCATGCTTCTCAGCTGTTATTGTCTTTTGAGTTTATTGAGTTTTCCAGGATGCAACTCTGCAGCAAATGCAGGAAGACCAATTGGAAGAATTCTTCTTTTTATGCAACACTTAAAAGCATCAAGGCTTTTTAGGATCCAGGTAACTACCGCAGAGTCCTGTCTGCTGTTCCTTAAAGCCAAAGGTATCTTTTCATGGAAATATCACCAAACCCTGGGGAAAGACACAACTGCCTTAAGCAGTTACATCTAGTCCTTGGCTTAGCGACTGTTTGAAGTTCCAACAGACCTACCTAGGGAGTACTTGCAACCCAGATTCGAAATTTTTATCAAACCCTCACCCACAGAGAAACATGGGTTCGCTTAATAATTGCAGTATTTGCTTGATGACATGGATCCACCCAATGACCACCACAGCAAAAGGTTATAAATTCAGATCAGTCACATGGCCAACACATTTTCTAACCATAGCAGGTTACAACTGTAATGGGCAGCCTCCATTATAGTCATAACTCAAGAACTATCTGGATATATAGATGCTACACCTATGCCTCCTGTACATTTGTAAGTACATTTTTGCCTTTGAATCCAAAGCATAGCACAATCCTTTTTCTATAACTATCTTTCAGAGATAGGAAACGCGTTCTTCTGCAGAAATGGCTGAATTACAACTTCAGTAGTCGTAGTCAGCAAAGTCAATAGTAAAGGACACTGGGAGTTGTAGTCTACTAATGTCTGGAATCTCAGTTTCTCAGGGTCTGTTCTAAAGGCTTGTCTGTTTCCAATCCATATCTTAAGGAATCCTTGCAAGATTTGCCCTATTCCACATATTTTCATAAAGGGCCCACTGAGCCAAAGTGAACTTTGTTCTTCTCTCCCAGAAGCTGCTTACGAATATTTTATTGTTTGATGGTATAATTTCTAAGTAATTTCTAACTGAAATGTTTTATAGTATTTAATAAACTAGATTTAGAGCCTTCATGCCACAAATGCAATCCTGCATCAGGAGTGTTTGCTTTTCGGTCCTGCTGAGCTTACAAACAAAAAGTATTTTTTTTCCCTCAGAAAGTAACTTAATTTTACCTTTAACTTAGCAGCTTCTTTTTGGTTTCCAGCAAAAAGTGAATTTTCATCAAAGTGCAAAGGAAAGGATCTGAAGCGGAAGACAAACAATGAATTAACAATGAAGGTCTTTCACTGTAGAAGAGAATGAAAAAATTCTATTCAGCAGTTATTAATTTAAGTAGTGTTGCGATGTATCATGACTTTTTTCACATTGCCAGAGCTGGGTGGGTGTGGCCTCTGCATGATGCAAGCAGCTCGCTGGCCAGCAGTTTGACACCCGTTTTAAGGAGGGGGGGGTTGGCTTCTGCTGTAACTAGAATCTTAAAATTCTAGTGACATTTTGAGATCCATATACTATGTACTACTATCATTTGCCTTCAGGGCTACACCTTGTATTTCACAAAGGTTGCAATTCATTACAATGAACCTTGTTGAAAGCTGATTGCCTACAGCAATTGTACTGGGGATGACAATCTTAAATTAAACATACCGGTACCTTTGATTTATGCTACCCAAACTCCTTTGAGGCACTAATCAAGAGAGACTAGTATGTGTATCTTTTAGCCCTTAACTGCAGTTGGAATGAGGACAGGTTTAACTAGGATCAGAAGCAGCATAAAAGCTACGTTTACTTAGAGGATAAAACAATGTATTTTAAAATGTTACAACCACCCACCCAAAACCGAGATCTTACACTGATGTTAGGGCTGCTAACTGTTGGCAACAAAAATTCAGACAATTAAATGCTAGCAAAGAGTTTTGCCAACTTCTGGTTGGGAAAAAAGTTGATTGCAGACAATGGGTTTGCTTAAAGAACACTCCATTTGTTAATTACCACTGCTAAAAGGTAATAAAATTGGGCTGACTCACTTAACAACCAGTATAACTTATGACCATAATTCCATGCTTATTTACCGGTTGTAAATCTAGGACTACATATAGTACGCAATACCCAAATAAAACAGAGGGGTTTCCTACAATGAAATAAAGAGCAGTAGATGACTTTATTGCTTGAACTGGTAGAAGTGAAAAACCAGTATTTTGATGTGCAGAAGGAAAAGATGAATGGAGGTTACTTCTCAGGTGGGCTGGGTACAAGCAGAGTATTGTGTGTTCTTGCACTTGAGAAACCCACACTCACATTAGGAGGAGCTGGTTGTATGGGTCAGCCCTCAATATGCTTGTAACTCATTGCTGCCATTTTGATTTCTATCTAGATTTGGTAACTAATATATCCTCTCAGTTCTTTTCCTAATAATATAGCATCTCTTACTTAAGCAGAGAAACTATATATTATATTAATTGCTTGCTTGTGAACAATTAAAATGTTATTTAACAACAAAACTGTATGAACTACTGTAATATGTAAATTGCTTAGGGTAAACTGTAGTTTTTATTTTCTGAATTAAAGTTCACTTTGGTTTAAAATTGACTCTTCTCTATATGCTAGCTATCTTTTCTTTATCGATTTGGCTTCTTGCTCCCCTGCTCACATCTCTTTAATCTTACATTTTCTGTCCCAGGTTCCTATGGAAGTGCCCACTTTTTATTTGCATTTCTTTAAAGCAACAACCTACCATTTCACTGCAAGACTAAGTGGCTGACATTGCACCAGCCAGGTATATCTAAATCAGTGGTTCTCAACCTGTGGGTAGGGACTCCATTTGGGGTTGAACGACCATTTCACGGGGGTCGCCAAACAACACAGTCCGCCATTTTTTCCCCCTTTTCCTTAGCTGTGCTACTCCCTTTTATTCTATTGGCTTTTGAAAGCCAATAGAATAGACTCTCTTGAATAGAGTCTAATTCTATTGGCTTTCAAAAGCCAATAGGAATTGTCCAGGCTGTCTCTGCCCTGCTGAGCCCGCCAAAAGTCCCATTCTGCAAACGGTGCTGCAAGTTGTCTGCAGCGAAGGCGAGCTGTCTGGAAGTTTCCACCCCTCCCTGCTGAGCAACTACTAAAAATGTAAGTAAAAGAGGGCCAGGGGTGGGAGGCCGGCGGTCGGCTGGCACAGGGGGCGGCACCACGCATGTGCGGCGCTCCCGGGCAGGGAAAGTCCTCGACTTACGACCGGTTGGGTAGTCCTCAACTTACGACCGGTTGGGGTCACAGCATTAAAAAGGTTGAGAACCACTGATCTAAATACACACCCCATTCTCCCAAAATAGCCAGTTTGAGAGCCAAACTGGTCTAGTGGTTAAGGCTAGAAAGCAGGAGACTGTGATTTCAAGTCCTGCCTTAGCCATGAAAACCAGCTGGATGACTTTGGATCAGTCATTCTCTCTCAGCCCAATCCACTTCAGAGAGTTGTTGTGGGGAAAATAGGAGAAGGAAGATGTGTTAGATATGTTCACCACCCTGAATTCTTTGCAAAAATGATAAAGGTGGGATACATACAAACAAGAGATGTTTGGTGGTTGGAACTGGATTTTTCTCTGATTTATTCCCACATTCCATTGACCAAAGTACTTTTTTCCTCCAGTCTAGTTCTGATAACCAGAAGATAAAAAGCTTGGAGCCATAGATCACTGTAAAGGATAGAATCATGAGGCTGGAAGAGTCATTAAGTTCTTCTAGTCCATCCTCCTGCCCATGGCAAGAATTCCCAAACCATCTCAGACAAATGGCAATCCAACCTTCGTTTGAAAACTTCAAGTGTTAGAGCACCCACCATCCCACAAGGCAAGCTGTTCCACTGTATTATAACTCTCATAGTTAGTTTGGATCTCTCCCTATCAAATATCCACTCTGTTGGTTCTTGTTCTGCTCTCAGGTGCTATGGAAAATAAATCCACCCCCTCTTCCCTGCGGCAGCCCTTTAAATATTAGAACACTGCTACTGGTTCTCCCTTTAACAAGATGAGGATGAACCCAGCATTCTTCAACCGCATATAAACCTTAAAATCAGACACGCACACTGTGAAATTTTTAAAAGATGTTGATTGGTTTAAAGCTGCAGGATGCGGTTTAGCTAAAATTATCACTAGTCACAGCTTGCTTATTCTATTCTTATTTATTTAACTTCTACACTGCCCACCTCGCAAGACATCTCGTTTAGTAGGGCCTGTGGCTCATATGATGGATATGATGGATCCTAACAAAGAAAAAAGGGAAAGATAGATTCAAAAAGATGCAGAGAATAATGACACTATTTAATAAGCAGCGTCCTATTTCAGTTTGAGCAAGAGAAGCCCTTCCTGAGTGGGCTGCAGCTTGGAATGCCTGATTTCTATGCCTAGTTTAGTTACAGAATCTGTCTGGAATGTTCCTAGTTTGGCTCTCTTACCCAGTGTGCAATGAATGTATCATTGTGCATCTTATGAAATAAATGGGCTACAAGCTTTATCTTAAATTCTGTGCTCCTCATTTTTGGTGTAGAGGTGAAAGCATCAGGCTAGAAGCCAGGCGACTGTGAGTTCTAGTCCCACTGTAGACATGGAAGCCAGCTGGATAACCTTTGACCAGTCCCTCTCATTCAACCCAACTCTCCTCATAGGGTTGTTGTGCGGGAAAGAGGAGGAGGAAGGAAGTATGTTAGCTGTCTTGAGTTATTTATCAAAATAATAAAAGGGGAAAATAAATAAATTATTTTCATCCTTCAGTGGTTAGGATGGAGAAAAGGCTGTAATTTTCAGATGCTTTAAATATACATACGAAAGATGAATAGATTTATAATATTACTCAGCATTTTCCCAATATTGTTCTAACATTCCAAAAATTATTGTAAATGCTTTTTAGTTATTTCCAATAATATCTGGAATTAAATAATTGAACTACCTTAAAATTTTGTTTGAACTGGTTACTTTACACATGTAAAGTGAATAAAAACCTGCTCTTTGCAGCACACAATCATCCCATCAACCCATACATATTTTGTTATGTATTCAATTTATGCCCACCCAATTCTGGGAGGCTAACAATCCATTAAAAATAACCACTAACAAACAAAAATAATTACCAACTGTTGTTTGTAATACTTGGAGGTGACCAAAGAAGCACATTGAAATGGATTGCACTTACTTAATTAAATGAAGAATTTCCAGGAGGTGGTTCTTGGTTTTTACATCTTGATCCTCGTCCCCTGTGAACAACTGGAAATCAGGGCGTTCAAAAAAGGGCAAAATTTTTGAGAGGGCCCGTAACTCAATTAGATAGATGAAATACAGGTTCTTCAGCCTCCTGGGACCTTCGCTTTGTGTCAAGACCTCATCAAAACGCAGCTGGAACTCTGTAACATTGTGCCCCCATTTCTTCTCTGCCCATGTGTCTTATGAAAGAAAAGAAAGGGCTTGTATTAAGCTAAACATAATATGGAAGGTAGTTGTACTCAAGAATCATTCATGGCAAGCCTCAACCATCTCATCCTAAGCAACTTCCCATCTCACAACGTGTAGACCCCTACACTGTGATGCTGAAATTCAGCCACGGGCAAATGGGCCAAAATAGATACATCATGACTGTTGTATTTATTACTATTATACTGACTCCTAGAACAAATCAAAGCTATAGGAGGAAGAGGTTGCACTTGCTAAATAATATCATCACCTCAGAACACAACTCCATGGCCAAAATGTTTTTTGTTTAAAAAGTACCCACCCACCCCACGATTATTTGCTTTTTTCTTTTATCTATATATGTAGATGGACCACTTCAGTCATATTGTAAAAAAAAAATTAATGGAATTGATTGATTGATTGATTGATTGATTGACTGACTGACTGACTGACTCATTCATTCTTTCATTCTTTCATATTTGTATGTCCATCTATCTCTCAAACAGATCTTAGGGATAAAAGTTGTCCCAAAGTGCTTTTTCAAGAGGCAACTGGACTTTCTTTTTCTTCTTCTCATCCAAGAAAGCTTCTTCAGCTCTTCAGAGCAAAAAGAAGCAAAATGTCTTCAAAGAAAGACAAGAAAGTCCAGTTGCCTCTTGAAAAAACATCTTTGGGACAACCATGACCTGGATGACTGAGACTCTCCATAGACATTTAACAGATAAGGCACAGTTTGTAAGTCCATCAAATGACATTGCCTAATGGATGAGACTTGAAGCATGCCTAACTTCAATATTTAGAAAGCCCCGTAAAAACAGGCTAAGGCACCCGGCTAGAAACTAGGGGATTGTGAGTTCTACTCCAATTTTAGGCATGAAAGCCAGCTAGGTTATTTTGGCCCAGTTCCTCTTTCTCAGCCTAAATCTCCACACAGGGTTCTTGTTGTATGGAAAATAGGAGGAGAAAGGAGAATTGGATATGTTTGCTGCCTTGAGTTATTTATAAAAACAATAAAGGCAGGATAAAAAAAACCCTAATCTAATCTAATCCAATCCTCTGTGTGATATTGTTTTTAGAAAGGATGATCTTTCTCCTTCCAGATGTCTGTGGTTTTTAACAGTATGAGCTGTGGTGGCGCAGTGGTTAGATTGCAGTATTACAGGCTACTTCTACTGACTGCCGGCTGCCTGCTGTTTGGCAGTTTGATTCTCACCGGCTCAAAATTGACTCAGCCTTCCATCCTACCAAGGTCAGTAAAACGAGGACCCAGATTGTTGGGGGCCATATGCTGACTCTGTAAACCACTTAGAGAGGGCTTTAAAGCACTGTGAAGCAGTATATAAGTGCTATTGCTCTCTTTTTAGTAGAGTTTATAACTGTGTATCGCCCAGAATAGCCATGGACTTGAGCACTCTTATAAATCAGATCAAATCAATCAAATCTATTTCTGTTTCATATATTTGCCACTTCTCAGTCATTGCAGGAAGTTTTTTCCCCCTGTGATATCTTCAAAGACACACTTTTTTTGCTCCATGTGTCTTAAATTCACTAATAAAGGTAAACAGAAGACTCTTGATAGCATATGAAAAAGAAAACCATCTAGATCAGGGAAAACAATACATAAATAAAATATTAAAGAAGCTTTTTTTGCCAGTTTGGCTAATCCAATTAAATTTTGATACTGCTGAAAGATGAAACAAAAGTCAAGACATTCTATGATCTCATATTTCCCATTATATGTGTGGTTTGGCTCTTTCATCATGTATTTTATTGCCTCAGAACTTCTTGTAAAACTTCTCTTTTCTGTTTTGCTCAGTCATTTGATTAAATCAGTATTGGGTTAAAAAAAATATGTGAACAGTCATAATAAAACCTAACAAACTTTGTTTTCTTTCTTCCCAGAAGCCATACATGTAACTAAGCCTCACTTTCCTGAATCACACTCTAGCGTCTTTCTATACATACACAATCAAGACGGTTCAATCAAATGTGTTATGCTCAATGCACATAACACACTTAATCTGGTTATTGAATGAACACCTGTTCTGATTTCACATAATACTAAATCATAAACCTAATAAATTGCTTGGGTTTGCACAACAAACAAAACAAATCAAGATTAAAACTAACCAAATTTATGCTATTAAGCAACATCCTATACTAGTGAAAGGGCAAGCCCACAGTTTACTGAAAAATCAGTAAAGGTCCAAATTCAGTTCATATTTTTTTTAATTTAGATTCTTTTCATGACAGCTCAAACTGAATAACTATTCAAGTCTGATGTTCATTATGTTAATATATTGCATTACAGGTAGTCCCTGACTTATGACAACAATTGGGACCGGAATTACCATCGTAAAGAATTTCCATCACAAGTTGTTGAGGTTTTAAGTCAAGTTTTGGGTGTCAAAGGAAGTGAAGGGAAATCTCAAGAGTTCACATTTGCCACTCTGGCAATGGAGCAGAAGAAATGGTCAGTGATGCTACTCTTCCCTTTCCCCTGTCTAGAAGTTGGAAAAAGCTGCTTTTGAGCACTAAGACGAAAGTGAGGCCACCAACCTTGCAAAAGGTATCTGGCACTGAGATGAATGTTGATGCTTGCATGAAGACCAGAAATAAGTTTGTAGAAAGCTCTCTTCTCCACACAGAGACCTGTTAAGAAACATTGACAAAAAACTATGGCAATTCAAAGGATAGAAGTTTAATTCTGCCGGGTAATCAACATTGCATCTACAATGCAATCCAAAGTGCATTAAAGTGGTAAAAAAAAATCAGTTACCTTGCAACCAGCTGTAAAACATATTCCCTGAAAAGAGAAAAAGAGCCATCACAAAAGTTTTCTCACAACAGAAAAGTATCTATGATAGCTTCATTTGTTGCATCTAATGCCAAGATTGACTACTAGAATATATGAAGGTTTTTTTCCCCCAAAAGCAGGGTCTCGTCTCAACATTGCTTCTCATGACCCTGAAATAGGTACATCCATCTCCTCCTGCTGCACACATTAGTAAAATGGTCTTAACTCTTCCACTTCTTAGCTCCAATCCTATCAACTAATACATTGGTACATGATGGCAACGTATTCTCCCAACAGCAGAATAAAGGACTGTTAAGAAGAAGCAGGAACTCAATTCGGTCCTCACCTAGCCTAGTGTTTATGAATCTGGCACCTTCCAACTAACATAGTGAAGTCCTAACACATCTAATTTTGGAAGAATGAGTATGAAGTGTAAAGAAGGGAAGAAGAAATGGCAGTCAGTGTGCATTTTGCTAAATCCCAACAATTTTTTTCCAGATAATTTACAACTGTCAATATATCTACCCTCTTGGTTATTGCTGGAAAGGCACTCACCTTCATTTTCTCTTGTTCCTGTAAAACCAAATTAAAAAAAGAAGAGATTACATTTCAATCAGATGAAATGTCTTAAGTTATCTCTAGGCTCTTTTTATGGGTATCAGCACTCTGATAAAGTAGAAAATATTTGCGCCTCTGAATGTTTTGGGTTTCCTTTCCCATCAACCTCAGACAGAAAGCCAATAGTAAAGGATTATGGGAGTTGCAGTCCAAAGCCTTTAGTGAGCAGCCATTGCCTAACACAATGTAATACAACTGACACTAAAAATATTAAGCTTGTGCACCAATCTCCATTCAACTCCAAGAACTACTACGTTGTTTTAAAATAGTAATGATCTTATCTTGCTTTGCTGAATTTATTATGTTTCTTTTTCCCAGACTTACATGATTCGGAGTGAAACTACTTTAGTTCAGTCACTGATCAGACTTACACAATTTATTCCAGATCTCCAGGCTGATGGTGAGGTGCATGCAGCTAATCAAAGTACTTTAGCATTATTCCTATTCTACAAAGAATCTTATTTGGCCACCCTTTGACTTTTTGCAATATCAGTAGTACTTCTTGTAGCCTACATTTTTTATCCATAGGAATTTTGTTTGTATCCTGCCTTTATTTTTTTTACAAATAACTCGAGGCAGATAACATATCTAATATTCCTTCCTTCTCCTATTTTCCTCACAACAATAACCCTGGGAGGTAGATTAGGCTGAGAGAGAATAACTGGCTCAAGGTCACCTGGCTAGCTTTCATGACTGAGTTGGAATCTGAACTCACAGTCTTCCAGTTTCTAGGTTGGTGCCTTAATCACTTAAGAATGTATTGTTTCTATTTGCTTCTTCCCATTTTTGACTCCCATTCCATACTTATTTGCCATTTTTCCCTCTTTTGATTGTCTTCCTATTTTTATAGTATAATAGCATGAAATGTGACATTAGTAGGCATCGAAAAATGTTAATTCAATTTGAATTTTGCCCACCTCTTCTTTTATCAATAACCCTAATACCTGCAAACACATGGCAACTCAATCCACTAACAATATCAACTTTCTCTTAATAATAATGGAAAGATAAGTTTACCTCTGCCAGATGCCAGTGGATTTAAAGGCCTTTTCACCGAGCGCGGCCTATAAGATAAATGTATTTTAATTATTTATAGTTAAAAGCTTGTACAAATAATATTGGCTAAAGGTATAACTTAAAGCAATTGACCGCTATAGAATTGGATTATTTTCATTGCAACTTCTAGCAAAAATCACTTTTAACTGATGTCTAAAAAGGCTAAAGGGAGTGAACTAGACCAATATTTAGAGAGAAGCATTTGAACTTATCATAGTTACCAATTTCAAAAGGATGGAAAAAATTCTTCAAAGATATCATCTTAATGGCTGAATGGACTAGTTTATGTGGGAGAAGGCAAACTTTCAAACTTCTTTCAAGGATGCACTCTGATTTATCCTTTCTTTTAAAGTCTTTATTTATCCCCAACCTGGCACCTTCCAGATATATTGGACTACTAATTCCATGCAATTGGCATTGCTGGGGATGATGGAAGCTACAATCCAACAGAGTTCCTGGGTGGGGAAAGTTTTAATCGATTCTCTGAAGCCAGGAAAGAAACTAAAGATTTTCACATTGCTATAATTCTTTCAATATTTAACCAGTAACACACAGATTAGTGTGTTTAGTGCAATGGTTAAGACACTGAATTAGTGCAATGGTTAAAACACTGAATGAGGAGTGGAGAAATCTGAGTTTTAGTCCCGTCTTAGGTATGAAAGCTAACTGGGTACTTTTAGGCAATTCACTTTCTCTCAGTTCTCAGAAGACAAGAATGACAAATTACTTCTGAAAATGTTGTCTAGAAAACTATATGGATTTATCAATTAATCCCCAGGATTCAAGATTGAAATGGTGCCCCCCAAAAAAGTTAACAAGTAAGACAACTTCAAGAAGTTATGGGAAGACAGGGTGTTCCTTTACATTATTTTAGTCAAACAGCCATGATTTCTCTAACATGCTCTCTTTATTTATTAGGCATATATAGTATACTGCTTTCCTTCCTGAAGCTCAAGCTGATATAAAAGGTATTCCCCCAGCCCAACAGTCCTGTGACATAGGTAAAAAATAAGCTGGCCCCAAATCACTCTGAGTTTAAGAGCTGAATGCAAAGTAGGAAGTGCATAAGATATTGCCTTAGGAGAAGTCAAGTTGTATATTGCTGCACTCTCTAAGATAGTCTACATTATGGCTAACTCTACACAAATTAATCCTTCATATTTACATGCAGTCTTCAAGAATTTGAACAGCATGCCTTTCTTTGGATAATACAGAACAGCTTGTCTCCATTAAAAAAAAACCTTCCAAATGTGTTTGGACTGTGATTTTCAGAGTTTAGTCGGCACCTCTGGAAGGTTCCCAATTGGAGAACTTGATATAGTATAAAGAATTTCCCCCAAAATCTTCTACTCTAACATTTGAACTGAGCTGATTTTTTTCAAATCATGCTGGCTGCTGTCAACCTTTGATGTGAAGAGAACAGATGGGGCAAAGAATGTAATGAAAGTAAATGAGATCTGCTCTTCTTTATCATAACTCCTTCCATTTCTTATGTTCAGATGTGAGTGGCATGGAATGTGGAGGCAGAACGGCACTACAAAACCGGCACTGAAAATAGTGAAAGCATAACTGTAATGTAATATTCTGTCTTCTCTGGAGATACGGGGAAACAAGGCTGAAAAAATACTTTGCCAAAGGTCATCAAAGGAATTTGTGGCAGAGCTGAGATCTGTACTGAGGACATGTCTGTGCATAGCTGAGATCCCCAAGATAAGCCACAAGACAACTCCATTCTTTTATTAAATAGTATGTTTTGGTTCAACAAGTTGAGGAAATATAGTCACTGTGTTTGCAGAGCATGGATTTGATTGTGTGATGCCAGCCAACTCCATATTTTTAATAAGTCATTGTTAACTGAATTAGCATAACATGTAAGTCAGTGTCTGTGTGTATTTAAAATGCTGTTACTTTTTCACCCTTTTAAAGGCTTTTACAAATATCTTTTCCATGCACTGAGGCTAAAACTATTCTATTACTTTACTGTTTTTGAGGTTACTTCAGCAACTAGATTGAAAGGCAGGTTATAAAGATGTTAACAATATAAATAAATAGCCCAGTGATAGAAATCAGTAGGAAATGTAGCCAGGAGGAAAATAGATGAGTATCTTTTGAAAAAAAAAATCTTAAAATTTTAAAGCTTGGCCAAATAAACATACTTAAAACAGTTTTCTTCATAAATACTGTTCCAAATCTTCCAGGCTTCAGGACCTTTGTAACCAGTGTAACGTTCTGGATTAAGAAGCAAATCTACATACTCTGCTTCAGGAGAGTGGATATCTGGGAAGGAAAAAGTACTGCATTAAAAAGAGAGATAGAGAATAAGAATATATTTGAGAATGCATCTTGCCAATTGCTTTTCTAATTTTTACCTCAGAGTGTTCCATTTTTTCCAACATGAAACAAATGAGAAGAAAAGAAGCACAAATTTCTCAGTTGTGGACTCATGCTGTGCAAGGCACCCTCCTCATTTAATCAGGCAAGAGTCTGATTACAATCATGTGTTATAGTGGTTGTTAAGCAAGGCATCCACACAATCACCTTGCTTAACAACCACAATCTTTGCAATCATTAAGCAGAGTATAGAATGACTCAAGGCATTGGAGAGGCCCTGGGAGACCTGCTGCAGGGCTAGGTCCACAATGCAACACTTCCCCAGCTCACATGCAGCCTGCCCCAGCCCTCCCCCCAACCCAAGCCACCTATACTCCATACCCACCTCCCATCCCTTTGGGCCTGCTTTCCACCACCTCCAACTCACCACCCCTCTATCATGACTTGGCCCATTTTTGATCACCACTGGGAAGAAGCAGTTGATCTGCTTTGTGGTCTCCCTATACCAGTAATGGCGAACCTTTTAGAGACTGAGTGCCCAAAACGCAACCCAAAACCCACTTATTTATCACAAAGTGCCAGGGCCACATCAGCATTGTGGTGCCCTCATGGGGGGGCAGGGAGGCCCCTCTGGCACGCAAAAACCAGGGATGCAAAAATGGGCCACCGTGCTGCAAGGCACAAAAACGGCTGTGCCATGGGGTGCAGATATAAGGTGCTGCACCATGCAAGAACGGGGCAGGGCTAGTAAGTATCATGCAGGCACTAGCCCCGCCCCATTTGCAGCATGTGTGTGCTCGCGGCCCCATGCACACATGCATGTAAAATGCTTCCCCCTCCCTTTTCTTCCAGTCCACCAATCAACAATGGTTGGTGACCTCTGCTCTATCACCTCCACTCAAGCTTGCTAGTCGGCCACTTCACCTTCTTTGTGCTGGGTGGGGCTCCTGCTCTGGGCGGCAGTGGTGGCCTGAGGCACCTGCTGCTGGTGGCGGTGGCGCGTGTGCCAACAGAGAGGGCTGAGTGCCACCTCTGGCATGCGTGCCATAGGTTCACCACCACTGCCCTATACAGAGGTTGTTATGGTGTTAGCCCAGCAGCGGGCTCCATTTCAAATTTGAGAATTGCAGCTGCTCCTGAAATTTTCCCCATTATCTCTTTTGACATTAAAATTGGAATTAAAATTCCCTATGTTTTTTTTTATATAAACAGGGCAGACTTGCAAACAGATGTGTCCACTGTGGCATCAGTATCAAAATGGTGGGCATACTAGGCAATCAAAACTCTGCTCCTTTCTAATATGTAATGCACCCAACCTACACATGTAAAAAAGAAAGGCCTTGATCACCTGGCCATACCTGCCATTTTGATGTCATTGAATGCTCCCTAAAGATGTACCCTTGTGAATACATACAGCTATTCCCCAGACAGCTAGATAATGCCCACGGGTAGTTTCTGTTTTCATCATATAACTAAATAAATGGCAAGCACTATAATTTGGACCACAGCTTTTTCCTTTGTTCTTTTGCCTTTTACCTTCTCCTCCCACTCCAGGTAATTTAGAGGAGTTTGTTTAAATTTTACATAAGAGTAAGAGGGTGGGCATCAAAATAATAGGCATATCTCTGTGTATCTCAAATACATATGCCAACTTTCTTTGAATTCTCCACAAGTTGCGGATATTCCAACACTGGAGGTTTTTAAGAAGAGATTGGACAACCATTTGTCTGAAATGATATAGGGTTTCTCTGCTTGAGCAGGGGGTTGTAGTAGAAGACCTCCAAGGTCCCTTCTAACTCTGTTATTCTGTAATTCTTGCAACCACCTTAGATGCCTCAATAGAAACACAGGCAATGGAGACACCAACAGTACCATCAGCTTCGCAAAAGTTTTCTGAAGAGTCATCATGCTGAGTCCATTGAATCATAGCTCGTGTAGTTTCTTCACTGCAAAATAAGTAAGAAAATGTTTATGTATGAAAATGGTTCTGCATAAATACAGGGGCCTGGGTAAAATGTCTGTGGGAGGTGTGAAAGTGTCAAATGTAGTATCAGCATGCCCAAGAACATTGGTTAGTAACAGTTGAAAGGGCTGGCAGGAACCCTGAATTTGGCACTTCAACATGGGTGAACATATAACTGAAACACCACTTGCACTAAAACATAATAAAGTTGGCTTGGCTTTGATTTATGTTAATATGAATCCAACAATTGTGGTTTGGAAACCTCATTTTATAACTTAGTGTCATGTGCAAACATAGCTTAATCATTTAATCATCATTTAATTAAAACAAACTATGGCTAAGCACATTGTGCTGCCCAGGCCACCTACCATATATAACTCAGCCTTCCATCCTTCCGAGGTCGGTAAAATGAGGACCCAGATTGTTGGGGGCAATAAGCTGACTCTGTAAACTGCTCAGAGAGAGCTGTAAAGCACTATGAAGCAGTGTATAAGTCTAAGTTCTATTGTTATAAGCCTAAGTGCTAGTGCGATTGGCTGGAATAATAGCAATAGATGTTGCCAAACTAGAAAAACTCCCCCCTCCCTTTTAAGCTACTTTTATAAGTACCCATGCCTGCAGAACACAAGGAAAACATGCTTCTTAGGTAAAATTAAGTACTTGAACTATTTACTGCTTGTGGACAAAGGACTGCCCCCCCCCCGAAAGTAAGGGGTTTACCAATGAAACAATTTTTACATTAAAAAATCACCAGTGGCTTCTGCAGAGGAAAGGATACACAATTCCTCCATTAGCCCTCTCTGACAAAGTGGGTCCAGGCAGACTACAGTAAACAGTACAAGCTAAAGTGGTTAAGGTGCTGGCTTAGAAACTAGGAGACCGTAAGTTCTAGTCCCACATTAGGCATGAAAGCCAGCTGGTGACTTTGGGCCAGCAACTCTCTCAGCCCAACTCACCTCAAAGAGTTGTTGTTGTAGGGAAAATAAGAGGAGGAAAAAGTATTAGGTATATTCACTGCCTTGAATTACTCGTAAAGCAATAAAGGCGGGATAAAAATCAAATAAACTAACTTCTAGGGGAAGAAGAAAATGCACATGACCAGCAAACACCCCATCATATTTATTCAGAAAAACAAATTATACCTCAAAGATTTGTCAACAGCCCCAAGGTTTTCTGCTTTTCCACAGCTTTCAGCAGAGGGAGTGGCAGCTGCTGCTTCTGAATACTGCAAAAGAGGATAGAAGATGTGGAACTGAGTCAAGTGCACCCATCACTGTGAGTCAGCAACCAGCAATCCTCAGACCAACTCTAGTCTGTCCACCAGATGGGCCATGTGCCATTCAGGATCCCTTAACCCAGGGGTGTCAAACTGCCGGCCCATGGGCCAGTTTCATCATACCAGAGCCGCGCCCACCCCATTGCCCGCAATGGCGAAACAGCTCCGATACCTTGCGCGACATCACGTGACGTCACGAGTTTGACATGTCTGCCTTAACCTCTTTCCTTGTGATCGTTTTTTTAAAATCCTCATTTGTCTCTATTTTAGCTAAAGCATTAGTCTAATAGTTACTAGACAAACCTAAGAGCTTTTTTAGGGATTCATGTTTCTTGGGATCTTAAATGCATATTTGAAATTGGAATGACAGTCCTAGGCCAAGTCTTGATGGTTATCACAATGACTCATGATTCAAGATTCCATTAGTTTAAGAAAAAAAACAATGTTTCTCTCTTCAACACACATAGACAACAGGACAGTTATCCTCAATCCAGTGAATTCTGACTGGACCTGATTGTTACTTACCTTATTAGTCTCTGATCTAATTCCACAAGGAACCGCTTCCTGGAAACAAGAGATAAAGAGGTCAAGTTTGGTGCATTTACTTAATAGGCCAATATAAAACTACAGTGTTTTAACTTTTGGGCCCACCACCAATTTTTTGCTGGAGAAGCAATTTGAATAGGAAGTATAAACCAAAGATTGTCATATCTGATTTCAGGGATCATTTGAAGCCATGATTTGTTTTAACTATGCTTTCTTAGACAAGCCATCATAACTTATTTAATACTTTTTTGTTAAAATTAGGCTTACAATTCAGAATGGGCAAGCTCATGTAACACTCTAAGTAAAAACCAGTAGCTTTTTGATGAGTCATGATCCTTTTTCTAATCTTTTAATTTTTATTATTACTGTCACAAAATAAGACATATTTAATTCTCCTTCAACTGAAATTATTTTTAGATCAGAAATTAACCAATAGAGCAAGCATCACAAAGATCATCCAATAATTCACAACAGCAGAATAATATCAAAAGGGGTATTAAATTAGAAACATCATAAATGTAATAATAAACCCATAAAAACAAAAATGGCCCTCATTTTTTTTTAAAAAAACAAAACCCTTAATCCAGTAAAACTAATTCTTAACATTGATCTAAAAAAGTACAAAATACTGGAATTGGAAAAGACGTTCCAGAACAAGATACCATTTTTTTTTTTTGAGGAAACTTCAATTTCTATCCAAGTTTTATCTATCAAACCAGAAGGTGGGCCACAAAATAGCTCCACCAAAAAGAGACATGAAGGCATAATAGTCCTTCAGTTACCTGATTTAACCATACAATATTTTATTATGTGAAAGCTATCAATTCCCTTTTGACAATCTGACAAGTTCTAGGTGTACCACGCAGTACTTTCAATATACTGTGAACTCCATGTTGGTTGAAGATATGATATTTATATACCCGCTTTCAATGTATTAACAGGGATTACAGATGGAATAAGGGGCTACAAAGGCTAGGCCTCTCTCCACTCCTGGAATCATATTTCCCTCTGATGAAATTCTGAAGAAACATCTGATGACCCTCATATGGAGGAGAAGAAAAAGGGCTAGGAGAGCTCCATGAATAGGCAAGGAGAGCTTATGTATTCTCTGAGCATGTACAGGGAGTCAAAACATCAACAGAATAAACAGAGGCCAGACAGTTCTTCCAAAAGAACCAATAGAAGAAACAGATTTTCTATCATATTTTTCAGAACAAAATAAAGCAAAGGAGCATGCTGGGATATTGCTAAGGTTTGGCATTTGTATTCTCCATAGAATAAGTCTTCTGCAAGCTAAATAGAATACATTAAAATATATCACAATTTGGAAAATAGAAAAGGATTTTGTTTTGTTTCCTTATACTTACAGATGAGCATGGATTAACAGCACAGTGTCTAATTCCACAGTGACTACCATCACTCCAGAAAGGACAAGGCTTCTTTAAATTAACCTGGAAAAGAGGAGGAAAAGGTGAATACTGTTTTTAAATTATAGACAAACTAAGGATGAAATAAAAGTCTGGTCATTCATTTCTAATGCTTTCTTCTATACTGTCTTCTGTGATAATCAAAACACTACATATTTCAACCAAGGCTAAGTCATGCAACTGAAAAATGGGCTGAATTGTGTAATAGTAGCTGTTGGAATTAAATGCAATATATTTTTGACAATCCATTAAAGCATACTTTTAATTATTGACTTCTTACCTCTACTATCTTGATAAATAACTCAAGGTGGCTAACATACCTAATCTTCTTTCTCCTATTTTTCTCATAACAATCACCCTGGGAGGTAGAGTTGAGCTGAGAGAGGCTGACTGGCCCAAAATCACCCAGCTGGTTTTCATGCCTAAGGCAGGACTAGAACTACAATTAAACCTGGTCACTTACTGGTTTTCTGGTTTCTAACCTGGTGCCTTAACCATCATTTTTTTTACCAAACTGGATATACCACATAAACAACTTTTTTCCTTTATGCATATAATTTTTAAGAATTTGAAAAGTAATGCTGAAAAAAGTAAACATACCTACATATGTACAATAAGCAGTCTCAAAAAAAAATCAACATTTAAAAAAAAATAGAAAATGCTGGAATTATTTTATGGTGGATTCTGAAGAGTATGAAAAAAATATCAGAAGTTAAATTACTGTAATCTAAGTGAATGGGGAAAGAGAACATGGCAGCTTCTTGTAACAATGTGAAAAGTAAGAGGTTTGGGATATCACAGATGTTTATGGAGTTATACTAGCGGAATGAAAAATTATTTTTACAGATCAAAATGATAAAATTATTTGGATGAAATGAAAGTGAGGGAATGTTGGACAGAGCAATTCAGAGGTTTATTTCAAGGTAAGATACACTGAAGAACATAGCTGAAATTAATGCTATAAATATTTGTCCTCTAAGAAAAGGATAAAAAGATTTATAAACACTCTGAGAACATTAAAAATGTAATGTAATGTAATGTAATGTAATGTAATGTAATGTAATGTAATGTAATGGAATGGAATGGAATAGAATAGAATAGAATAGAATAGAATAGAATAGAATGAGATGGTGCTAGACTTCCGGAGGAAAAGAGAGGAACCTGCCCCACTTTACATCGGAGGGGGCTGTGTGGAGAGAGTTTCCTCCTTCAAATTCCTGGGAGTCTACCTCTGTGAAGATCTTACCTGAAAAACTAATACAACCCAGGTGGCCAGAAAGGTCCAACAGAGACTCCACTTCCTCAGAGTTTTGCGGAAGAACAGGGTAGAACGACGACTCATGACCTTCTTCTACCGGTCTACTATTGAAAGCGTTCACACATATTGTATTGTGGTTTGGTATGCTGGCCTGACAGCCACGGACAGGGAGGTATTGCAGAGGGTGGTGAGCATGGCACAAGACATCGTGGGCTGTTCCCTGACTACACTGGATGACATCACCAGGGTTGTTGCCTTGGCAGAGTGAGGAAAATTCTCAGGGATGACTCACACCTTGGTTGGTCCCTTTTTACTCTCCTACCATTGGGTAGGAGATCAGAAACATAGCCAGCCGTACCAACAGGCTGAAGAACAGCTTTTATCCATGGGCTGTCAGGCTTCTGAATGGGACATAACTTTATGCATGACAGACTTGTGAGGCCGGCGTGATGAGCAATTAGTTCACAGGGTGAAATAAGTTGGGGGTTTGTAGTCACCATGAGTTTGTGATGGGGGGGCACAGAGGGAGGCTCAGCCAATTTCACTATATACATGATATACTTTGATAATAAAGGATTTACTATTAAGAATAGAATAGAATAGAATAGAATAGAATAGAATAGAATAGAATAGAATAGAATAGAATAGAATAGAATAGAATAGAATAGAATAGAATAGAATAGAATAGAAGCTGGAAGGGACCTTGGAGGTCTTCTAGTCCAGCCCCCTGCTCAAGCAGGAGAACCAATACCCTCTCAGACAGTTGAATGTCTAGTGTCTTCTTTAAAATCTCCAGTGATGGAGCGCCCATGATTTCTGGGGGTAAGCTGTTCCAATGGTTGATTGTCCTTACTGTCAGGAAGTTTCTCCTTAATTCCAGGTTGCTTTTTTCTTTGATCAATTTCCAACCATTGTTTCTCATCCTTCCTTCTGATGCTTTGGTGAACAACCTGGCCCCCTCTGCCTTGTGGCAACCCTCAGATACTGGAACACTGCTATCATGTCTCCCCCGTTTCTTCTTTTCTTTAGATTAGCCAAACCCAAGTCCCATAGCCGTTCTTCGCATTTTTTAGTCTCCAAGTCTTTGATCATCTTAGTTGTTCTTCTTTGAATTTTTTCCAAACTCTCAATATCTTTTTTATGATATGATGACTAAAATTGGCCGCAATATTCTAGGTGTGGTCTTACTAGGGTTTTATAAAGCAGTACTAATACTTCGTGTGATCTTGATTCTATGCCTCTGTTTATACAATCCAGGATTGTATTAGCTTTTTTGGTTGCTGCTGCACACTGTTGGTTCATAGTCAACAGATGCAGTTGTTTATCTGGAGAAATATCTTGTACATTTTTGGACTTAGAAAAAACATATCATGTAAATAAAAATAAGCCTGAATTACAGTCTTTTTTGTGTGAATGAGAAGTTGAAAATTGGTTGGCATATATATTAACAGCTGTATGTAAATAGAAGTAAAATGAGAATGAAAATATGTGGATAGCTTAGAAATGAGTTTAACTCTGGGCAGATAAGAAGAGATTATTTGTGATTCCCTTGATAAGGTCAAGAATAAATGGGTGCAGAATGAATGTGGGTAAAATACAGAACTGATCAGTACAAAATAAATGAGGTGGGTTCACCATTTACAACAGTGTTTTTCAAAGATGTGAATTTTAAGATATGTGGACTTCAATTCCCAGACTTCATCAGCCAGAAAATTTTAGAATATTTTGGTTGGATGGAGCTGGTAAGATCCTCAAACAAGACAGGTGATAGGTTTAAAGGACGTAGCTTAGTAAGTGGGCATGGAAGTAATAAGATTGTTTGTAGGCATAAAAAGTTTTACCTGCTTTTTCTTACTATATGTTTTTAATTTCTTTGGCCTAGCGTTTCTTACTCCACTCTGCATGACAATGCTTTCCCCAAAACGAGAATGTCATGATGAATATGGGTGTATATACATATGAAAAGTAGATCAGTTCTAACAGCTACCTTGTAATATCTGAAATAATCACTTTGCAGAAGTTCTTGCAACTGGGGGAAAAGTTTATAATTGTTGAAGGTATCAATTGTCTCAACATCACAAGTGCAGTCATCTAAATGGCCGGTGACCTAATGAGAAAAAAAGAGGATTAGATATTTTAAAAACAGTAAAATAATTCCTGTAACAATTTACCCAGCATTTAGTAAAAAAAAAAAAAAAAATCTGAACGCCAAGATCCAAATTATCTCTGTGCTTGAAAGAAAATTGTGCTCTCAATGTGTCCAAAGATACTTGAAACTAGAAGAGGAGATGAGGCATTTACTCCACCTTCTCCCATTGCCTCACATTTTTACACTTCTTTTTTGAGGGGAAAGGATATTTTGCTTAATTTAGTGTTACTCAAGCCAGTAGTTGTGGCTTTTCCCCACAAAAGTACTATCAGGACTTTTTTCTTTGTTTTTGTTTTAAACAAGCTAGCATTCTTATTGGATCAACTATCCTGGACTTGCTCAATGGTTTGCTATTGAAAAGAGGAAAGTATGTAAACACGCACCATGTTCTGATTGGCCATTATGTCCAAATTGTCACGTCCCAAACCAAGAATGACAACTGGTGATTCTTCCAAGCTGAATTTTTTTATTGTTTCACACCTACAGTGTTTTCCCGAAAATAAGACCCAGTCTTATTTTTATTTCTATGGCCTCCAAAAGAGGCATCAGGTCTTATTTTCAGGGGATGGGAGGCAGCCCCACTCCCCCACCCCTGCCCTAGCTTGATTTTTAGGCATCCACCTCGCCCCAAAACTAGGGCCTGTTTTGGGAGTAGGGCTTATAAGCTAGGTCTTATTTTTGGGGTAGGGCTTACTTTGGGGAAAACATGGTAGAAGCAGAATCTTGCCAAACTAAAGAACCCTACTATTTACCTCAGTGTAGGAGGTGACTAGGCAGAAATCGAGGGCGGGGTCAAATGCATCATCAGTTTGGAGTCTCTAATGCTCCAGTAAGAGACCTAAGTCCACCCCCACACACACACGAAGTCCATTGAGCCTTATTTAGTGCCAGTTCACCTCGACCGTTAGAAATTCAGATTCTTGTGGATAGGTAGCATGAAATAAACTTGTAAGACTTTTGAACTCTATCCTTGTTCCTTAATTCTTGCTCCTGACAACCAACTTATAATATATTAATCTATAAGGGAGGGGCTCTTTCTCTTACACAGATATCTGGACTCATTTGTCTAAATTAAAATTTCACCAAATTTAGTAAGTTTTCTTTCATGTATATGTATTACTTGCTGGCCACATGACCACAGAAATGTCTTTGGACAGCTCAATGGGCTTCAAACAGAGATGAGCACCACCCCTTATAGTCCACAATGACTAGTGGAGTAAAATACACAGGAACTCCTACCTTACACATATTATATTCAGCTACAAGGCATATAGATAATTCTTGACTCATGACGAATCATTTAGTAACCATTCAAAATTATGGATTCCCCTCAAAGGTCCCTATGTTCCAATACTGAAGTTCCAACAGTGGCCCTCCTCAAAGTCCTATGATCACACATCCGGTGCTCAGCAACCAGCCCATATTTATGGCTGTTTGCAGGTTCTCACAATCACATGACCTAATTTTATGTTGTTTTTGCTGGAAATCGACATTTACTTCTGGTTTTAAGCAAAATAACAATAGTAGAAAGATATTCTTCCTAGATTCACCAGTCAGAATTTGATCAGAATTGTTTAGCAGATGGGGTCTGTAACGTACTTCCTCTGCCTGATTAGGTCAATGTAATTGGAACAAGATGGTTCCTCAAGTAACCTGGTCCCATCTTATGAAAGAGTTTAAATGGCTGGTGGATTGGACCCAGAAGCAAACTGGCACCCAATATTGCTCGCATAGCAGAAATGTTACATATGCACTCGAGGAGTTCCCAGAACTATCTGTGTAGCCACGCTCTGCCCCAGCTTCTGGGTATTTTTCAAGGGTAGCCCCATGTACAGCACACTGCACTAGTCCATACTTGAGATGAACAGGATAGGAGTGATTAAGAAAAGAGTTTCCCAATACAGGAAAGAGCACAACTGTTACACAACACAAAATTGAGGAAAGGCTCTCCTAACCACAACTGTTACCTACTCCTTAAGCAGCAACACTGAGTTCTGGAAGAACCCCCAGATTACACACAAGGTTCATTGAGGCAGTGCAATTCCATCCAATACCAAAGATGTAAACCCTCAGATAAAAGGAATCCCCCACCCACAGCCATCTCCATCGGACCAAGGTTCAGTTGAAGCCTGTTGTTCTCCATCCAAACCTCCTCAGTAAAACAAAATTACATCTCCACCCCTGTCCAGAAGCCTCCTTCAGCCATCCAAGATTACATTTATTTTTGTCTGAGACCGTGCAAAAGTTGAAAGAGTCACCCCAAAGGAAAACATCTGATCCCTATTTTTCTCATGGGCAGTAAAAACCATTCCACTTATGCAGGCTTTTTAAAACAACAACAACAACTTAAAACTGACAAGCAATAAAATTGTTATATATTTAATTTTGTTGAAAGACAAGCATTTATTCTAATTCGTGTGCATTATTGATTCTTTTCATGACTTGAGTGCTTTTTAAACAAAAATGGCAGGGCTTAAATTAATTTAATCATCATCATTTGTGCTTTAAGGGAGGAACAGGAGATCCATTCAGTAACCTATCATTGAAAACAAATGTATTCAAGTTACTCAGTGATTCAGTTATTGTGTGTGATTGTTTGCTTCAGACGCTAAATTAAGACAAGTCTTTGAAAAACAGCTCAGAAAAGAGTAATTTCCGGGGAAGGGAGATTTATAGCACGTGGCCTTATAAGGAAGTTCAGAGAGAGAGAGAGAGAGAGAAATTCCTACATGCTACCCGTTTGACTTCTACCTAGTAGAATTCAAGTTGTTAGTCACAATTAAAAGTTTTACACTGAAGTGCTAACAACATTTGTTGACAAAATCCTATAGCTGTAGCAATGTCTCACTTCCTTGTATGATCCAGAGAGAGTTGGTTTGACTGGCAAGCATTGCAAATGCATACAATTATTTTTAATCAGCGTATGTTTACCAATGTATGCTTTCTACTAAAAAAAATCACATCACCCAATGGAGCCAGCCAGTAAGGACTTCATAAAGGCCAAACAGAAATACACCTTAAGCACAGTCATTACATATTGTGTATATATTCTAGAATTCAGTTCCACAAGATGGGAGACTGCCTTTAACTTAAAAGATGCTCAAACCATGCTAGACAAAATTAGTCTTCTAGCAATATACTCTTCCCTGGATAAAGAATAGGGGCAATATACCTATAGATGAAAGTACTGACTATAAAACTCAGTAAGAATTTGAACTAATTTTCATTCTTAGTCATTAGGGATATCTATTAATTTAAGAATGAATGTGCGTTATTACTGCTTCTGAAATAAACATGTACCCTTAAAATCAATTTATATTATGCTCTGCCTGAATCAATCAATAGATCAACGTGGGCAAATGAAGGGAATTGCAAAACCAAAATATGAGAGTATGCTGTTCTTGCAATGCTGATTTCAGGAAAGATCAGTGAAGGAGGTCAGGATTAGAGTAAACCCTGCAATCTTAATTCAGAGTGATTCTGGAATACATTTCTGCTAGCTATGTCTTTAAAGCATCCTTTCTGAAATAATACTCTCCACATGACCTGATATTCCAACTCAACATACATCAGTTTGGAGATGTACGCAATTTGGCCTTAAACAAGCTCAGCTATTTTTGTACAACACAATGAACAACTGTACTTTTCTTAACAATGAATTACTTACTGAACACATGATAATTGGCTGACTTTATATAATAGCAAACCGTAAACAAGAAGACATTACAGCTTAGCCTACTGCATGAATCCCAATATATGAAAGAAACTACTGTAATACACTTCATCTCTAATAAACTATACCTTTCTGAACAAATGGAGCCAAGGATTATTTCTCTTCAGAGGGTTTAAGTTGTGGCAGGTCTGACAGTACAGTAATCACAATCTACTTAGAAGGGAGTCAACCACAGTAAATAGAGACCTTGAAAAAAGTGATGATGTTCATTGAAGCATATATTCAAAAAAAGTTAATTCAGGTCTCAGTCATGTGTGTCACCTCAAACACACACATTCCTATTAATAAAAACAAGGCCTTAATCTGAAGCAGCACACAAATCAGGAATCTGGAGCCCTCTTTGGATTATATCCTTTGACATGAGCAATGAAGGTTAGAATTAATGGTATGGAATTCCTAAATATCTGGAGACCATCAGGTTACTTTTTCTTACAGGGTTCCTTGATGCTCTCTGAGCTTGGTGGTTTTCTTGCAGAGATTTCCTTACCAAACTAAGCAATATCATCAGTGCTAGCAAATGAGAGCAGCAATATGGGGATGATCCTTAATATGCAGATGATGTTACCTACTGTGTTTCCCCGAAAATAAACCCCGCCTTGAAAAAAGACCTACCCTGATTTGTGGGGGTGGGCCTAATATAAGCCCTACTCCAAAAATAAGCCCTAATTAGGACCCCACCCACTCTGTCCCATCTGGCTGCCACAATGGGGCAGGAGGCCACACAGCACATCCTGACGCTGCCGCCACAATGAGGCAAGGCAGGTGGGGAAGAGGGTGGAGCTGCCCCACCCGCCCTGCACCCGCTTCCTCCAGGGCCCCCACAGCCAGGCCATTCCTCGCTCCTTGCCGCGTAGCCTCCTGCCACAAGCGGCCACAGCAGGCCAGTGCTGGATGGGGCTGTTGGTGCCACCGCCATGAGGCAAGGCAGGTGTCATAAAAAATATGACACCGCCCAAAAGTAAGACCTACTGCCTGTTTTGGAGGCAAAAATAATATAAGACCGGGTCTTACTTTCAGGGAAACATGGTAGTTTGATAATGAAACATCTGCAAGAATACCAAGTTCATAGATCACCAAGGACCCCACAGCTCAACCCTGAGCTACAAACATTTTCTTCTGCTGGTACTTATTCTTATCATAGGCATGGTAATTAGCAATAAAAATAGACTATCTTTAAGAATACTTAGCACGATCACCCAGAGATAACAGCAATTAGTTTCTGAGAAGCCACAAGAAAACTTGGAATCTTTCTTGTATACTGCCATATTGTATAATGACTCCTCCAATTACAACATAATGCAGTGCAATGAATCATCCACAGTTAAGTGAAACTGTCCATTGGAATAAATCATAATGAAACTACACATTAAAAATAGTCACCCATCCCACTCACAGACATTATCTTCTAATCAAAAACAAAAACTCTTTGGAAGAGTTCTTGTCTTTATCAAGTCTTGGTCTACTCTAGGATGTGACATGTTATTTTCAGAGGAGAGATTAGTCCACACAACCAGGGGCCATATCAGAGAAACAAACTTTAGTTGTTTTGCTCTACATGTCCACTCAGAAGTTACAATATTCAATGAGGTCTACTGCTGCGTGATTATGTAAAATTCCAGGCTCAGTATTTTGGGATTGAAATTCTCAGACCTGGTTCAAGTAACTCAAATTACAGCTTGCTGGATTCAGAGTTCTCTGGGTTAACACATGTTATAGTTTATATAATTTACAATGGCTATATGTTAGGCCAAGGTTCACCAACATTTTAGACTAGTGAATTTCAAAAGCATGTTAAAATTCCACATGAAATGACTACCACAGTGGATGTGACCAATCACAAAATCCCCATATATCAGACAGCAAACAAAATACAGCTACAACATTTTGTGTAGCCTTAAGATAGAGGTCCCCAATCTTTGAGTCACCAGGGACCAGTTTGGTGGAGAGAGGTTTTTCCACAGACTGGAGGGTGCATGGTTTTGTGTGGTGCCTGCATCCCATGGATGGGGCTTTGCTTGTTTGTATGGACTGGTTGCTGGCATGTTGCAGCCCGTTACTTGTCCACAAACTGGAGGTTGGGAACCCCTGGCCTAAGGGTATAATTAAAAATACTATATAGCATGTTTGAAGTTGATGCTTCTTTGCTTTACAACACAGTAGCCTCCCATTCATTATTATGAATTTTTTTAAAAAGTTTTTTAAAAAGCAAATTACCAAGATAGCCACTTATCCTTAGGAACATACCAAGTATCTGGGTCCCTGTAGTTAAGCCCAACCCAAACTGCAAAATTTCCAACAGTTTCCAACACATCTAGAAGGTACCAACCTGGGAAAGGATGCTGTACATCCTTTCCTGTTCCTATCCAACTTTCTTTCAACAATTTGTTTTACACAAAAGAGAGTCGAGCTGAATCCTTAAATTTTTTTAAGAATGTAGCCTCCACTAACACCGAGAAACAGCCACCAACCATAATATAGCTCATCGTAGGTGGTACAATAAAGATGCTGTAGCACGCTAGGATAGCCTTATAATACCTTTTAGCATCAAAGCCCCTTTCTCCTAATCTTTCTAGCCCTACCAAAGGCCACAATTTCTCCTCACAGAACCAGATAGCCCGTGGGAACGAATTATCCAGAAAGGCAGCAGTATCCGGGCTCCCGTAGCGTTAATGGCCCTTCCACTTTTATGATCCCAGTTTAATTACAGAGAAAGCCTGCGCCTTGGGGCTTACCTAGCGAGGGTTAGAGCTCCGGCCCGCCGTCCTGGCGCTTACGGTACTGCAACTCTTCCCCCCAATCCGCCACCAAATATCCAGGGAGAAATGCGAAATGGGGAAGCCTTTCCTTTCCAGAGGGGGGGGGAGCGGCAAAGAAGGACGCGCGCCCCCATTCGGACATCTCCCCAAGCCCAAAACCGGGTCGTCTCCTGGATCGGAGCCCCGCTACTGTAGAGAGAGGCTTCCCCAGCAAAGCCGGGAGCCACGCGGGGAAGAGTGGCTCTCCTCCCGCAGCACCTATACCGGATCTGCCCTAGGTTGAGTGAGCCCTACGGGGTGGGCGAAGGAGGCACCCGCTTACCTGCCGGCCCGGCTCACCTGACAAAAGCAGCGCTGCTCCGCAGTCGGGGCTTCCTCGGAAGCGCCTCTGGAGAGGAGGGCGAGGAGGAGGAGCAGCAGCGCCCGACACAGGCGGCGAGAAGGCACCAACGACATGTCGCCTCTGCCGCAGCTAAAGCGAGCCTGGGCTGAAGATCTTCTGCTCCTCCGGGCAGACACGCCTCCCGCCTTCCTCCTGCCGGAGCGTCATCTTTCAATTCGAGGGGACGTGCGGCGCAGACCGCACACAACAAGAGGCGTCGCGGCTTTTCCCATCCTGCGCTGGGAGGGGCCCATTGGCGAAAAGCCAGGCGAGAGCCTCGTCACTTGCTCGGCTTCGCCTTGCCGTGACCCTCCCTGCCCCGGGTCCGCCGATCTGCCAGCACCATCCTGCCCTCCTCCGTGCCTCCTCGAGACACCGAGCTCACCGCTCCAGCCGCTCTCTGGGGATCGGCCCGGACGTGCAGATCGGCTTGAAGAAAAGGCTTTGACCCACGGTGGCACCTCTTTCTACTCCGCCCTCGTTTTTGGTTTTTTCTTTTTTTTCACGTGGATACTGGCGGGCGGGATTGGGATGGTTTTGTCCGCAGGGCAAACACACACCTTAGACGTCTGTGGAGAGTCTCAGTCACCCAGATCACAGTTATCTCAGAGGTGCTTTTTTCTTCAAAAGGCATTTTTTTTTTTTTTTACTCAAGGAAAAGACAGTCCAATTGCCTTTTGAAGAAAAAGCACCTTTGAGACACACCTCAGCTCTGTTAAGTTCCTGATTAAGGTGGCTGCCTGCCTGGATTTATTTCCTTTTATAAAAGGAAAACTTCCAGATTTTTTCAATTTGGTAACCTCAATCCTCCCAAATCTTAATCCGATTAAGAAATAACAAAGTAAGATTTTCACCGGAAATAAACACTGAAATAGTGATCAACCGACAAGAGGATTGAAGCAACTTATAAGAAGCAGCAGCAATGAAAAATAATTAAAAGATAGTTTACAAATAAATTCTAATAACTGCAATATATGCTCCACTTTGAATAGAAACAGCTTCTGCAACAGAAGTTGCAGGTGGTCATTTATACTCTTTTTAAATATCTCCATCCACCCTTGCCTCAAATTCTTATGTTAGCTATGGGCCTGCACAGAAATTATATCAAGGTGGGTACTAGGTGGGTCATTTTGCAGAGGGCATAGGAGAACTATTCACACAAAGTCCTGAGATTTTAAGACTTTCAGATAATTTATTCTTATTTATCATTTTGATTTTTTTATCCTGCCTTTATTATTTTCATAAATAACTCAAAGCAGTGAACATATCTAATATGTCTTCTTCTTCCTGTTTTCCCTACAACAACCCTGGGAAGTGAATTGGGCTGAGGGAGAGTGACTGGCCAAAAATCATCCAGCCATCATTTAAGCCTAAAGTAGGACTAGAACTCACAGTCCTACTTTCTAGCCTGGTGCCTTAGCCACTAGACCGGGAGTCTTCGAACTTGGCCCTTTTATGACTTGTGGACTTCAACTCCAAGAATTCCTCAGCCAGGCACGCTAGCTGAGGAATTCTGGGAGTTGAAGTCCACAAGTCGTAAAAGGGCCAAGTTTGAAGATCCCTGCACTAGACCATAATGCCTTCACACTTGTAACACTTCTATGGGAGAGATCAGACAGGGAAATGGAGATTTGGAGCAATCTCCGTTTCCCTGTCTGATCTCTCCCATAGCAGCGGGACTTGCATGCCAAGATTGTTGTTTGATTTGTGCAGCCATTGCTGTTAATAATTTAATAAAGTTGCCAATTTTGTTTTGTTTTGTTTTGTTGAAAGTCAAGCTATCAGATAAAACCAGAATCAAGTTTTCTGGCATATGTTTAGGAGTAAATTACCTCTATTTAAGGTACATGCAGTTTGGCTGTGATCTAAGTTGTGATGTCTAGGATCTGAATGGCTAACTCCATATTTGTTGTGTTTTCTAAGTGTACATGCTGTGTGTCAGCTATTAATGTATGTAGTATGGGTGAGGTATCATGCTGATATACCTAGATGTATCTGATCAACAGTATAATTTATAAATTCCCTAGAGCAAACTCTGGTGTTTTATACATGGCAAAATGTATAAATAACATCAGATGGATGCACACTTGATTGTTAGCCACACCCAAAGTATACTATTGCAATTTGTGAATCAGCATTGTTTTAGGTGGTAACGTAAGAGACCGCTCCATAATACTCATCTCCCTAAATGTTTTGGGAGCAAAAATAGAAATGTTTCAACACCATACAAATCACAGAGAAACTTAATATTTTTGACTGCAGCAAATTCAACATTTTGTCACTGACTTATAATTGGAATTTTAGGTGCGTCTGGGTCAATATTAGAAACAAAAATTGATTGTAATATAAAATGTTTGGAAACTGACTAATCTTGAAGAAAAAATATAAAATTATAGTGAACTATAAACATTAAAACCACAGCAATTCAATTCCTCAGTGGGAAAGAGAAATGGCTTTCCAGTTTGGTTCTAATTCAGTCTGATTTTGAGTTGTATCTTGCTTGCCTATCTATTGGATTTGGAAAAAGATACCAATAAACTTGAGTGAGGGAACATTATTGAGGTTGGAGAATCAAGCTACATAGAAAAGATCAAGGGGAGATTTTTATTGAGCCAACTAACTCTGAAGGACAGGAAGAAAGCAAATGTGTCAAAACTATAGACTTTCTTCATATTTGCACATTCATTTTAAGGGGTAGTTTGGTGTAGTGGTTAAGGCACCAGGCCATAAATCATTGTCCTGCCTTATCACAGAGCCAGCTGGGTGACCTTGAGCCCTTTGCTATCTTCTTATCCTAGGAAGTAGGCAATGGCAAACCACTTCTGAAATCTTGCCAAGAAAATAGCAGAAAACTGGTCCAGGCAGTCACAAGTGTCAACACTGACTCAAAGCACAAAATAATAATAAGTAGATTATACCATTTTTTTTTTTAGGACAGAAATGATCAGCCTACAGCTAAAAGCAGAATTTGTCTTCTGCCGTCAAGTAAAGAAAATAAGAAACTTAAGGCTGGCTTCTAATGAGTTTTATCCAGGCTGAAAAACTGAAAAAATTCGGAGGGGGAGGAGAATTTTTAAAAAATTGTTTGTTTCAACAGTAGTAATTCCATCCCAACCCACTTCCAATATGCTTCCTCCCTGAGGAAGGAGAAATTAATAGCAAGTAGACAGAAATGCAAAAAAGTAGCAAAAGTATATAAAGCAAAATATCAAACAATCCATACAGAATAATGTCTATATGGTGGGAGAAGGTGGACTGCTGCAGCTTAGCAAAATACCAAACTCTAACCTCACTCAGAACTGATAGTATTATTTATCTACTCTTGCTTAAAACCCTCTACCTTGCACCATCCCGTGCATCTGGTAATAAATTCATTTGTTTAACCATGTGTTTGGTACATAGTATTTCTTTTTATTTGTCTCATATCTTGCTCCTTTTAGTTTTAATGTGTGATCTTAAAATCCTTGAATGGGTGGTGGGTGTTACTCTTACCAGTTTGCCTCCTGATAAATGGACGTTATGTAACTAGGTCTTCAATTGCTCATACTGTTGTACTAAGGGCCATATGGGGTCTTTACTAAATCTCAAATATCACATATTGTCCTTTTTCTAGATTCTAGACTCAGGTCACATAAAAATAAATGCAAGTTTTGTTGCTTGTTTTCTTCACTTCTGAATTGAAAACTACATGTAAAGTCTTGTGCATATCTAAAAAAAAAAAAAAAGACAAAGGTTTCCCTAATTCAGTCTGGCTCTGGGAATTCTGGGAGTTGAAGTCCATACCTCTTCAAGTTGCCAAGGTTGAGAAACACTGCTCTAGGGGGTGATGCTCATCTCCATTTCCTAGCAAGGGAACCAGCATTGTCCAAAGATGCTTCTGTGGTCATGTGGCTGGCATGAGCTATACATGGAGGCACACAGAAGAAAGCTGTTGTCTTCCCACAGAAGTGGTACTCATTTATCTATTTGTATTTACATACGTTTGAACTGCTAGGTTGGCAGGAACTGGGGCAAGTAACAGGAGTTTACCCCATCTGTCGTAGCATGCACAGTCTTATTGCACTGAGGTAGCCCAGGAATAAATACAGTAAACAATGGTCTATATTAAATGGTGGTTTATCATACACTATCTACAAATATCATATTAGGAACAAAATACATACACGTGGTGATACAGCAAACTCCAACATACAACAGTTACAGCAGGAAACAGACAAGCGAGAAAGACTCCAGCAAGGCCTTCCCTTTTATACTCAACCTCTTAAAGGGATACAGACTCCTGCTGAGTCATTCCTAACATTGCATCATTCATCTCACATTATACAAGCTGGTTAGCTTCTAAATCATTACTTTGACACCATCACACAGTACTCGGGTCTTGAACGACCAACCTTCCAGTCAATAAGCCCAGTGTCAGGTCCACCATTCGTATTCTGGTGTTCTGTTATCGTGCTAAGGGGGGAGGGGAGGGCATGCTTGGGATTTTTTCACTTCTGCTGTTCATTTGGGACTTAGGGAAGGGGACTGTCTTTGGAGAGGGACTCCTTCCCAACTGTTTTTTGCCACTTCCAAGGCTGTCATGCCCTGAGAGTGGCCTGTTATCTGCCTAGCACAGGGATGTCAAACTCAATTTCATTGAGGGCCGCATCAGCATTGCGGTTGCCCTCAGCGGGGGGTGCAGCGAGGGGGGGGTGCAACCTACTGGGTAGGCGTGGATGGAGTGGGTGTGGCCTACTGGATGGGCGTGGCCAGCTCTACATCATTCACGTCAAGGGTGCCTGTGGGGGCCTGGGCAGGAGTGGGACGTGCCAAGGCATGGTCCACTGGAGAAGCCTCACTGTTCCTCTCAGGCCATGCGGGGGGGGGGGCTGAATGGTGGTGCGGGCTGCCAGGAGCCCTGGACAGCAGAGGTCAAATGCCTAGCCTGGCCCTCAAGCACCCGCAGCACCAAGCCCAGCCCCACTTCCTCAAGGGGGCGCCCAGCTGCACTTACCTCCTCAAGGGTGCTGCTGCTGTGCTTGCTCTTCTTACCCAGTTTGCTCATGATGGCTACAAGAGCAAAGTCAAAGGGAGGCACATTCCCTCTCCATGGGAGGAGACCCAACTTTGTATCCAAAGCTTCCTTAGCAATAGGATGGGAGGCCCCCAGGATAGGCCAGGAGAAGGGGGCAATGGTTAAGGTTAGGGTTAGATGAAAGGGCAGCAGGGCAGGACTAAGGCAGGACTTCCCTCAGACCCTCCCTCTTCTTTTTTCCTTCTTTTCTTCCTTCTTTCCTAAGTACAGAGTGGTGGGAAAATATTTGAGAAGACGGAGGGAGAAAAACAGGCCAGGGCCAAGGCAGCGGGGCTGTTCCCTCACTGTTTCCAGGATGGCTTCGCGGGCCACATGAAACCAGTTCGCGGGCCTCATCCGGCCCCCAGGCCTTGAGTTTGACATGTCTGGCCTAGCACATCTGTGTTCTTAAAATATCTTTTCAGCATCACATTGGCAGCTGGTGGCCTGGTCAGGGGGAAACAGAGGAGAGGAGAGGAGAGGAGAGGAGAGGAGAGGAGAGGAGAGGAGAGGAGAGGAGAGAAAATAGAGCTGGAAAGTATCTTTGAGATCTTCTAGTCCAGTGGTTCTTAACCTTTTTGAACGAATCGCCCCCTTGAGCCAATGAGGAAGTTGTCATGCCCCCCCCCAATCACAACATAAGAAATAATTCTTCAATTTATGCAAACACTTTTTTTGTTTTCTTTAAAAATGTCATCTGGACATATCGATGCAAATAATTTATTTCCAGTCTTTTCCCCATATCCCAACTGTGTCAAAAATATTTGGTGCCACCCATCACTTTATTCCCAAACTTTGTGATACACGTATTTCATTATTATCTTATTTATTCAAGACACTTAAATGTAATGACCACTGAAAACAAAATTCAATTGCAAGAAAGTGAAATGCCCGAAAAGAAAAACAGTAACATTTAATGATTGAATTACAAGTGAAATTTAAGACGCAAAAAGAAATATAAAAAGGGCATAAGAACAAACCGCAATGTGCATGAAGATAAGCGATACGTCTTCACATATGTATGGCGTTCTGTACTGAAGCTAGCTAGAGGAACATTTGAAAACACAATTTCTGATGTTTTTGTACGACAGATATACAGCGATTCACTGTATGAAAAAGTCTCAAAAGTGTCCCCAAAACTTCTCGCTCCATTGCCCGCATATCGCCCCCTTTTCGTTCCTTCGCCCCCGTGTTGCCCCTTTTCATTCCATCACCCCCCTGAAAAATGAAATCACCCCCTGGGGGGCAATATCACCCAGGTTAAGAACCACTGTTCTAGTCCAGTCCCCTGCTCAAGCAGGAGACCCTGCTGTCTAGTCTTTTCTTAAAAACCTCCAGTAATGAAGCCCCTACAACTTCTGAAGGCAATTTGTTCACTGGTTAATTGTTCTCACTGTTAGGAAGTTTCTCCTTAATTCCAGGTTGCTTCTCTCCTTGATTAATTTCCATCCATTGTTTCTTGTCCTGCTCTCTGGTGCTTTATGCTTTGCACAGGACCTTCAGATTCCGCCTGATTTTACTGCATCCAGTTTCTCTCAGTAAAAGTTATTTTGATTCAACACTATTCGAGAGTCTTACTTTCCTGATGGACCACTGGGGCAGGTCTGACACCTGGTGCCTTAACTGCTAGGCCACTCAGTTCAAAGCCTGCCTGTCAGGTGGGGCTGAGTTTCAGAAAAATCATGGTGGGAGAACTGCTGTGCCATTCTCTGTTATTGTAAAATGTACTTAGCTAGTCAACGATTCTGTGTATGTGGGAGCATAAGCATTGTGGAACAGCATTTGAAAATCTCAAATCCAGTTGGTTTTTTTTTGTTGTTGTTGTTCATTTAAATATCCCTTGAAAGATTTTCTTATTCCATCAGGTCAACAGCCTTCATGAGTTATCCCTCTGCCTTGTTTGATTTTTGTTATTTTATTTGTCTTGTCTTCAATGATGTTATTAGCTTAATCATATTTATGATGTCAGTTGCCTTACATATGTTAGGGAGAAAGCAAAATTACTGGCTGTAAATATTTAAATAACAGTTTTATTGGGTCATACCCAAAAGATTGCAGGGGTGTACACAGACCTGCTCTGTGTAACATCCCCATCAAGCTCCTAAGCTGAATGATTAGGGACACACCCCTATGAAGCTTCCTGTGATGCTTGCATCATGTGTGTTTGGAATGCAGTGGTGGTTTCAGAAATATTTTTTGGACTTTGACAAAAATACTGCTGAAGTAAACACTAAACAAGACCACTTTGGCCTCTACCCAAACCCATATCCTTTCATATTGCATTAAAATTTCCTGTAAAGACGAATCAGTAGCATGTAAGACAACAGCAGAGGATTTTTTTTAATCAGTTCCACCTAATTTATTCTATACTTACTCTGCAGATTTTGCTGCTACCTGGTGAAAACGGGGCACAGCCTTAGTGTCAATTTTGAATTTGATTTCTTACTGTCAATTTTAAATTTGATTTCTTAGTGTCAATTTTCAACTTGATTTCTTAGTATCAATTTTAAACTAGATTTCAAAGTATCTACTTTGAACTAATGCTCAGGAATTGCATTGATTTTGCCATTTACTTAGATGGAAAATCTATTGTTACAATTTATTATTAGCATTAGCATTTGGGGCACTTCCATGTAACATTCTTTCTAGTCCCCTCTTCCCCCAGTCCTTTAAAACGGAAAGTAGTCTTGCTAAATTGTCTTGACTTCTGCTAACCTCAGAATACCATAAACCAATAATTTCAGTACTTTCTTTCCACATTCTCAAAAAGAGAAGCCTGTAGAAAAACAAAGTAAGGGTAAGGTAAGTAATTAGGAGGTGAACTCAAATGTTCCTAATGATTTAATAAATTAATAACTTAATTCATGCAGTTTTTCTGGAAGTGTTATAGTAATAATTTGCCATTGCCACTTTCGTGGATTGGTTTTTTTGTTTTGTTTTTAATACGGGTACTAGAGTGGGATTTCTTTGTGGCTCCCATCCAAATAAGTGGTCCCGCTCAACTTAGCTTTTTCTAGATCAAATAGAAATGTGCAAACAGCCTTGTCTAAAGCCTTGCTTGCTTAAAAGAGCTAAGGAGCTCAGGAATGACAAGGTTGAGTAAGAGAAAAGAAGAGTAAGAATTCCCTCTAATGGTGAAATAGGCTTTCCACAAACTTTACAAAGTTTCACCTATTAAATGGGGGATTTAGGTTACAGCAAGTTTGAGCTGAGAGTAGGTTGGGTTAGTTAGCTGCAGAATTCTGTTAATTGAGAGGACTGAGTTGCCAATAAAGGAAAATATTTGTAGCTCAAGGTTGAAACGATGTTACCTAGTTTGGATAATAAAAAGTCTGCAAGAAAACAACCAAAGTCAAAGAACACCAAGGATTGAGTTGTGTTTGAAAGGGTGCAGAATCCTTGGACGGAAGGATCTGGGATCTATTTAACCTTGTTGATGAAAAAGGCACTTTCTTCCTTCTTGCAGGAGAAATAATTGGAATATTCAGTATATGAACATTGTATGGATATGGCACTCAAAATGCAAGTGAGAACAAGTGCCATAATGGTTCTCTTGGGGACAGAATTCAATTCACATATTGATTTTGTTCTGGAACATGTTACTTTTGCCTTGTTGCAGTTGTCTATATTTTGTATTATATGTCAATAATTTGGAAAGTAATGGGATAATAAATATAATATTCAGAGGGGTTGTTTTTTTTTCTCTTAAAAATTAGATTGATAACAAAGCCATGCATTCCCCAACAATACTTCCATGGTATGGTACCTAACCCCTAATCCTAACCCTCTGAATTGATTTATACATTTGGCCTACATCCATTATTCTATATCAGTTTCCTACATTTCCCACAATGATGGTGAACCGTCTTAAATCTAAATCATTTATCGGTATCGTATTACACGAACATTGGCTAATTCACTTTATCACGCTAGAAGGTGTATACGTGTCGTTTTCCTTTTCTTTTTCTAAGCAGTTCCCCTCCAAGTCAGCAGGGGGCGTTCTGACCGAAGCAGCCATTCAGAAAGAGGAAACCCTAACCCTAAGAGGAAGCAGATTCTCCGGTTTGGGCCGTCATTCCCGGCGTCCTTTGCGCATTACCACCGGCATAGCTCGGGTTTCGTCTCATCATCATGGCGGAGCCGCGAGACAAGGCTCTGCAAGACTATCGCAAGAAATTGCTAGAGCACAAGGAGATCGATGGGCGCCTCAAGGAGCGTGAGTGACTCTTCGGTGACGGAGAAGGAAGCCTGGTCTCTATCCTTCTCCCTGAGTTCATCCCTCTCTCGGGATCCCCAAAGAAACAGATTCCTTAATAATCTTAAATCAAACAGGGTGGGGAAGACGCGTTGGAATGAAAAGGCCTTTTCTATATAATATTCAGACTTTCCCCCCCACTCAGATCCTGTGCATGTTTCCTTAGGGACATTTACTCTCTGCGGTCAGTGCAACTGACCCTCAAATGCAGGATTGGGAGGGCACATTGGAGTCGCTCCGTGAGTTAGATGGGCTGTTCTAAACGTGATAAAATAAATAATTTCATTTTAATCATTGCATTTATATCCTGCCACTCCTTCCGATGCCCACATTACTACATGCAGCGTTCTTCCTTCCATATCTCTCCCAATAGTAACAATCCCGTGAAGTAAGTTAAGATAACGACTTAATGGACTGACAAGTTTTGTGAACTTCCATGGCTGACAATGAATTTAAATCCGATTTCAGCACAAAATTCATATGGATGAGAAATATAGGTTGGGTTTAAGTGTAGTATGTTGTGTAATCATAATAGTTTGAAAATCATGGTTCATAGTTTAATAGATTTGTGAATGCAGAGAATTGTGGTTTATTCAACCAACCATTATTAAACCCGTCAACTAACCATTATTAAACCCCGAGTTTGTAATATATGAATCCAGCTATAACAGGTTTATTTAAAAAAAAATAAACAAAAATAAGTTTAATTTTGTTTCATTAATCTTAAAGGAACATAAGAAATGAAAAATGAGAAAGAAAAAAAGGAAAGGAGAGATAGCTGAGATTTATGTGTGGAACAAAAACAAATTACCTTGTTCCCTTGACTTCCATATTCTGCCCACATTTCCACATATTTCCTGTGTAATATGCAGTAGACTTGGACAACTGCTTTGAAAAAGCCTAACAAAGATTACAAAAATAAAATATAGTACGAAAGGTAAATAAGCAATGAAATACTAAAGACAATTAATGAACTACAGTTAATGAGCTAAAAAAAAAACCTAAACAGAATGAAAAATAGAAACCTCCCACCAAAATAGAAAAGCCAAACAAAATTTTAGAAACCAAACCAAGTATCTAAAATATTTATATTAAGTGTGTGGAAATGTCTGTGTGCTTGCTGTGCAGAAGAAAACATAAAACTGAGAGGAGGTGACTTCCAGCAGGTGCCAGTAGGCCTCCTTACCTACCTGTAGCAACCCACTCCCTCATGCATATTTTATGTAGAAGAAAGTTGAGATTTGGCAAAATTGGGTAAAAATGAGATGGTCAGGTGGGCTGCAACATATTATAGAATCATTCACAATTATAGAATGTAAAAATTAGAAGGTACCATGGACATCATTTTGCCCTCCTTTGTCCAGTACTGGAATCAAGTATGATCACCAAATTATCCAATCTCTGTTTTCTGGAACAATTAAACAATTCTGCCTTTTTATGCGATACTATGGTCCTTCAGATATTTGAAAACAGCTATTAATTCTCCCCTTAGTCTTCTTTCTTCAGGCTAAACGTACCTAGTATCTTTATTCCTTATAAGTTTTTCCTTCCGGTTCCTTATTCATCTTGGTTATTGTCTTCTGAATATTCTAGAAAAGAACAAATGCTATTCTTGATCTTGACACTGTACTGTACATTTGTTAATGCAGCTGAAGATTACATTTGTTTTCTTTGCAACTGTGTTACCCTATTGGCTTGTAATCCACCAAGAAACCAAGATCCCTTTCACATGTATTCCTGTCCACCATAGTCCCCCCATCATATACTCATGTTTTTGAGTTTTCTTACTTTGATGTAGGATTTTGCATTCACTTCTATTGAAAATCATCTTAATGGCTACTGTCCATTGTTCTTGTTTGGGAAGTTCTTCCTGAATCCTGATACTATTTTTGAGGTGTTTGCTGTCCCCTTATATTTGTATTGTTAGCAAATATGATGATCATTTCCTAATCTTCATCTAAATCATTTTTAAATATATTGCACTGAACAGGACCTGTGATATACCACTGAATACTTCCTTTTATTTTGACATGGGAGTCATTCATGTACCCTTTTTATCTATTATTATTGAACCAGCCTGTAGCCATCAAATGGCAGTATAGTTGTGCTCTTTTTGTCATCTTTGCTAGAATTACATGAGAGACTTCGTTGAATTATTTTAGAAGTCAGATATACTATGTCCACTGCTTCCTTGTAGTCAACTAAGCTAGTTGAAGAAGAAAGTATTTGTGTATAGAGGAGAGAACAACACAGTCATGGGCTGCATTAATAGAGGGACAGAATCAAAATCATGTGAAGTATTAGTATTGCTTCATAATGCCTTGGTAAGACCATACTTAAAATATTGCATCCAGTTTTGGTTGCCACAATACAGAAAAGATGTTGAGACTCTAGAAAGAGTGCAGAAAAGAGCAACAAAGATGATTAGGGGACTGGAAGATAAAACACGAAGAACAACTGCAGGACTTGGGTATAGCTAGTCTAGTGAAAAGAAGGACTAGAGGTAACATGATAGCAGTCTTCCAGTATTTGAGGGGCTGCCACAAAGAAGAGGGGGTCGACCTATTCTTCAAAGTACCTGAAGGCAGAACAAGACACAACAGATGGAAACTAATCAAGGAGAGATGCAATCTAGAACTAAGGAGAAATTTCCTGAGAATTAATCAATGGAATGACTTGCCTCCAGAAGTTGTGGCTGCTCCAACACTGGAGATTTTAAAGAAGAGATTGGTGTCACAGGGTGCTGTTACCTTCCCACTGAAGTGGTACCTATTTATCTACTTGCATTTGCATGCCTACAAACTGCTAGGTGGGCAGGAGCTGGGGCAAGAATGGGAGCTCAGCCTGGTCTGGGACCTGGGCTGCCAGGCTTTCAGCTGACAAGCCCAGCATCTTAACTGATGAGCCACTGTGCCGCCCCACATACATACATACATACATACAAATAAATAATAAATGCTAATATAAATTCAGCTTAATCATAATAACACCAAAGCAGCTGGAATCATTTCAATGCAGTCACATCTCATTTTTACTCACTCCCCAAACATATTCATATTTTAAATTTCCCAGAGTGCTAGGAATGACGATGAGTTCTTATTTCTGATGGGACAATATTTCACCAGATAGAAGCTGTAGTGGAGAAACCTGATCTCCATATTTGTTCTTATCTCACCCCATTTATGGTAGGGAGTTCTCGCAGTAAATACACTCTAAAGGCATATTTTGGGCAGGTAGATTGTCACCAACAACTTGAATTGCATCTATTATTCCAGTAGGAGCTGACAGTCTAGAACGGGTAGGCAACCTTGGCTCTTTTATGACTCGTGGACTTCAACTACCAGAATTCCTGAGCCAAGGTTGCCTACCCCTGGTCTAGAAGCACCCCAGATTGTGCATCAGCTCTTTCTGGAGCAGAATCCCATCAAGAACTAAAGTTGGTATTGTTCGGCCTCAGTCGGTTTTTAAATCTACAGCCACTCTGTTTTGCTAGGGGTGAGTTTCAACCTGTTTTTTCCTATCCAGACTCTTGTAGTATTCAGACACTGAAGCTTTAAAAAGATAGATGTCTTTTTCTGACTCTTGGGCACTGTCCATCCTCCATGATTTCTCAAAGGTGACTCACAGAAAGGAACTTCTGAAATCACATCTGTGAACTTCTTCAAGATTTTTGGATACTATTGGCTTTTGAGACTTAAATTCAATTATTGTATGCAGGTGTTCCCTAAACATGCCTTAACTGACCTTGGGTTACCATTCCCTTTGGTCAGTTATTCTCATTAGGTTTTTATGAGGAGAAAAGAAATAAAAGTAGAAGTTCAGGAGTTCTTCCCTCTTGTCATTTCTTTTTACCATTTTCTCTTACCAGTGGTCCTACTCCTGCTTTGTTTATTTTACTGCTGATACAGCAAAAAAACCCCCATTTTTGTTGCTTTCAACTTCTCTTGTGAATCTAAATTCCTTTTGTCTTTTGGCTTTTCTGATTTTTCTTTTCTGCAGATAATACCTATTGGTTAGTATATCTTCCTGGTGATCTTCCATCTCCAGCAGTGGTTCTTTGGCTAGTGGATTCTTCCAAGCAGTTTCCTAAGCTACTTCCCTTCCCCCCCCCTTCTCATTGAAGTGGTATCCAGTTGCACTTTCAGTATTTTATTTTTAAGAAATTCTTAACTCTCTTGTGCTCCCTTTGATCAGAGGAAAATTTTCCATGGGATTTTTTAAAGCTTGTTGAAGTTAACTCTCCTGAAATTTAGCATGACTATACCCCCAATTTTTGTTCTGCAGTAGGAACTTAAGATTCCATAGCTACTGCCTCCTCTGGTTCCTACTGTTTTACCTCTTCAACAAGCTCTTATATATTCATTAGAGTCAAACATGGGAGAGCCAATTCCTTTGTCTCTTCCTCAGTTTTCTAGAAAATGTTTTACACTTAATTTAATTTATTGATTATTAAATTTGTATGCTGCAGAACTTCCAATGCCTATGCAGCAACCTCCTGCTAAAGACATGAGCAGAATGTAATTTATTGGCATAAATATGAATTCTGCATAGGAAATACAGTAAATAAAAAGAATTTTATCCCTTCATTCTTTTTTTTTATATTTTATTAAATTTTTTCAGGGTGGGGAAAGGCACGAGTGATTATGAGTGGTGGGGTTCAGGGTAGGGTTCAAGGGAGGATTTAGGGTGGGAATGGGTACACCAATGGGGTTACCCCAATAACATTTCACGCTTTAACAAGCAAGCTATCATCCAGATACAAGTATTCCAGAGGGCTAATATAATAATCAGTAACAGTAGTCAACAAAAATAACAGAAATTATAAAGCATATCAATTAATCAAAAGAAAAAATCAATCTTAATAAATTTCAGTTTCCTTATGTCATTTTGCTAACCATTGATAAAAGTTTTCCCATGTTTTATAATAGACTGAGTCTTCTTTCTCTTTAATCTTTAGCGTTAATCTATCCATTTCTGCACATTCTAAGGTTTTCCTAATTATAATCTCATCTGATGGTATGTCTTCATTTTTCCAGTGTTGGGCAAATGCTATTCTTGCAGCTGTCAGTATATGTAATATTAAATTCTCGTTCTCTTTCCCATAATTAGATCCTAATATTCCTAGCAGAAACAATTCTGGCCTAAAGTCTATGTGTATTTTAGTTATCTTTTCCAACCATATATGAATCTTACACCAGAATTTCTTTGCACTGGGGCACACCCACCAGATGTGATAATAAGTGTCTGTTTTTTTTTTTACACTTCCAACCGTTATTCGAAACATTTTTAAACATTTTCACCAGCCTTACTGATGTCATGTGCCATCTATAAAACATTTTACAAATTTTCTATCCCTTCATTCTTGATTCTCCCCTCCTTAAGTATCTCCAAGTATATGTAAAAAAGTTTAAAATGGGTTTAAAACAAGTGAATTTGAGAAAAATACTACTTTTTGTTTCCTGATAAGGAACTGCCCTGAATGAACCATTTGTCTTTCTATTGTATACAATATACAAGATGTACAAGGTATTTATCAAAGAAACATAGGCAAGACACTTTTAATGTACTATACAATGGTCCAAGAATAAAATTTTACATCTTAATTTTTCCCCTCTGAGGATAGAAATGGAAGAACAGACAGTAACAACTACTAGCACGGATTGTATGAATTTTACCTGAAAGCAGTGTTCTTCTATCTTAGTAAGGGAACAACTAAAGGAACTTACCAAGCAGTATGAAAAATCAGAAAATGACCTCAAAGCTCTACAAAGTGTTGGACAGGTGAGCACTCGTACAGTCACAGTATTCAATGAATTATACTGTTTAACGTAGGGGTCCCCAACCCCTGGGCCTTCTATAAAACATTGTAAAATGTTTTATAGAAGGCCCACTACCGGGCCGTGGCCTATTTGGAACCGGGCCAAATGAGCAGCATGCCTGCACATGTGCAGACACCCGTGCAGCTTAACTTGTGCAAGATGAGTTGTGCGCATGTGCACAGTAGTCTGCCACTCACATGGCCCAGTTTCCCACTCCCTCTCCCAAGCCTGGTTGCCAAGCTGCAAAGTTTGGGAATTGCTGGTTTAATGTACAAAAGCAAATTTTCTGAGAATTGTGATTGCCTCTTTGTTGAGGAACAAATGTCAACATTTGTGTTTTTAATGGGTACCTCCCAGAGTTCAGGGAGGACTCCTTAGCTGTTCATGGGAGATCTGAAGTACTTGTACATTCTCCAGAAATGTTATTGCCTTAAATCAGGCATGTTAAACTCGCGACATCACATGATGTCGCACAACATATCACGACTTTTTCCCCATTGCTGGCAATGGGGTGGGCGCGGATTCGGTGTGATGCATCTGGCCCGCAGGCCGGCAGTTCAACATGCCTGCCTTAAATTGAGCAACAGATGATATCCTGTTCCCAAGTTACAATGCACAAAGCTTGTCAAGTTATTTTGGCATCCTAAAGATCTTTCTCTCCTCTGTCAGTAATAATTAAATATAATTTACTATTATTTTGTTGCCTTTTCACAACACTGAGAACTGTTGGTTGAGGCAGATGTCTCATTCTGTTTGAATAGTAGTCCTAATTGTGTATGATGGTTACTAATGGCATTGTGACTTTATATCAAAGCCAACTGATCTTTTGCATTTCAGAAATTCAAACAGGCAGGGAGATTATACTAATAGGGTATTTTTCCATTTCCTTTAAAAATCAGATTGTTGGTGAGGTTCTTAAACAATTAACAGAAGAGAAATGTAAGTACATGGGGATACCATTTTATTAATTATTTTTTAATTATTAAAATAATTTTGGGATTTGAAATATGAGTAGCATAGTTATAATGGCACATAAGTGTTATTTTAAAATGTCTGGTGGGTTTTTTTGTTATTCAAATCATGGTTGAATAACACATACTCACCTGTTCTCCTTTGCTACTTTTAGTCATTGTCAAAGCAACAAATGGACCAAGATATGTAGTTGGCTGTCGTCGTCAGGTGAGTACAGGTAGTAGTTGCTTATCAATCATTTGTTCAGTGACTGTTTGAATTTCCGACAGTGCTAACAAAAATAACTTTACAATCCACTTGATCTTCATAGTGTTCCCAGTCACGTGATCATCATTACAATCCATCCTGTGCTTGAGCTGTGTTTTTTTTGTTTTCTCCATGTCAGAAAGATTGGAGATTCAAGAAAGTAAGCTTTGCTGTTCTGTACATTGAAAACAATGCAGTCATGCTGGCAATCGAGCTGGGAGCCATTGGTACAGAATGCAAATAAGTAGTCTTTTGAAGTCTCTTTCTCTCCAATCTCTCTGCTTTATGAGGAGTGGGGAGGTAGAGGAAAGAACTAAGAATTTCTGTAGGACATCTCTCCTTTGCTTGATCTTCTCCCATAGCTGGCATGATCACATTGGTTTTGATGTGTAGAAAAGCAAATAGCTTGCTTTCTTGAAATATCTTTCTCCACTCTCTTGGGAGGATGAGGGAGAAGAAGGAAAGCAAATGATTTCTGTAGTCAATTTCTTCTTTGCCTGATCCTTCTCCCCCTCCCCCAAGTGACTAAATTAGTAGACCAGCAAAACGCTGTGAACATAGTATACTTAGATTTCAGTAAAGCATTTGACAAAGTCGATACAACCTGCTGCTTAGTAAGCTAGGAAAAGGTGGGATAGACAACATCACCACCAGATGGATCTGTAGCTGGCTGACAAACCGTACTCAGCAAGTAGTCCTCAATGGTACTATATCCACATGGAGAGAAGTAAGCAGTGGGGTACCACAAGTCTTAGGCCCAATACTCTTTAATATCTTCATCAATGATTTAGATGAGGGAGTAGAAGGGGAACTCATCAAATTTGCAGAGGACACTAAACTGGCAGGAATAGCCAACACCCCAGAAGACAACCTCAGGATCCAAAAAGATCTTGACAAACTTGAACAATGGGTCCTATCCAACAAAATGAATTTTAATGTGCAGAAAAGCAAAGTTTTACATTTAGGCAGGGAAAACCAAACGTATAAGTACAGATTAGGCAAGACCTGGCTCAAAAACAGTAACTGTGAGAGGAATCTTGGAGTCCTAGTGGACAATCACTTGACTATGAGCCAACAGTGTGCAGCAGCAGCCAAAAAAGCTAATACAATCCTGGGTTGTATAAACTAGAGGCATAGAATCAAGAACACACAAAGTATTAGTACCGCTTTATAAAACCCTAGTAAGACCATACCTGGAAAACTGCAATCAATTTTGGTCACTATACTACAAAAAAGATGTTGAGACTTTGGAAAAAGTTTAGAGAAGAGCAACTAAAATGATCAAAGACCTGGAGACTAAAACATATGAAGAACAGATGCAGGACTTGGATTTGGCTAGTCTAAAGAAAAGAAGAAACGGGTGACATGATAGCAGTATTTCAGTATTTGAGGGGCTTCCACAAAGAAGAGGGCATCAAATTGTTCTCCAAAGCACCAGAGGGCAGGACAAGAAACAATGGTTGGAAACTGACCAAAAGACAAGCAACCTGGAATTAAGGAGAAACTTCGTAACAGTGAGGACAATTCACCAGTTAAACAGCTTGCCTTCAGAAATCATGGGCGCTCCATCACTGGAGATTTTTAAGAAGAGACTAGACAGTTACTTGTCTGAAATGGTATAGGTTCTCTTGCTTGAGCAGAGGGCTGGACTAGAAGACCTCCAAGGTCCCTTCCAGATTCTATTCTATTCTATTCTATTCTGTCACTCACAAACCAGACAGATTGGTGAAGGATTTCAAGAGAGTAAGCTGTGTATCACACCCATGGCTCCCAACCTTGGGCTGCTAGCCTGATTGCATTGCTTTCATATACATGTACAAGATAGTAAGCAGGTGCTGTACCACTCCAAGGGGTGGGGGAGTGGTTAGAAGGCATACAAAAGCCAAACGTGTGAAACTGACTAGCCTTATCTCTTTCCAGTTGGGAAACACAAGTGTGGTCACATGATTTCCCATTTAGTGACTGCTTAGTGGCTCTAAATAGGGTTGTAAACTGAGGACTACCTAGATCTTGTTTATGAGTTGGTTTCTCAAAATAGAATTTAAAGTTGTAGCACTAAGTTGTGGCTTGTTGTCCTACCTAAGCAACTCCCAGTGGGAAATGCCTAATTGATTTCTGCAGGCCTAGGCTGGATGTGTGAAAATTGTCCAGCCTACATCCACCTGCTGTGGAAAAAGAGTAATCATCCTTGTACAAGCAGCACATTTTCAACTTTGATTGTTGTTTGCTATTATCTGAATGGGCTTTGTTGTGCTTTCAGTCATTATCATGCCTACTCCTTTGAATATATTTTTGGGTCCTCCCTCCAGCTCCCCAAAGCAGTATAGTTAATATTTCCTGGTTGAACACGTTTGACGTAAGACTGCTGCAAATTTAATAATTGCCTTTTTTGCCTTCAGCTTGATAAAAGCAAATTGAAACCTGGGACGAGAGTTGCACTGGATATGACCACCTTAACAATTATGAGGTAAAATCTTGCCTTCGTATGCTAAGATTGGAGATGAGAGAAATCGAAAGGGTGGAAAGCAACATCCCCTTCTTCATTATACAGGAAGGTACGGGGAGAAGGAAACACGAGCCAAAGGCTTTGCTTAGGATTCCTCCTTTTTGTGCAAGTAGCCCTTAAGCTACAGTTTTATGCTGCTTGTTAACAACCCTCCTGCGACACCACTATAGAACTTAGTAATTTATTTGTCTTCATTAGGTGGGGAGAATATTATTTGGAAATTACTTTTTTAAAAAATCACTGGTGCAGAATCATCGGTTTGGATAACTGGAATTGCTTCACATATTTAGATATTTGCCAAGAGAAGTTGATCCACTTGTTTACAACATGTCTCATGAAGATCCTGGAGATGTATCTTATTCTGAGATTGGCGGATTGTCAGAACAAATCAGAGAACTAAGAGAGGTACATGTTTCTTTATTATACCAGCCTGTATTCTAGTTGTATCTTTGCTAAGAGGAAAAATATTTGACTAAGCTACTTGTATCTTTGCAAGAGGAAAAATATTTGACTTTGCAGTGTCAGTTAGATGCCCATTGCAGAACGTCAGGAAAATACATAAATGGAACTGCTGAGGTTTTAAAATTTAAAACTAGGAGCTTTAACCAAACTTCACAGTGCAGTGAGTTTGTTTCAAAGAAACAAAGACTGTTTGAGTGTTTTGGAAGGAAGATTGTATAAATGACACAAAGTTTGTATCTTTTGGTGCACTTTGAATTACTTGAGCACAAAAACAGGATTTCCTCTTTGCAGGTTATAGAGTTACCCCTGACAAATCCAGAATTATTCCAACGTGTGGGGATTATACCTCCCAAAGGCTGCTTGCTGTATGGCCCACCAGGTAGGCCCACTTTAGTAAGTTTGTATGGCTGTCTCTTATGCCTTAGCAAAGAGGTACATCACGTGGGGTATTTATTTTCTGACCGGCTCCAGTGCATAGTCTTAGTTCATGCACAAATAGTTGCTTTCTATGCTATCAAGTCCAAGTGTAAGATTACAAGTTCTGAGAAGATCCTGGTAGATAAAAGACAAAATTAAGTTGATGTGTCTTCAGAATCTTTGGCATAAATGCTCAACTACTGTCCCCTTCCCTCATACAAATTATATGCAACTTCATAAAGAAAGATATAATTTCACAAAGAAAGATGTAATCTGATTTGGTACAGAATGTACCAAATGCAAACTGTGAGGGGTATTACTCTATCTGGAAGCCCCATAGTCTGCTTATTTCAAGCACATAGCCTTATCCCTTTTGTTCTGAATTAGGATTTCTCTAAGAAAAATGAAATAGACTTACGGCAGATGCCAGAGGAAAACAAGATTGAAATAGAGCTGATTGAATACTAAAGCTTCTTGTTGCAAGGGTTTTATTTTGGATATTTGGGTATTTAGGACTGTTTCAGTCCTGTACAGTTGTGTATATTTTAGAGCAGCGGTTCTCAACGTTTGTGTGACGGCAACCCCCGTCACACAAACGTTATGCGCATGCGCGGCGCGGCACGCATGAGGGCGGGGCCCCATGCGCGACGGGCATGCGCAGCGGCACCCCCATGTGCGGTGCGCATGCGCAGCGGCGCTCCCATGTGTGGCGCGCATGTGCGGAGGCGGCCCCGGAGGGGAGAAAATGGCGGATCGCTGCCTTTGGCGACCCCCGAAAAATGGTCGATCGACCCCAAATGAGGTCGCGATCCATAGGTTGAGAACCGCTGTTTTAGAGCATGTAATATCCTTTCTAGAAGAATGGTTTTATCTTCTAATTTCTTTTATAAGATTCAATATCATACTCCTGCCTCATGAGAAAGGCAGTTAGAAGTGCGCTTTTTGGTTAAAGGTCATCCCAGGTTGAGGGAACAGGGTTTCCCAAATCTGTGAAGATTTTTTTTTATGAACCTAGGCTTTCTTGTCCCAGGCCTATATTTTATTTTAGTAAGAGTGCCATCTCCAGCAGAAATTGCTGGCTTGTAAATTTTAATTCAGTTAAAGGGGGGAAATTGTTAGAAACAAATAGGTTGAATAATCATATTAATTGTGGGTACTTAAAGTGGCTTTATCCACTTTAGGAGTTCAGCCCCAATATGCTACCAAAGCCAGGCCCTTGAAGGTCTGTGCACTGTAGTGCTTCACCATGTAACCTCAACTATAGGTCTGTCACATTGATTCTTTACTTCTTGAATCGTCTTTGGTATATTCCCACTTCAGGGACAGGAAAGACTCTCCTGGCCAGAGCTGTTGCCAGTCAGCTGGACTGCAATTTCTTAAAGGTAAAATAATAGGGTTTTTTTTTTTTCCTGAACTCTTAGCCCAAACTTGTTTGATTTTCAAGCATCACTCACTGGTAATTTTTTCACAGGTTGTATCTAGTTCCATTGTAGATAAATACATTGGGGAAAGCGCTCGGCTGATCAGAGAAATGTTCAACTATGCCAGGGACCATCAGCCCTGTATCATCTTCATGGATGAAATTGATGCTATTGGTAAGGATGCAGGCTTCTTAAAATCTGAGAGTGTGTCGAGTTTTTTTTTATTAGCTGCTCAAAGAACTGCTGTGTTCCTGCAGTTTCAAGATTGGAATGGGAAAGTGAACTTAGCAGGAGTTGAGGATGAAAAAAGTCAACAATGTAACTACTCATGTCACTATACCACAGGTCGGCAACCTGCGGCTCCGGAGCCGCATGCGGCTCTTTGAGCCTTCCCCTGTGGCTCCCAGCCTCCTCTGCCTTTGCAGAGAGAGACAGAGACAGAGAGAGGCAATTGCGCTTCCCTGCTTCTCTCTCTCTCTCTCTCTCTCTCTCTCTCTCTCTCTCTCTCTCTCTCTCTGTGTGTGTGTGTGTGTGTTTGTGTTTTTGTGTGTGTGTGTGTGTGTGTATGTGTAAAAGAGAGTGCACTCACAGTGTTCTCCGAGGAGCTGAAAAGCTTTCTGGGCGGAGCTCCTCCCTTTGCTGCGTCTCTGCAGGAAGCAGGAAGGGCAGGAGAGAGCTAGCTAGCCCAGCTAGGCTGACTCAGGAATTCTGGGAGTTGAAGTCCATGAGTCATAAAAGAGACGAGATTGCCTAAACCTGGACAACAGCTTGAAGCTTGCCAGGTGAGCAGCAGATAGGAGGGGAGGAGAAAGAGAGGGAGAGAGAGAGAGAGGGAGGGAGAGAGAGAGAGAGAGAGAAAGAGAGGAAAGAGAGAGAGAAAGAAAGAGAGTGGGGGGCAGACCAAGGGCAGATAGAGAGGGAGGGAGAGAGACAGAGAGAAAGAGACCCTTTTGACATCTAAAATGAAGATAACACTGCATATATCCTTTTTTTACCTCTGTGTGTATGTAATTTTATTCTCTTAAAGCATTCTCTTGGTGATCATTGTTTTAATAGTATGGATATTCCCAAGAGTGATATTTTTACTTTTATTTTTAATGTGTGTGTGTGTGTGTGTGTGTATACACATACATACACACACACACACACACACACACACACACACACCTATAATAAAGGTAAAAAGGATATAGGCAGTGTTATCTTCATTTTAGATATCAAAAGGGTTTTGCGGCTCCCGGTGTTTTGTTTTTGGTGGGAAACGGGTCCAAGTGGCTCTTTGAGTGTTTTGGGTTGCAGACCCTTGCACTATACCAAAGATCTATGACACTTAAAGTCCAATATGTTACTACAGCAGTGTTTCTCAACCTTGACAATTTTAAGGCATGTGGACTTCAACTCCCAGAATTCCACAGCCAGCAATGCTGGCTGTGGAATTCTGGGAGTTGAAGTCCACATGCCTTAAAATTGTCAAGGTTGAGAAACACTGTACTACAGTATTGCTATCAGCAGCCATTCTGGAACATAACTGACTAGAATCCATTGTGATGGAAAAAATAATAAAGCTGCAAACACTTCTCTGAACTCTCCCACCACCTTTTTTTTTGTCTTTTCTTTCTGTCCTCCTCCCCTCTATCTCCTGTTGTAAAGACTTTCTCTCCTCTCTCTCTGCTGTTCCTGCTTCCTCCACTTGCAAAGGAAAAGAAAGCTCTCACCCATCCCCCAAAGGCTCATCTAATGGTGGAGCCCATCATAACTATGCATGGGCACCTGGCTGTCTCAAAATTCCATTTGTCACAGAGGTGTAACTTTAGTTTTACAACAGAAAAGCCTTTCTCCCTGTCTAACACCTGCCTCACTTCCTCAAAAAAAACCTACTTGTGAATCAAATCCCTTGAATTTCTCACCTCTGAACCTCAAAGTGTTCTATTGCTAAGGGTCTCTCTCTGTATTGGAAACTGGCACCCAATAAAGTTTGATCATTTCTCCTTAGCACTGGACTCCTTTCTTCAGCAAAAATTTCATGACACTATTTATTTTACTTTTAACCCGTATTTATTATTTTTATAAATAACTCAAGGCAGCCAACATATCTGATTCTCCTTTCTCCTCCTTTTGAGACAACTCTGTGAAATGGGTTGAGCTGAAACAATAGTCCAAAGTCACCCATCAGGCTTTTATGTCAAAGGAGGGAGGGGAGCTGCAACTAAAACTGGTTTATTTTTGGACAAATACCTTTTAAATCTTAATGCCTATGTAAGTTAGCTTATTATCGGACAGTTTTGGAAATACTTGGATATCATTTTATATTTGGCTGTATTCTAAATTAAAACCTTATGTCAAATGTTCTCCTTGGTGAAATACCAACTACTCTTCCATGCTCTTTAGGTGGTCGCCGTTTTTCTGAGGGAACTTCAGCTGACAGAGAGATCCAGAGAACTTTAATGGAGGTAAAACTTATATGTGTTAAATCAAACAGTAGTTTTAGGCAGGCAACCAAAAAGTGAAGTATTGAATTCAGTTTGGTTTTCTATACCATATTTGGTATTCTCTTACTTTTTATTCTGAATAAAATGGTGGTTTTATATTGTTCAGTTATATACATGGAGATATGATTAAGTAACTTTCTAAAATTACTATGTATCTGGGCTTTGTATTTTACAAGAGAGAAACTTTTCCTTCACTTGGTATATCAACATTTCATAAAAGGAACAAGCTAGTATTTTCATATTTGCAAAAATTGCAACTTCCATAGATGCTCTTTTTAACCGAGAATTAAAATTCTCGTGGATTCTTAGGTATCCCAAGACGTGTTTCTGAAATATGACAAATGCTGTCCAAATCAACAACTGTCAATACATTTCTTAACTGTCTTGTTGGAATCAACTTCTCAATGGAAAAATACCAAAGTTCACTAAAGCTTATGCTTCCTTGCAATATTTTTCCAGTTATTGAATCAGATGGATGGATTTGATACTTTACACAGAGTCAAAATGATAATGGCTACAAACAGACCAGATACTCTAGATCCAGCATTGTTGCGACCTGGAAGATTGGATAGGAAGATTCGTGAGTAAACTCAGTATGTCAGCATAAGCCTTTGCCTTTATTTGGTATGCAACCAAAATTAGTAATTGAAAAAAAAAATTCTTTTCACCTAGATATTGATTTGCCAAATGAACAAGCTAGGTTAGACATACTGAAAATCCATGCTGGACCTATAACTAAACATGGAGAAATAGGTAAGTTCCCAAGATCATGTTCACATCTTAAGGCATTGTTTTATACAGTTCCTGTTCAGTATTTAATGCAATTCATTATAAATTTGAACTTTTCGGAGCAGAAATTTCAATCATGCAATAGCTTTTTAAAGTATAATCCTTTATTTTTTCTGAAACATTTACATACTGTATTCGTTTATTTTATATAATTTCCTTTTCCTCCTGGAGGCTTAGAACAGCATAATCTATAAAGCAGGCCCTAGTTGGGTTGAAGTTTACCAATTTAGAAATGCTCCATGGATTGTCTCTGCTTCCAGAGTTGTATTCATCTTACTTTTGGAAATAGTCTAGTCAAAACAGCCAACTGTAAATAAAATCTTAGCAAGGGGAGTTTTGAAGAATCTTCAATTAGTTCAAAATAGCATTCCCATGTTATTGTATAGATCTAGAATTGCAATACTCCAGTCAGCATCAGACTTGCTTGCTCGCCTCCACTGAAGCTTGATAGGTAGTGAAAAGATCCAGAGATTCTTTGGTATTTCAAAGCAGAAAATGTGGTTCTCATCTTTACAACAGGCACTGTGGGTCACAGTTCTGATTAACCTAGCCATTTGACTCTTACTATTAGACTATGAAGCAATTGTGAAGCTTTCTGATGGATTTAATGGTGCTGACCTAAGGAATGTCTGTACTGAAGCAGGTAATGAATTCTTTCTATTTTCTTTAGTTCTTAGTTTAACATAGGGTGCAAAAGAGTATTCAGGAGCTACTTGTGGCATCCGAGCCTCTCTTGTGTGGCTGCCAGCGCATGCACACATGCACACCCAGTGGGTGAGAATTTTTTGTATTTCTTTGGCTTGAGTGGTTTTAAGGGTTAAAATAAGCATTTTAAACTATGTGGTCACCCTTTCAAACTCTTAAAAGCCCATCTCAAGGTGGATTTGGTCCCACCACTTGTGGAATGAAGTCTTAACTTGCCATACCAAATCTGGTGTGAATGTTAAATCAAGGAAGTGTAATAATTTAAAATAAACCTTACAGTAGTCCTCAACTTGCTGTATTTGACAAAAAATACTTATGTGGAATGAAGAACAGTTTTATGCAGTTATTATAGCTCCATCTTTTGTGGTTTACAAAGGAAATCTTTCCTATTGTGCAGAGTCTGATTTCAGGCCCTTTTCCCCCCAATAAATATATGTTTTTCACACTGTCTTTTTTCAGGCATGTTTGCTATTCGTGCTGATCATGACTTTGTAGTTCAGGAAGACTTCATGAAGGCAGTTAGGAAAGTTGCGGATTCCAAGAAGCTGGAGTCTAAGTTGGATTACAAACCAGTCTAAGTGCTACTACATGGTTAATGGCTGACAGTGACTGCCGCATGGGAAATGTGGGGGCTTCCTAGGTAAAATGAGAAACAGACTATCCCTTGATTGATTGTGTTATTATTTCAAATCTATGTATTAATGATGGCAGTTAGCCATTTGTTAATATTAGGTAGGAGTCTGCTGCAACAAGTTTTGTGGCCCTCTGAAAACAAGATGGCTTTTTAACCCCACATATGTGCAGTATAAAATTTGCTTTCAGATAGTGACTTTATCAAATGTACTATACTGATTTCATCTGGCAAATTTGAAGGTGGCATGCTTGTTTTATATCATTTTATTTTCTCTTCTTTGAAACAGTAAAATATACCTTGTTTAAATCAAGTTTGTTAATTAGTTCCTTAGTATCCTATAAATTAGAAGGAACATCATCTGATGTTGGACCCTGATAAGTTTTCAGTATCTTGTCTAAGCAACCCAGCCTTTCATAGAACAGTATTTCTAATTGAAAAGCTAAAAAGCATTTAAAAATTAGAAGAAGTTACACTTTTTCTCAGTTTATTATTGATCTATGACTAACTTAAATCTTTCACATATTGGGATGAATAAATTTTAAAGATGTAGCATGTTCTTCTATTTAAATATCCTGGTTGACTTCTAGCTTTCTTTAAGAGCCATTTTAAGATGAAGTTAAGAACTTGTAACATAGGCCTAGGACACATTCCCAGCGCAAATCAGGATCTGTTAGCTTCACAACTACATTGTACCAGAAAAAAGTCAGCTTTGAGAATGTTCAAAATGATGAAAGCAAATACTAAAACCAGTCATACGAAAGAAAGCAAAAAAATTCAGCTATTTATAATACTAGTAAATGGAAATACAAAATAGCCGATTATGGTTACTCTTCTATCCTGATTGCTGCCTAGACCAAAGAAGTAAAACAAAATATTTAATTTGAACTTCTCTATTCTGCCTTCCCTGTAATCATTACTTATTCCCAAAACAAGTCTCTCCCAGCAAACCAAGAGAGCTAGTTCATAATCATTCAAAACCTAAACAAACACATCTACAAAATTGGTTTAAAGCATTTAAGAAACTAGAACCAGGCATATTGTACTGAATATAAAAATGGGCCCAGCACTAAAAAAAAAGTTGGATTCCCACAGAGTTACACCCAGGCTTATTGCAAGGAAAGGGGATTGGGTTACAGAGCATGCATGTATTTCAGCCCTCCTTTTGTCAGTAAGTAAATTAAGATAGGTCCCTCCTTAATGCCTACTTTCTAGTAATCTTTTCGTTTAAGAGTAGGTGGCTAGCCTTTGATGAGATACAAATAGAATGTCCATATGTTCTTGTTCTGAACTATTTTGCAAAAAGCCATTCTCATTTCCAAAGTCAGGGGAATCTATTTATAATTCAGATAAGAAGGGAATATTTCAGATAACTAGATATACCGACAAAAATACTGCCGATCTAATTTACTGACAAAAATACTGCCAATCTAATCTTTCTTAGTATTTTGACCTGAAACGTAATGGAATGGCTCACATGACATAATAAGACAGGAAGAAACCACACTGTGGCTTAAGGTATTATATGTTCTGCCCATTGTAATGCATGCAACCAGCCATAAATCTAATCCTAACATATTATGAATTATCATGAAATAGTTGATTGTGATTTTAAGATCATACTTAAAGAGACACATATTGAATATTGCTCAAGAGCAAATCAATAATGAATATATACATTGGCTTTCCTTAATTTGGTATCTTCATGAGGTTTTGACTGCAACAGATGTGAATGGTGAAAGAAGGGTTTGATATTTGTGCTACATCATAGGTTCTGTCTATTAAATAAACCACAATTAGCCAAATTCATACAATATACTGAATCATAAACCATAGTTTATAAACTCTAATAGCTGGGTTCTTATTGCATGTTATATTGCAATATATTGTAGATATCTTTGGCCTAGCAAATTGTATGAATATTGCCATCTGATGATGGCAAAACATTGTTTTTGTACCATTTTTTTATTATCTGCTCAAAGAACTGCGAAATGTCATTATTCTGGACATTCCCACTGTTTTGACCATATAGATCAGGGGTAGTCAACCTTGGCTCTTTTATGACTCGTGGACTTCAACTCCCAGAATTCCTGAGCCAGCTTAGCTGGCTCAGGAATTCTGGGAGTTGAAGTCCACGAGTCATAAAAGAGCCAAGGTTGATTACCCCTGATATAGATAATCCTCGACTAAAAATTACAATTGCATGGACAAAAGTGACTTGCAACTGATTCTCACACTTATAACTGTTACGACATCCCAACAGTCACGTAATCAAAATTTGGATGCTTGGCAACTGGCATGTATTTACGATGATTGCACTACCCTAGGGTGAGGTGATCACCATTTGCAACCTTCCCAGCTGGTTTCCAAGAACAAAGTTACTGGGGGAAGTTGGATTTGCTGTGATTCACTTCATAACTGCAGGGATCCTGTGGCAAAAAAATTTGTAAAATCGGGTACACCTTACTTAACAATCATCTTTCTTAGTAACGGAAATTCTATTTCCAGTTGCGATCATAAGTCAAGGACTACCTTTGTTTACTTTCCCCTTGATTGGGCAATACATGGTTCCTGAAATTTTCCTAAATTTAATCTGCAGCCCCTGACTAAGGTTACCAGATACCTGATTAAGTAAAGGATATGGACAACCGGAAAGGAAGACACACTAACTTCCAATTTCTTGATATCTGTGATAAAAATTGTATTAAAAAAACAGTTAAGTCTACATGTATTCAAAATTATATTTTCCAGTTTCAAAAAACTAGTTTTTCAATCATAATAGTTTTCCAACAGATCTTTAGTGCTAGCAGACTTGACAATGATGTGCTTTTTAAATTTTATTATAGAAAAGTATGACTCATGTGATCTACAGACCACAGTGATCATGGATTTGAAGGGGCTGCATTAAAGCCGATTGCAGGAATCAGGAAGTAAATTAACATGTAAATATCGACCATTGAGTCTATCAATGGACAAGGGAAATAAAGCAGCAGACAATTTAGAAGATCACAATACACAAAAGATTGAATGACTACCGTAGTGAAGATTTAAAAAGCCAGACAATATTGATTTTAGGCTAAGCTTGCCAAACGGAGAACATGAGGCTAAAAAGGAGGACGTCGTCCTTTTGCTGAACATTGCCCCACCTAAGAACCTATGAAGTAGTGGTCATGCTTAATTTCAGAAAGGGCTTGGTTGGAGCTGTGGCAAGAAATCTTTATACATCAACTAAGACTGCAGCGTTAAGTCTGCTGGAAAGGGGAAATTGGGCTGAAGTTAGCTTATCCAAGACAATCAGCCTTCCTTAATCCAGCATCCTACAATTAAAAATCCCTGTTGCTGATGGGTGATGGGAGTTACATTCCACAATAGCTTTAATGCTGGTCAAAGATCATAGAGAAATACCAGTAGATCTACACAATATCCAAGAAAGGTGGAACTATTGTTTGAAAAAGGGAAACTGACTTTATGGAAACTGAAGTCATTAGAGTGGATTATTTTCAGAATGCTAATACAGTCAGTCTAGGCACAAGATCTAGATTGTGGATTTCCTGTTTCACAGATCAATTTCCAATATAAGGTGGCATTCCTGAAGTTCTTTCCTAAAAAGCTTTCCATCTTTTCCAACTAATTGAATTCAACTAGCTCTGTTTATGAGAAAGCACCTTTGTATGATAATGTATAGTTGAAGGATCATATAATTGTTCTTACATTAAAATGTCTACAGTATGCACTATATTACCATGTTTTCCCGAAAATAAGACCCGGTCTTACTTTTTTTTTTTGTTTCCGAAAGAGGCACCAGGTCTTATTTGGGGAGGGGTGTCTTTTCCATTTACCTTCGGCACTGACAGCCCCACCGGCCCACTTGTTCTGCAGCAGAAGGAGCAGCTTCATTCTGCAGCTAAGAATGGAGGTTTGGCCTGCATTTTGCAGTTAAAGGCCTTTTCCAGAAGGCCACTGCAGTTGAGAACCGAGCTATGGATTGAATCCATACCTTTGTTCTTGGCTGCAGTGGCCTTCCGGAAACGCCTCTGACTGTGAAATACAGGCTGGGGATGCCACAGAAGAAGTTGGCCAGGAAGAGAGGTAAGTGGGTGTGGGGCACGTGGGGCAGCTCCACACCCCTACCCCAGCTTTAGGTGTGTGCCTCGCCCCCAAACTAGGGCTTATTTTGGGAGTATGACTTATATTAGGCCCACCCCCAAAATCAAGCTAGGGCTTATTTTTGGGGTGGGTCTTACTTTCGGGGAAACACGATATGGGAAATATTTGTCAATCTCTCAAGAAACCAGGTTTAGAATATCTCTGAGCCTTGTCCAAAGGAGAAGGCAACTGATATGGAAGAGGTTCCTGTTATTCGCAATATGAACAGGATCTTGGATTATAGTACATTGAACACTTAATAGAAATGGAAACCAGCCATATCTCACATGCAAGCAAAGAAATTTAGTATAAATACAACATTAATTAAAACACATTTATGTCTTTTGACATTTGTAGCCACTATCCCACTGATTTTAATGTGAATGTTCTTCACATTAAATGGCAAGTTGCATCTTATTATTAGATGCAGGAAAGTAAACCTGGAGAGAAAATCCAGTACTATATATAGTTCCCACTTCCCTATTATATTACTGCAAGGGTGCTGAAAATCACATTTTGTAGAATGTCAAAACTGACATAATATGTCTGCTTTTATCTGAGTACAGGAAGGGGAATCGCATTTGATTTGTACCGAAGAAGAGATTTATAAATATACAGTCTTTATACTCTGCCTGGTCTTTGGTTGGCTGATGGCTCTGTGAGCTGCTTTCCAAAGGTATTCAAAAGGTTTGTTTCCTATTCCCCAGCAGCTCTGCCCAAATACTCAAGACCAGGAGAAAGAGAAATACTTGGATCTTTTATAGAATACACATAATCCTCCATTAATGATCACTCATTCAGTGTCTGTTTTTTTTTTTTTATTAAAGAGTTTTATAAATTTTACAAAAAATAAGAAACAATACAAAAACAAAAAACAACATATACAAATAAAAAACAAACATTACCCAACAAAACCCCCCTTCCCCCACCCCTACCCAAACTCCCCCTTCCCCCCCCCCAGGACCTCCCAGAGCAGAATATAGGCTTAATTAAAGAAAAAGTTAAAAAAAATTATAAAAAAAGAATATAAAATAGAATATATATATATATATATAAAGTTAAAAATTATGAAAAAACTATATAATATTTTTTATATCAAATTTAAATTGTATGAATTTTATCCATTTATCCCAAACAGCAAGAAATTTCTCTTGCGTTTGTCCCTTTAAGAAAGCCGAAATCTTTGCCATTTCCGCCAAATGAGACACTTTAAGAAACCATTCCTGCAATGTAGGCAAAGATTCCTTCTTCCAATATTGTCCTACTAACAGCCTCGCAGCTGTTATCAAGTTTAACATCAATATAACCTCCTTTGTGTCACAATCAGTAACTATACCTAACAAAAATAATTGTGGAGTAAATTTTACCCTCCTTTTAAAAATTCTCTGGATATTCCACCATATCTTAATCCAGAATGCTTTTATCTCTCTGCACGACCACCAAATATGATAATAAGTAGCATCCATACAACCACATCTCCAACATTTAGGTTGTAAGTCAGGGTACATAAAAGACATTTTTTGTGGATCAAGGTGCCATCTATAAAACATTTTATAAAAATTCTCCCTTAAGTTCTGTGCTTGTGTAAATTTGACATTTCTCACCCAAATAATTTCCCAGGTGTCCAATGGAACTGGCTCACCAAAATTCTGCGCCCATCTAATCATACAATCTTTAATTAGTTCCATTCAGTGTCTGTTGAAAATAGAGTGGTGCTGAATAAATGGCGGTTACATACAGTCAAAGCTCTAGATGTCTCAACACCCCTGTGACTACGTAAACATGATCTGGGCACTTGGCAGCCAGTTCACAAGTCAGTTGCGGAATCTCATGGTTGCGTAATTGTGATTTACCATTTTCCTTGCCAGCTTCCCATAATCAAAATCAACGAACGTGTAGTGAATTTAATTTCTTTGCCTTCGTTCTGGTGATGTTCATATACAAAGATGTTTTGGTTGTTTGAAGACAGTCTGAGCTGTGGAAGTATGACTGGAGTGGCAGAAATTGATAAGTCAGTCTCGTGCTTAATTTCAGTTTTCTAAGCCATACATATAGACTACATTATCTTCTTTTGTATTTCCAACATCAGTACTCCAATCTCCAATCACGAGCAGCACAACATATTTACATATTCTGTTGATTTCATATATCAACAGAATATGCATCAGTAGTTAGAGCATAAACATGGATGCTTATGTTTTCTATACATGTGGTTTTCTTCATAAAAATACAGACATGGTTTATCATTGCCCTTTTCCACAGTGTAAATCGAAAGTGATCATGTGTTTCACATCTCCCTATATCACTGCAGCATAATAACACTTAGACTTTTATACTGCTTCACAGTGCTTTACAGCCCTTTCTAAGTGGTTTACAGAGTCAGCATATTGCCCCCAACAATCTGGGTCCTCATTTTACTGATCGAAGAAGGTTGAAAGGCTGAGTCAATCTTGAGCTGGTAAGACTTGAACTTCTGAACTGCTGGCAATCAGCAGCCGCAGAATTAGCCTGCAATACTGCATTCTAACCACCGCACCACCACAGCCCTTAGGCACCTTCTGCTTTAGCTGGACAGCAATAGCAATAACACATACCGCTTCATAGTGCTTTACAGTCCTCTCTAAATAGTTTACAGTCAGCATATTGTCCCCAACAATCTGGGTCATCATTTTAGCGACCTTGGAAGGATGGAAGGCTGAGTCAACCTGAAGCCGGTCAGGATCAACCTATTTAGTATATATTTGATAGTCAGATATACAGTCAGTCACATCTGACCCTCCTAAAAATTTCTTGGCACACACTTCAACATTCTTCACTCAGCCACAATTAAGCAACAGAACAGGATATGGGGAGGGGAGCAATATATGCATACACTGAATTAAAAATGTCAGGGCAGGGAGGGAATCCTAATATGAATATTGTTTTGTTTAGTATTTCATTATTTCTGCAAGCTAAGAATAGACAGGGTGAACATTTAAGGAGACCTGCTGGATTAGCACAAAGTCAATTTAATCTAGTATTTTACCACAACCAAAAAATTCTATGTAATTCTCCTTTTCTTCTTTCCCCTTGTTAGCATAAATACAGAGCTATGGACATTGCAATCTTTTTTTGAATCAGAATTGTTCATTATTGTTTCTCTCAAATTGTCTTTGCTGGTTTTTAATACCATTTTTTGACATACATTGAGTGGTTTGAAAAACTACATAAACTGATGCAGGTGATTTGTCAGAGCAGATCAGAATTAACGTGAACAATATCCAACATAGAGATGAATACTACGCTTGGCATCTGGGGTTCTATGTTTATCTGTCCAAAGCTTTTAAACTAGAATTTGGAGTTGCACATTATCATATGGAAATTGTCCCAGTTATTTATGTGGTTAAATAAGATGCAGAATGAAATTATGCAAATCTTTATTACAACCTGGGACAGCAATGGCTCCTAACACAGGCAGAATAGAGGTGATTTAAACTATCCTATGGCCGCGTTGGCAAAGCAGGTTGCGTAAAGCTGCATTAAATGATTTGTGCAAAACCAGGGTTTGGAAGAAAACCCTCCTCGGCGGCTGTCGTGAGAGAGCGATGGAAGCTTCCCGCATCCGCGCACGAGGCAGCGACAGCCGCTCTCCTTCCATCACGCAGGCGCGTCACCATGAGCAAAAAAGAGGACAAGCGCGTTCTCTTGAGTTCTTCGACACGCCCCTTCCTCTCGTCAACACACCCCTTCGGGAACCTTGGCATTCGGCCACGCCCCCTCCGCCTGTGACCCGAGCAGGGGCGGATCCTTCGTTACACCACACCCATTCCTATTACGGCTCGTTCCAGCGCCACGCCCTCGACTCCCCCACCCATCCCGACTGTCCTCGGTAGCAAGCGGCAGTTGGAGGAAGCCGAGGAGAGTAGCTCGTGGGGAGTGGAAGGGAGAAGGGGGGGGGGAAAGGGCGTCGAGCGGAGCGCGTGTTCGACGGCGTCCGCGAGAGAAGCCGGGAGTGACCGACCGACCGATCGCCTGCCTGCCTTTGGAGGGGGAGGGGTAGCCTGCGAACAGCATGGCGGCTGGGCGCGAGCCCCCGCCGCCGCCTCCTCCTCCTCCTCGTCATCATCTCCCTCGGTTCCCTGCCAGCCCCTTGGCCACCGCCGCTCGAGCGTCGAGGCCCACCGACCTTCTTCTCCCTCTGCCCCACTGACTGTCAGAAGAGGGAAAAAGAAGATACAGGGAAGGACGGAAAGAAGCCTCGCCCTACCCGGGCCATCCCGGCCATGGAGCTCGCCAAGCCGGTTTTCCCCGCGCTGCCGCAGCCCAAAGAGGACTCCGAGGTGAGCGAGCCGTTCGCCGAGCCGTCGCCCCTTGGGGAACCTCGCGATCCCACCCCACCCCCGCCACCTGGGGAAGGCGCTCTCCCGCGCCCGCCCCATTTAAAGCCAAACGCGCACAGGTGTTCCACTTGCTAGGCAGGTGGTGGTGGTGGTGGGAAGCGGAATCACGTTGTAATCGGTGTGCCGCGTTAAATAAACATTTCCTCGCGGGTTACAAGGTTTGTTTTGGGAGCCCGTCCTCCTTCCTTTTTGCTGCCCTGTGTCAGGAATAAGGAGGAGTGACCGGAAGGGAGCTCGGTCCAAGGGAACGCGCCTGTTATTCCTGCCTGGCTTCGTGTGTTTTTCTATAGCCTGTTTCAGACTAGACTAGAGTTGGAGTGTCTTATTTTAGCCTTTCAGCGTGCACGAATAGAACCATATTGTTGCCCTGTAGTATCTTCTAGGAACTCGCACACCCATTTAATGACATGCATGCACACCACACTACCATCTAGAGTTCTTCTATGAGACAACCCATATTATTAGGGAATTTGCTCAAAGTATTTGGGGGGGGTGGGTGTTTGTCATTATGTAGGTATCCTCCAGGCATCCCTTTTAATATCTTCTGACACTATAGAATGATCCAGTTGTGTCCCCCAAATCTATTTTAATTAATCTGTTCTAAATTGAAACTAGTTTCTTTCCTCTTTGAGATGGGAAACATGCCAGAATTGTATTATAAAAATCAGAAACGGAACTCAGCAAAAAGAACAACTTCTTGACACCATTAAAACCTGTGTCATAGCTCATTTTATTTTATATTCTTGCACTGTATTCTACTGTCCTTGCTCTTCCTAAAATATGAAGTATGTCTGCTAGTCACTCAAAGGTTGCCCATTCTTGGGACATGCTCTAGTATCTTACATTGCTCCTGCTTATATTTCTGTGCTTTCCTTTATATCCCTGTATATAGTGAATGCTATCACAGCAAGGGGTAGCACAGCAATCTGACTAATCTTGAAGAAGCTGTGAACTTTGTAATCACTTTATATATTGTTAACTACTTAACTTTCAGACTCAAGGAGCTGGAATAGCATAAGCTATATTTGTCTTGCAGATAAGATTGGTGCACCTATTTATTTCCTTTCCTTTTGAAAAGCATAATTTTTGTAACCTTTGTACAAAAAAAAAGATTATAATCATATAGGTGATTACACAAACTTTAATTACTAGAACTGTTGGGACTAAATCTTCATAAATTTACATTTTAAAAAATATAGCATAAAATATTGCGATCGCTGATCAGAATTATAGTGAAAAAGCTGTGTTGGTCCATAGAAAGGGGGGGGGGGAAACATCCAAATGTAGATTGTTAGTTAGTTCCTTTATTGGGACCAACCAGAATTGTTTTACAGACCATTTAATGGTGAAGAACTCGGAATTTGCATGCTCTTTTCTGCTATTTTGATTGGTCCTGATTATGATATTGTCCAACTGTGTATTTTGGGTAAATGTTATAATAGCCAAGGGGCTTAATTTTAAATTAAGTCAAATTTAACAAGCAAGAAGGAAATGCAGTTGAACTCAGTGACATTGGCAGAAATAGGTTTCACTGCTTCGTCTCTCTACCTTTAGATGCAGCCTGCTAAAAAAAATTTGATGATGCATATGGTTCTGGAAGAGGAGGTCCTAAATGGCTGTTGGTTAGAAGATGGAATGCGCATGGCAGTTTTACTTTTTTTTTAATGGAGCCAGTTTTCTATATGTTGGTATGATTGTTCATCTGATAGTTCCAGTAGACTAGTCCAAATATTGGACTAGATATTTATGAACCAAGTCAGCAAGGGATTTTGGAACAGTAGAAGGAAAACAGTTAGAAAGTACTAACTTACCATTATTCTAATATTGGCAGTTCATACAATATATCTAATGTAAATCCATTATTAACATTTTCTCCATATTAGATGAAAGCCTAATGTATATTTGCAATGGGAAATAGGATTTTTCAACATTCCCCCCCCCATTGAAATCTATATGAGAGAGCTTATTTTTACTACTTTGGTGAATAATAACTTTTGAGAAGAGGCAACAAACATTGGACTTGCCACAAAGTCCATTATTGTTTGAAATTAAGGCATGAACTTAGATCAGGTATGTCAAACTGCAGGCCTGCGGGCCGGATGCATCATACTTGAAACTGCACCCACCCCATTGCCGGCAATGGGGAAAAAATTGCGATATGTCAGCGTTGACATTGCGAATTTGACATGCCTGACTTAGATCTAATGTAGTTCCTCTGTTAAATCGTGTTCCCACGATTTGTTATTAAAGGCAGATTTCTGTTTCTATTTTTTTTATCAGTGATACTGTAAAATTAATATAATGCCACTTATACTCTAGCTTCTTTCAACACCATGGTACAGCTGAGTTCCAGATATTGAAAACACTATGGATGAGGTTTATTATTTCTGTTTCAAGCTCAAAATACTATACAGTACTTGCAGAATGGTCAGCATTGGAACACTATGAGTAAGGTCAGAATTGTTGCAAACTAAAAATGGCCTTTTAAGTTTAGAGCATTTCAGATTTGAAACATTTTGTATTAGGGAAAATGTTAGTGATTTGCTAGTTTTCAAATAGATGTATATTTCTATGGAATTGTGGAAATCTGTTTTAGAGACAATTAGTATCCACTAAGAGTTAGGCAGCTTAGAATGTGCATCTCAAACCAATGCTCTGGATAAAAATATCTTATTATAAATTGGTTGTGTTTTTGCAAGAATCAGGTAATATCGAGGGATCCAAATTAAGGCTTTTGTCTATTGCTTTCTAATTAATCTGATTCTCTTTGTGATAATCTGTAGGATATTTAGCTTGTCTGGAAGACATTTGATTTCCCATTTCTTTGTCTGAATTTCTCACTCTAGGAGGAAGGACATATGTCATTTTCTTCATAATTCATATTTCAGCCAGCTCTGACAAAGTGGCGGTTATAGTGGACATGGCAGTTTGCATTCTCTGCTGCTGCTTTTTAATGATTGTACTTTATCAGCTTAGCTGTATATTTAGATGCCTTCTGCTTGTGTCTGAAATAAATGCTCAGCAAGACTATGTTCTATATGTTCATCTCTGTTATTAGTAAAGCATATAATTTGCTGTTTGCTATCTTATATTAAGCATTTCAAAATATTTATATTTCAATACTGCTCTCTACTGTAATGACAGATAATCTTAAGATTTATTTACTTATTAAATTTTTGTGCAGTTTTGTTTTCTAAAAGTAATATCAGATGAACTATTAGAGTATTGTTTGCTTTTTATTAGCACACATATTACAGCTAATTTGTTTTTCTTTTACTATATATTGGCCAGACATTTGCAGTTTTGGGGGAATCAGTGCTCTTTTTCAATTGCTTCCTGTTTTATAGTATTTAATTCAATGCTTACATGCTGTTCAAGTGTAGAATCTCTATATTAGCCTTCATTGAGCATGTATATGGGCAGCAAATTGATGTACAAGGTGAACTAATTCAAAATGAGGAAAAAGCTCCTATATGTCAGAAACTTTTGTTAGTTTTCTTTTAACATTATTTAATTGATGATTTAAGAAATTGATTATTTAAACTAGGGAGGCAGTAACTGGATTTAAACATTGCACTAAAATGTATGTGGCTTATTTCTAGTTTGTATTGCATGTTGATGTTGAGACTTATAAAGTGAGGTTTATTTAGTTTATTAATATGATTTTAGCTAATTATGATAAAGTGGTACTTAATAATCATGTACTGTTGGCCTATTATTAGTAATATCTCAATCATAGTCCTGACTTTCAGAGAAAGTCATCAGTTAGTGGGAGAAGTGACTGATTATATTTAGAAAATTAAAATTCTGGAAATCTTTCAATTAACATAGACTTAACATTGCATTTCTTCCTTAAAACATTTTCCATGGTTATTTACACATTTCTTCTAATAATACCGGTAGTTCTGAACCACTAATATTTCTCCAGGTTTTTTACAAATTGGTAATTGTACATAACCATGTTGAAGTTCAGCTGGGATTCAGTGTCCAGGTTATATCTTGCTTCATGGACAAATGAAAAATCTCACTTTGGGTGTACTTAGAAATTCTTATGCCATTGTAGTCCTCATAAATGTATAAAAATGTTTTCCAGGATAACTTTAGTAAAAGTATTTTCCAGGATAACTTTAGTAATGAAAAATTACAAGATCAAACCTATAGCTTTGTTAGTTTGTTTAACCTGTCATTTTCATCTTGCATTTTTTCCAGAACCTCACTATTTTGACTGGTCTTATATTCAAATGAGAAAATGTGTTTTATTTCTTCCACTTAGGATTGGACATATCCAATGAGAAGAGAGATGCAGGTATGGAAATTTTATTTACTATGTATTTGGGCTGCTGCAGAGCTTGTAGCAACTTCATGAAAACATATGCTGACATCTGACATTAGGCAATGAAAAAAATTGATGCGGCAAATTCATTTCATGCTTGTAATATATTGCAAATCATAAATAAATTAGGGGGAAAACCCCAGCAACACCAAGGAAGGATGGTTGCTATAAAATATCTGGGAAATTGTCCTAAAAACTAGCCTTTTTATTATCTACTTAATAGATTTGTAACCAAGGAGGTCGGGGTAGCAAGGGATTACAATATATTATTATGCTTTTGAAAGATTCTCATTTGAAAGAGCTATAGACCCTAGACCCAAATCTGGCCTTTTCTTCTGACCTCTTCAGATAGTTGCTAATGTAGGCTATTCCAATAATCACTACCTCTGCCAGTCCTGAGTAATATACATTCTGTACACATTTCTGTCATTCTGTCGACACTCTGAATTCAGAGGATGGGAATATATCTAGATATTCAAGCCTTGTGGACCAACGAAATATTAAGAATTAATTTTCATAAAATAGTTACCATAGCTATTTCACAGAAGTGAAGCTATCATAATTTAAAAAAACTTGTTCAAGAATTCTAGTCAAGTGACAGGTGAGGTTTTAGTTAAAATCTTAAGTCTATTCTTTTGAACCCATAATTTTTAATTTCCATGCTCATTTCAGGAAAGTTGAATAAGATACCTAACTGCTACCAGAAACTAAATGAAAAGCAAAGATAAAGTCTAAAGTCTAATTGGTATACTCATCTCCAATTTTCCATCGTAGGCAAAATATCCATGTGTAATGTGTACCATACATTCATGCTGGCAAATAACCAAACAGGTATACACAAATAAGCACAAAAGTTGTATCATCCCCCCAAATCAATATATTCTGCTCAAGGACAATTTTTTAAAAATGGGCAAATGTATTTAGCTTTGGTATTTAATTTTCATTAAATTAGCCTCTCAGAAAATCTGTAGTCCCTGGGATACTTTGTGCCCACCCTCTAAATTGGTATTTTTTAACCTTAGCAACTTGAAGATAGGTAGACTTCAACCCCCCAGAATTTTTCAGCCAGCATAGCTGTCTGGGAAATACTGAGAGTTGAGGTCCATACATCTTCAAACTGTCAAGTTTGAGAAAAGCTGCTCTAAATAATAATGTTCTTTTTTATTATTATTAGTTGGGCACAATTCTGGATAAAGCTCAAGGTTCTGTTAACTTTTTTTGAAATGAAATATAGTTTTCCAGACTACATTCCACTCTTAGCATGAAAGTTTCACTGTTAATATTTTTGTACCTTAAAAAAAAGCTAAAGAGCCTAGCTGGCACTTAAGGAGACACAGGAATCATATTAAAAAACACAGGAAAATGCATTGTCTAGAATTGTTTTGCCTTTAATCATTGCATAGCAGGCAGAAATTCATTTTCTTACTAAAAGATGCCATGAAGAAAAGCTTGGCCTATTGAATTTCTACCCATCAGGTAGGCAGGAGCATCACCAGAAAACGTGTTTTGAGAAATGGTTCTACAAAAAAGTATAGAAGAAGTGTATTCATCTTGGTTATAAATTACCAAGTTCAGAGAAAATAAGGTGATATTGATATGAACAGGAAAAATAAAAGTGAAAATTGGGCTTGGGTTAAACACGTAATGAAAATTGGGACTGAAAAATTCAGTTTTTTATATATATAGAAACAGTCTGGAATAACTTGAGAGATGTGTATATTTTTTTTCCTTCAAATCTTTGAAGGTTTTGAATTTCTTCTATAGATTACAGGATTAGTCCAGAATGAGTTTGAAGAGGAAAAGAAGCACAATGATATATAAGTGATGGCGAACCTTTTAGAGACCACGTGTCCAAACTGCAATCCAAAACCCACTTATGTATTGTCGGGTGCCGGGTGGGTGTGGCCCGGGTGGGTGTGACCAGTTGGGTGTGTGTGGCCCTTTGCATGGGCATGTCTTCGATGGTAATGGCAGACTGGGCAGGACTAAAAAGTTCAATCAATTCGAATTTTGCAAGATCTTTTTTTTTTTCCTGTGAGAAGTTGAAATTGATTGATTGAACCTTTTTTTTTTTTTTTTTTTTTGCACACAGCGGCGGAGGCCTAAAGCGAAAAGGTTTTATAAAACCCAGCTGAAGGTCTAGGACTGGGGCGACGATGCACATGCCCACAGAGAGGGCTCTGCGTGCCACCTGTGGCACACATGCCATAGGTTCGCCACCACGGCAATATATTATAGCACAGAGACAAACAGTTCTTGGCATTTTAGTTGGGGTTGCAATCATACTTATTCATGTTCCTTTCTTTTTCTTTTTCCAAGAAAAAGCACCAAGTAACTTCCTAGCAAAAATAGCAAATTCATAAAATTTATAAAACAATTATTGTACTCTATCTGAGTTCATTAAGCTTCATCAAACATGAGATTGTTATTTGAATTCTGGCATGGCCTTTGGCCACGAAGATCAAAAAGTTTCTCCTGTGATTTAACATGTACTTAGGGTATGCAGTATTCTTTTGTAGCCCTGTGCTGATTTATAAGAAAATAAACCTGGCCTACTGGCTTGTGTTTTTCTCAAGTGTATTTTAATAGGGCCAGAAGTAATTTAAGACTAATCTTCAATATTGCAATAATATAATTCTTGTTATACATTAATGTTGTGCCTTGTAAATTTTGTATGCGTGTTTATTTTCTTCCCATCCTCTTACTCACTGTTCTTCTTTATTTTATTTTATTTTTTAGGAAATTTTACCTGGCTTATTCTTAGGCCCATACTCTTCAGCTATGAAAAGTAAGGTAGGTTGTCTGCAACCTTTTTACACTGAGCAGTTTGTGTGTAAATTATCTTGATCACGAGTGTCAAACTCGCTGCATCAAGTGACGTATTGTGATGTATCTCGACTTTTTTCACATTGCTGGAGCTGGGGTGGGCGCAGCCTCCACATAATGCAACTGGCCTGCAGGCCGGAGTTTGACACCCCTGATCTAGATGCTTTCTTCAGGACATGTTCCTTTCCCCCCTTCATTGTGGATTTTTGTCATTGAATTAAGGAAGGCTTTTTTGGCCTTGTATGTACTTTAATTGTTAGAAAATATATTTACCCTGCTGTTATATACCTTTTAAATATTGTTGTTGCAGTTTAATTTTTAGCTAGGTATTTCTGATTTCTGCCTGGAGAAAGGGGTATAGGAAACATTTCAATAAAAATAAAAGCATTGTTGCAGCATTGATTGACCTTTGAGATATTTATACTTTCTGCAGATGCACTATTTCAGTGATGGTGAACCTTTTAGAGACCGAGTGCCCCAAAACTGTCCCCATCCCCCACTCCGCTCCCCTCCCTGCCCGTTCCACCCCACCCTGTATGCTCTACCCCTGCTCCGCCCCGCCCCACTCGCCCACAGAGCTACCCACTGCCTCCATGGCCTGCTGCAGATTGCCCAGGCGGTCCAGCAGTGTCATGGCAGCCACGCCCTCCACCCGCACCCCGCAGCATCAACTGCACGTGACAGGCTGTGAGGACAGAGTCTTGTTCCCATTGCCCAACTGTCACGTCCTTGGCTGTGCTGCTCTGCATGGGCTGCGCTCGGGGGTGACTCTCTTCCAGGGGGCTGCTGGTGAGGATGGGGCCATGGGGGAGGTGGGGGTTGGAGCAACGGCACATGTGCCCACAGAGAAGGGTCCGAGTGCACACATGCCATAGGTTCGCCACCACTGCACTATTTCATTATAGAACAGTCAGAAGACTGAAAATCCTTCTAAAGTTCATGTATGTTATAGCAGTTAGGTATCTTATTCAACTACTATGTTCGTGGTTTCTAGCTTATTAAATTTATTTTAGGCAAAGAGCCTAATCAATTGGGCTGTTACAGAGATGCTGAATATTTTCAGCCAGGACATATATGGGGTGGGGGTGGGGGAGGGAAATATTCTATATTGCTATTTTAGTGTAATTATTTTATTTATTTTTATTTATTTTTTTAAATTTGTTTGTTGGTCATCTCATATATAACTATATTGATTATTTAATTAACTATTAGCTACTAAAATGCAGTTCTACTGTTTTAAAGTTTCTTTCTGGATTGGTATCAGCCATACATTGAATTTTTTACTTGTTCATAATTTCATTTTGTAGCTACCTACACTTCAGAAACATGGGATCACTCATGTAATATGCATAAGACAAAACATTGAAGCGAACTTTATTAAACCAAACTTCCAGCACTTATTTAGGTAAGAAAATTTTAAATAAATTATGCTTTGAAAACAACGATCTTTTGTACAAAATATACTTTTCAGGATAGTATATACTATATCATTTATATACTCTTATAAGTGTCTTCATAGTTCACAGTAACTGACAAGCATAGATAAAAGTATTGGAAAGAGATATGTAAGGTTATCTGTTTTCTTCCTTCCCTAAGATGAGAATGATACAAAGAGGAAAAATGAGATAAAATCTTGAAATGTAGTAAATGTTGTGATAATGTACTTCAAGTTCTATCAAATATGTCAAAAATTTTGATTTTTATACAGTATAAATTTCTAGTTCTCATAATTCCAAAAAGGTATCCAGGTGACTTATTAGTCTATATTCCAAAGGTTCAGATGTTTCATATGAAGTGAATAGATCAGTTGCATTTACAGTATCATTTTGTATCTCTAGAGCAGTGCCCCCCCCCAATCGTTTGGGCACCAGGGACCCGTTCTGTGGAGAGAGATTTTTTCTGTGGACTGAAGGGGGAGTGGTTTCGTGTGTTGTCTGCATCCTGTGGATGGGGCTCTAATTGTTTGTATGGCCTTGTTTCTGGCATGCTGCAGCCCAATGCCGGTCCAGAGATCGGGGGTTGGGGATCCCTGCTCCAGGGCTTTTGATTTCAGATACAGTCATTGGAACACAGCTGTCAAACCTACAAAACTACTTTTGGTTACAGCCATCTTTCTTCGTTTTTCGACTTGCCACAGCTATGGGGAGAGGGAAGATGCATTCTTCTAGTTAAGTCATAACACTAACTTTCTTTTGGGAACCAAGGTCAAATCGCTCAAGTGTTTGGCGACCTTAGAGAGCCCGCCAAAGGTGTTAATTGCAGAATGTGATTTATTACATATTTAGTGGGTGGGGAGTTTAACTTTTACTTTGTAACCTTTTGGGGAGGGGACTTCCAGTCTTGGTTTCACCTTTCTTCGTGCTGATATTATGTACCCATTACAATTGTTCTTTGAGGAAAGCAATTGCCTCAGAGTTCTTATTTCTACTGGTCTCGTCTATCGGAACCATGACAACAGCTTTATAAGTGAACGTGAGACACCTGTCCTTTCTTCAGTACTTGATACACAGAATTTTGCTAACTTCCTAAATCAGTTGGGCTTCAGTTACTATTCAGTTGCTTATCTCAAATATTAACTACAGATTTGTGTTAGTGGTTTAATAAGAAATTTCATTTAGTAATATATAAATATATTTAATTACAGATGATAGAATTAATGGTAATTCTTTTGCTTCATAAATAACATTCCATAATGCTTCCTGCATTTTTTGCAATCTTGAAGCAGGAAACTCCATTATTATTATTATTATTATTATTATTATTATTATTATTATTAAGTTGGAAAGGACCTTGGAGGTCATTTAGTCCAACCCCATGCTCAGGTAGGAAAACCTATACCATTTCAGACAAATGGCATTGCTAATAACTTTTTCTTCTGCTAGAGGCTTTGAACAATTTAAACCGCTAGTTTTATTGCTGGACCAAATGTGCTATGTTGCATTTGTATGTGGCAAATAGTTCAACATATATACCTGATTTATAATAATACAAACTACAAGTAATCTTTGACTTTACAACAGTTCATTTAGTGAGCATTCAAAGTTACCACAATACTGGGAAAAGTGACTTATGACCCTTTTTCACACTTAACGATCACTACAGCATCCTCATGGTCACATGATCAAAATTCAGTTGCTTGGCAATTAACTCATATTTACGATGGTTGCTGTGTCCTGGGGTCATGTGATCACTTTTTGACAAGCAAAGTTAATGGAGCAGCCAGATTCACTTAACAAATGTATTACTAATTTAACAACTGCAGTGATTCACTTAACAACTGTGGTAAGAAAGTCCGTAAAATGGGCCAAAACTCACTTAACAACTATCTCACTTCACAACAGAAATTTTGGGCTCAATTGTGATCATACGTTGAGGACTTCCTATATTTATCTTTCTGCTTCCATGTTATCTATTGGCTGACACTAATTCCTCAAGATTTCAGGCAGAATTTTACCAAAGACTACTTGGGGGTGGTAGGAATAGAACTTGGAGAGCTGTTTTGAAAAAATATAGAATCAAAGAAACATTATTAATCCTTGTTGCACTGTGATTTTTCTTCTGAAATTTTCATTTAATTTTATTTTGCCTTCTAGAATATTTAGGTGTGTTTCAGCAGAGGAGGGATCATCAGAAACTCTAAAGAGTTTAATCTCTGAGAATAAACCACTCTCTCAATGAGCTCCATGATTTAATGTTTTATGGCCGTTCAACATTCTAGAAAATGAATAGTCCTGTCTATGTATTTAACACACTTATTTTAATTGTAGGTATTTGGTCTTGGATATTGCTGATAATCCCATTGAAAATATAATAAGGTTTTTCCCAATGGTAAGTGTCCATCATTACGAGTTAAATTATTTCATAAGCATATATTTTAGAACTGAATGAAGGTAATGCTAAGAGTGAAGAAGTATCTATAATTGAAATAATTCAGGTAAATAAACTTTATCTTTGATTAGAGTAGCAGTGACCAATCATATTACATGAAACACTGTAATGAATTGATAAGCGTGGCATATTGTGATTCATAATATATCCTTTTCTTGGTAAACATGAGCTTTCTTCTGCATTCTGCAATTTACATTACAGAGCAAATGGAGAAAACATTGCCTTTTCTTTTTTTTAATAAATATGTTATTAATTTTCTAATTTTATAATTATGAGTACTTAATAAACATGTTGTCTAGATCCATTGGTAATTCAGTGGTACATATTAACTTTCTCAGTCTAGTTCCAATACTACACCATCCAGTGCTTCCTTGGTCCTCTCTTCTTCTGGTGGTATGCATTTTTCCACACTGGGCAAAAACAATTCTTGCTACTGTTAATACATATACAATTAAATATAGACATTTTCATCACATTTTTCTGGTATCATACATAATATCGATAGTGTCAGTTTATAATATCTTTTCCAACCAGAACATATCTCAATTTTATCAACATGTTGAGTAGCTTTGCACCATGGCAATGCAAACTGCTCCTTTTATACATGCATGCATTGTCACAGTGAAGTAATGTTTTCATTTGATTTTCTTCCTCAAGCCACTATTAATTAATGTGCTCAGGTTTTTTATCTTTTCAATTTAAGCACATCTATGTAAAGTATGTTGTTGACCTCATCTGGTTATTGCATTTCCAACAATTTTTAGAGAATCCCAGTAACTGTAGTTCTCTATGGTTCTCTACAGATTTTATTTCATTCTATAGTAATTCCTGTGTGATATTTTAAAACCTGAGAAGTTTTTATGATATACTATGAGTCGGATTATGATTGAAAGTAATCATTTTGAAGCATTTTGATAAATCATGATATAAACATTTTTATATTATGCCCCTGCCTGAGCAGGGGGTTGGACTAGATGATCTCCAAGGTCTCTTCCAACTTTATTCTACTACATTATTATTATTATTATTATTATTATTATTATTATTATTATTATTATATAAGAAGCTAGGCAATTGCTAACACTACATTATTTTTGTAAATAATGCATTATGTTTTGTGAATAATGTGAACTTTTTCTGCAGAAGTTACTTAAATTATATAATAAAACTGATTTGTTCTATCAGTGTAAGATGTTTAATAAACTGGAAAGGAATGGTATTTTTTTCTTTAGACTAAGGAGTTTATTGATGGGAGTTTACAAACTGGAGGTATGTATCTTAAATTGTTTGCCTGAAAATTGGACAAATTGTAGCTTTTTTTCAAATTAATTATATAGAGATACAAACTGTATGCGATAAAAATACTTTGCCATAGAATGGGCATTATTATTTATAGGCTTGTTCTTTTTTACAACTTTGATAACTTTCTGATACCTAGAATAGTTTTTTTTACAAATCAAAGACTTTAGGGAACAAATTTTTTCTTGCCATTATGTAAGGGTGTGCATAAACTTTTACTGTCAAGAGGCCTTAGAGCAAAGAGGTGCAGTGCATGAACTACACAGCCGCCCCCCCCCACACACACATGCACCCTGTCCATTTGTAACCCATGGTATTGTTGAATGTTAGTGACACAATGGATGCTTTGTAGTAACACAGTCTGTTCCCCCCTCCCCCTGCCCTTTTTGTTGGTGCATGGATGTTTTCTTGGGTGGCAGATGTCTCCAATTTCTATCTTGATGTTAGGTTAAATGGCACAATATTACAGTCTTTCAAAGATGATGATATTTATTTATTTATTTTTGAGACTTATATACCGCTTTAAGTGCAAGCACTCTCTAAGCGGTGTATATTTACATTGCCCCCAACAATCTGGGTCCTGGATATGTTTCTGTAAAGATAGGAATATGACCTAATGTTCTTATTTCCATTTTTAACCTGCCCTTCCCACACTAAAATTGACAGCCTTGCCCTTTTCAGTAGTGTCACGGAATGCACTCTTCCAGTTCTCTAGAAAGACTGAGTTACTTTCCCTGGTGATTTAATATTAGTCAATCTTTGCCTTAGGGGCTAATTTGAACAGATGACTACATGAAAGAATTCTGTTAGCCTTCCTTTACCAATCAAAGAGAATAAAGCTTCTTAGCCTAGAAGTCTGCATCTAGCTTAAATTATATATGGTATTACTGCTGATATTTAGTCAATCTTAGTTTGTGATATAGATCAGGGTTTTTCAAACTGTGTCCATAGTATCCTATAAGAATGCGATGGGGTTCCCTGAAAGACTAAGGGTGGAGCAGGATCGTTGGAATATAGCTGGGACTTCAATTCCCAGAATTTGAAATGAACTGAGCTTATTTTCTCACCCCCCCCCCCAAAAAAAACGTGCTTGCAATTTTGCAGATCAGATTTCTGTTTTTTTTAATGAACAGATTTTGTCTCTGAAAACGTTCATAGATCCCTGATTTAATTTATATAGTATATTTTATTTATCAGCTGATCCACAAGATAGCTCATAATATTGTGTTTATGTATGTTCACACAATCAGAATATAGCGTAACAGTAGGAAGGGACTTTGGAGGTCTTCTAGTCCAAAGCCAGTTCAAGCAGGAGAGACTATACCAGGGGTTCTCAACCTTGGCAACTTTAAGACTTGTGGACTTCAATTCCTAGAATTCCTCAGCCAGCTTTGCTGGCTGAGGAATTCTGGGAGTTGAAGTCCACAAGTCTTAAAGTTGCCAAGGTTGAGAACCCCTGGACTATACCATTTCAGACAAGTGGCTGTCCAGTTTCTTCTTAAAATCTTCCAGTGTTAGTTTTCTGTATCCAAGCAGAGGCCATGTTTATGCTTCCCTTCTACTCTGCAGCTCCAGGGCAAGTGGCAGTTGGAAGCAAGTGTTCATTTTGTCAAATAAATACCTTGCTACTATTTCATAAATAGATGGGCCAAGCAGATTTCCCATTTGCCATGCTAATCTTACTGAGGGATTGGGGTTGCAGTTTCCAAGAACTCTCTGATATTATGTTTAATCTTAATAAACCCCCTTGTGGATCTTGCAGATAAGTGGTACTATGTACTGTAATGTAAATAATATAATACAAGAGGAGGAAATGCTATATAGCCAGTATAAAGTAACTCTCTTCATTCTCAGGAAAAGTTCTTGTGCATGGGAACGCAGGGATTTCTAGAAGGTAACAAAAATTCACATTTTAAAAAATATTGATGAGGCATGACCAACATATCTTACCTTGTTTATCTGTCTGCTTTCAGTGCTGCCTTAGTTATTGCATATATTATGGAAACATTTGGTGTGAAGTACAGGTAAGAATGTTTACTAAATAGCCTATTATATTTCGGGATAGGGGAATTTTAAAAGAATTAGATGTCTTTAAAGCAAATTCTTGGTGTCTTCACAGAAATTATTCCCCTTTTTTGAATTCAACTTTTGAAAATTTGTTTAAACCATGTTTGTTTAATACCACCAATATTGCTTTTAAATATCACATACCAGATATAAACAAATAGTATTAAGCACAGAACAAAATGCTATTTATTTATGTGTGGCATGTTACATTTAAAAACAGCAATATATTTGCCTAAGTATGTCATTATATTAGGTATTATTAAGAATTTCATATGCAACTTCTATATAAAGAATATTTTGGAAGTATGAAAGTTTGATACATTTTGAACACATTCCTTATCGCATATCAAGGCTTGGCTAACACTAGCACAGAGATTCTAATATATTATTATAAACAGCAAATAAAACAACAAATAAAAATAAAGGAAAATATTAAGAAAGTAAATCAGAAACCAAAACAAATGGACATGAATGGATCTTTTTTCTAGGGATGCATTTACGTATGTGCAAGAAAGAAGGTTTTGTATTAATCCCAATGCTGGATTTGTTCATCAGCTTCAGGTAAATTCTTTTTCTGTCCATTGATAATGAAGATTTTATTACTAATTCTCTAGGTAGTGATACCTTATTGTCTGAAATGCATTGATGTTCTGATTTCTGGATGTTGTTTATATTTTCCAGTATAGTGGGTTATTTTTTAAAAAAATATATATTTACTTGGACATTGAAATTTTGGGTTTTTTAATGTGAATTTGAAATTTAAAATACTGAAATGAAATGTGAGTGGATAAGCTTAGCCAAATATCTAAACTAGAAACTTAAATATTAAAAGGAGTTTTATGATTAATAGAATTTCTAAAATATATGGCAGAGGTAGTTCAGATTCTGGAATAACCACCAATGAGCTGTCATCTTCCATGGCCGCAGGAGATCTTTAAACCAGTTTTCATTCTTTCACATCCCATGTTCAAATACTGATTCAAATTTAGATAGCATATCATGCTTGCTTGAGCTGTGTGTTATTTATGTATGTGCAATCAGCTTCTACTTTCCTGCTTGTTCTCCTTTCATTGAAATATTCCAGTAAAAAGATACAGGAGGCCAAGTCTTCCTCCAGAGAAGTAGCAACAGTGATTTCCCCCCCCCCAAATCTAGATTTAATTTAATCAAGTGGAAATAAATTGCTTATCTCCCTTTTCTCATCCAAATCTGTTTCTCAATTTCCTAAAATATTTAAGTTTTCCTGACTTGTAATATTTATATGCTCTTGTTGGTTTTTCCATTGGTTGCTTTTTGTCTTAGAATCTTGACACAGAGCGATTTCTGCACGTTTTATGTAATTCTTCAGGTCTTCTTGTTTTAGGAATATGAAGCCATCTATCTAGCAAAGTTAACTATCCAGATGATGTCACCTCGGCAGCTGGAGCGATCACTCTCAGTTACTACAGGTGTGATCTTAATACAGGTGTATAGCTATAACTTTTTTCATGTAGGCTGTATGTATGAGGGAAGGGGTGGTGCCTTCTTCCTTGATGAAGACAGTAGTGTGTTCCCTCGTCAATAAAATCATTTTTAATCTTGCTAACTCTTAATAACTGTCAACTTATTCAACACATTGCATAACTGTCAACTTACTCAACACAAGAGTCACTTTAGATATTGAGATGGGTCACATACAATAAAATTAAAAAATTAAAATGAAATAAACATTCCCTTTCTAGGGAGAATGGTTGGACTACACTTACCATTAGATGAATTAGTTTATCTGGACCTTTCTTTCCTTGGCTTTGGAACTGAGTGTTGGACTGAAACTATGTTGTTTGCTCTTGTTGGTGACATTTGGCAGGATTGGGATGACTATGATTCCTCTGATTGTGCTGGACCTTTCAGCGTCCTGTGATACCAATTGCCCATGGTATTTGGGGTTGGGAATGAGAGAATGCTGTCTTTCTGAGTGGTCATCTCCAATAAGTGATGAGTGGGGAGAAACTGAGCCCTTTATAGCTTCATTGAGTCCCTGAAGGGCTCTGTCCTGTCTCCTATTTAACATTTACATGAAGCAACTAGGAGAGGTCATATGCTGGCATAAGATGAGGTATCATTGATATACGGATGATACTTCATTATATAGAGACCCAGTTTAGTGTAGTGGTTAAAATGATTGCCAAGAAACCAGGAAACTCTGAATTCCAGTCCCAGCTTAGGCATGAACGCCAGCTGGCTGATTTTGGGCCAGTCACTGTCTCTCAGCCCAACTCATCTCAGAGTTGTTGTGAAAATGAGGAGGAAGGAGTATTGTTTGCTGCCTTATTTATAAAGTAATAAAGGTTGGATAAAAAAATCTAATAAATGAAAATGAAGTAGTAAATGAAGCTTTTCACTCTGAGCCAGATGATGACCAAATGCCTAAAGACTATTATATATGGATGAGAAGAAAAAAGCTTAGACTGAATTCTACTAAAACACATGGCAGCAAACTTTGAAGCAAATTGAGTCCACATATCAACTCTAGATAGATTTCCATTTTCCCAGACAAAGCTGGCCTGCAAGTTGAAGGTCTTTGTATGATGCTGGTTGCTACAAAGGAAAAATGGAAGCCACAGCAAAGGTTGGCCTTGCACAGTTACATATTATCTGCCAATTTTAGTGTTTCCTGGATCAGGAGGCACTTGTTACCACACACTGGATTATTGCAATGCATTTTACATGGGGCTATCCTTGAAGACCATCCAAAAGTTTTAACACATGTAACAAGCACAATCTGGGTAGTTACGGACATGTGGAGATTCAACTCTATAACATTACTATAGGCAGTCCTCGCTTACCAATCCTCGTTCAGCATATAAAGTTTAATGGTGCTAAACAAGAAGTACATATGATCAGTTTGTATTATGTGATTCATAATACACATATTACGCAGTGACAACTGCTCACCCATACAGTGATATAATTGCCATTTGTGACCTTCTCCACTGGCTTGTTACAAGCCAAGTAAATGGGGAAGCTGGCAGCAACTCCCATAAGTCACTTCTGCCACTTTTCCTCCCAAAGAGCTCCTGGGCAGCAGAGTGAGTGCAGGTCCCTGACAGGCAGACAACTGCCTACCTGTCTGTACTCATGCCAGGATCTACCTTCCTGCGTTCATGCCATCCAGCCTCCAGCCTTTCTGCACTCAGGCCATACCATCCATTCCTGGCCTTTCTATACTTTCACTGCAGTCCAATTCAGCCTTCCTGTGCTCGCGTCACAGCCTTCCCCTCTTATGCCAGCCTGCTTGTGAGCCACCTAAGGAAAGGTTTGTCGTGACTGGGTCTTCCAGTTTCCAATTGGCTTCCCCATTGACTTTGTTTGTTGGAGGCCAGTCAGAAGTTGCAAGTCCTGGTTATGTGAGGCTCTTACTTGAAGATCTGTGGTAGTCATTTAACAATGGTAACAGGGACTATTGGGACTGCCATTGCTAAGTAATGTGGTCATATACCATATATAATCTATATGGTATAGATTCTCCTGCTCAAGTAGGGGGCTGGACTAGAAGACTTTTAAATTCCCTTCCAGCTTTATTCTATTCTGTCCTAATTTACAATGCATTGCATAGTGATGGAAATTCTGGTCCCAATTACAGTGGCTGCCAGTTAACTTCTGGATGCATGTCACCTTTATAAATCTTCAAGCTTGGATATCACCAAGACTGTCTTCTTGAGATTGACTCTGCCCCTCCCATAATATATATATATATTAATATTGTAAACCATTCAGTTTCTTCAAAAATGGGGCAGCATGTGAGTTTATAACTTCCGCCACAAATACATTTTGTTTTAAAGTAAATAAGTAAAAAAGCAAAGGAAAAATAATAAAGGAAAATAAAGAAAAAAGTGGTTATGATATGAATTAAGGTAACACTTCACTAGGGAGACCTTCTGATTGAGGTTCTGAGGAGTCTGGGGGAGCGAAGTGACTTTCAAAGGAGAGAGATGTGTGTTCGATGTAAAATGAATTTTGCACAGTAAGTAGAATATCTGTTTTTAAACTATTTCAACTACTATGTATGCTTAATATATACAAATTCTGAAGGAATTTTTAGTCTGCCAGATAAAATAAAATACTTAAAATTTCTGATTCTTATCAAGCTATTTTTTTTCCTAGAATACATTTTTCTTACTGCCTAATCGCTTGAATTTTATTGCCTGCTTCATAGGAAGTCTGAAACGAACACATGAAGAGGAGGAAGAAAGCAGCGTACAAGCAGCAGCTCCAAATGGTTGACAGCTGAAGATACCTGGACTTGATTGTTGGGAGTTTTATAGCAGCTTCTAACCCTGGCAAGATGAACAACCAGATACAAATTTAAAAATGGAAGATTCTAACTTCCTTATGCAAACTTGTTCCTTCAGTAGCATACAAGGCAACATTTTTAAGGTATTAGATTCCTTGATTGATTAGAAGGCACTGATTTTTTTTTTTTTTTACACTTTATAGTTTTATCCTTACCCCAAAGTTTTGGACTTGCAAAGAGGTATTATTGCAATAATGCACTTTTCATACTTGAAATTTATTTGTATTGATAAAATTATTACTTAAGCAAAACATGTGTTGGGAGATTATTATTTATATCATTTTGTGTAATTTATAAGAAGAGTAAAACGAGAAAAAAAAATAACCATGAGTTGTATTTTCCATTTTCCAAGTTTAAGCTTCAGGAAGAAAATTGATTAAAACTACTGTGATTATCTTGAAATAAAAACAGTAGGGATCATTATCACTGATATATTAAAATAGAAAATTAATATTTTCTTTCAAATAAAAAGGTTTTTTGTCTTCTAAGTTTTTAAGAAGAGACTAGACAATCATTTGTCTGAAATGGTATAGGGTTTCCTGCCTGCCTGAGCAGGGGGTTGGACTAGAAGATCTCCAAGGTCCCTTCTTACACCACCACTACTACTACTACTACTACTACTACTACTACTACTACTACTACTACATCATCTACATCATTTGGCTTCCAGGCAAGAGTCCATTGTAAGACCATTTTTCTAGTAGGAATCGACAAAATAGATTCAAGCAGACAAATAACAATATATGATCATTGACCCTTCAGTTATCAATATCTTGTTTTCCAGTATGTCATTCTGTTTTTCATCCCTAATAATATCTGCTGCCAATGAAGTATCCTTCAAATTCTCTTGATAAATGCTAAACTGCAAAGATCTGAATTAAGTAATCAGCAATATTTTTAGATATAATTGAAAGCAGTGGGTTTTTAGAAAAAACGTCCAGTGTCTGTAATTTACACTTTAGTCCCATACAACCTTCAAGAGATCAGTGGAGCATATATATCTATATCCATTCAGCTCAAACTGAAATCTTTAGATGGTTTGTTTGAAGTTTTAAAAAGGCTGGTACTGTTTTCCCTTTTCTGTCTGTTTAGTAAATGAGTTGCAGAAGTTTGCAATTCATTTACTAAATTTACCTTTTCTTTCATTACCCAAAACCACTTATCAGAAAGTCTTATTTAAACACTGATTATTCTGCTTAGGATGGAGATGGCAGAAGAATAGTCACATTGATGAAATATACTTATTCATCCAATAACAGAATTTAGAAAAACATGGAAGAGCTGTAAAAAATAACTTTGCAGAAAATCCTTGCATCTAATTAAACAGCACTTATAGACTCTCCCAAATAAATTTGATATTCTTGGCAGGTGGGAATATATAGATTCACCAAATGTATCCTTTTCTCCATTGATATGTGAAACTGAATCAGCAATTTTCAAAGGGAATGATTCAGCAAGACAATGAACTTATGTTTAGGTGTACAATTCAATAATGCTTCTTTTAGTTTGAGAAGTAATTTAATATTCACTATCCAATGATACTTGTTTAAAACAGATGCATTTTAATAGCATTTCCCAAATATCTGTATAAAATATCTGGCACCAAGAAGAAAACCAATACATCAAAATAATCACAAACCCCATTTATTTAGATTTTACAATAATTTTTTAAAATATTGAATAAATATTCAAATAACTTCAAAATTAGAGTACCTTAAAATATGAGATGGAATGACTATCCCTACTTTCTGTAGCCATCTGTGATTCAATTTTTGAAGCTTATCATTATAGAAGACTTGTACCACATAATCTCATAATGCCCATTATAATTATTTCCTTCAAAATTACAGGGAAATGGGGAGTTATTTTTGTTACTATCCAGTAATATGCAGGCGGTGCTAAAAGTGCTACTCTTCTGGCCTACCTGCATTCCTTTAGAAGTGCTTATTGTTCAAACAGAATTTTGCATTTTTAAAAGACTTTTAGGGGCATATGGATGCTTTGTACTTTAAGAACTGTCTTTAAAAACTGCACAAACGCCCCACTTTTGACATAGCCCTGATTACTTTTAGAGCAGGGGTCCCCAACCTGTGGGCCGTGGCCCGGTGGCCAACAGGCCAGAGATCAGTACTGGGAATGGCTGGCGAGTGCATGCACGTGTGCCAGTGGCCCATTTGCACATGTGCGCAGGAGCTAGTGGCCCATTTGCAGGTTTGTGAGCGCTAGCTCTGCTGTCATGACTGTTTTGCGCCTGTGCATGCGCACATTTCCCTGCTCCTCCCTTTCCTTTTGGGCCGCCAACCCGGAAAGGTTGGGAGGTCTGTTTTAGAGGGTGGATGAGCGAACATGGTATGTGTATAATGAAACAAAGTGCTATATTATTTCTCCTAAAACAAAAATGAAAGCATAATGAAAAGTCAGGCTTTTGTAGGATCTACTCAGTACATTAACAGACAGTAATTACACTTAATGGCAAATAAGATTTTAAGCACAAAACACCTGTGAAACATATTTTACAGAAAGTATGTATTTAAAAATTGATAGATTTTGCATATCCCAAGTTTTGCTTCAATTTGTGAAATGGTCTAGACAAACTTTTGGGAAACAGTACTGACTGGGGAATGGTAAAACCTTTGGTTCAACATATTTAAAGGGCACCAAGTTGGGAAAGGTGAAGGTGAGGTATTTCAGTATATCAGCCCAAGCATAGAATGCCACTTGTAATAATTTCTCTTCATTGTGAGTGCAATAGAACCAATAAAACCAAGCTACATATCTATATTAGGAATTATTCATTTTGAAGTGCATTAAAGGTCAACGTAAAAAGAAAAACTTGTAAGTTTTTTCTTTGTGACAAAAAAATTACAAAAACATTCTCAACATACTACTCACTGTTTAGCTGCTAACAAAAAGCAGCACATTACAGGAAAATGCAGGGCAAGGAAACAAAACCCATCAAATTAAAATTTATTTTGGGCTAGAAACCATCCTTACCTTGCACAGATGGCTCCTGTCCTAGCTATCAAAAACAATGTACGGGCTGAATAGGAAACTTCTTAGGTTACCTTGGTAACGAGGAAACCTAAAATCAAAGTCTGTAGAATAGTCTCATATCTATTCATTATTTATTTGCAGGGAATTTGCTTTCTGTAAAGAGAAGTCAGTAGTACAAGCTCCACCACCAATAGTTGATTAAGAGATGACAGCAGGAAATTCTTTAATTGAAGAACCTTAGGCACATATAGTTTTCTTCAGATACTAAGTATCCAAACTTTGTATAGAAAGCTACATTTTTCGGCATACACTCTAGAGTAATTTTGTAGCAATTTAGTCTCTTGCTTAGCAATGTAAGAGTTGACATCAATCTTTAAAAGAGAGAACAAAAAGAAATAAGATTAAATTTGCAGGATGTGAGGACAACTATTTAAGACTGTACTAGTAATGGGGCATACCTGTTTTTATATCCACTACTACTATCAAATGATAGCCCCGATGGGCCAAATTGGCTATCGCCCTTAAAATATTAAAAGATTTTTTTAAAAAAAAAAAACAATCACTGGAAATCTATGCATTAGCTGCCAATGCATTGGAAACAATACTTTTTGGGCCCTACATGATTCCTTTCAAAAATGTATTAAGAAAATACAGCTTATTTTTGGCCATCGGAATAGCGTGTAGCAAACTTCAGATGATGGGAAACTTGGTTCCCCAAAGGGAAACAACTGGATAGAATGAAACTAGTTTTGAATTATCTGCAAAGTGCTAACTATGTGCCAGGTGACACCAGCAGTGTTAATGAAAGAGAAGTTTGGCATATAGAATGTTTGCTCACAGAATTTTGTTAGCATTTAAGAGGCAGTTCTTCAATTATAAGTGATCACAATTATGAATAATTACTTACAGTTTTCCAAGCTGTTTTCCTCTGCAATCTCCACTTACAACAACATCTTCTATTCTGCCCCTCTGAAAATAAGTTAATACTATTTAAAAAGGTCAAGTTCCAAAATGTATCCAGAATGCATACTTTTTCTTCTTTGTACATACCTTTGCGCATGAGTGAGTGAACTTATGTTCTATGACTAAGGTTGCAGTAGCTACAATCTCTCCTAGTTTAGTGTCTTCCACAACTGTAACATAGTAGTCCCCAGAACTCCGCATGTGTTCGAAATTTTCTGTGGAAATGTAGGCAGGAATACGAATACTATTGATAATGGATTCAACAGTTCCTCAGTATCAGGCTTTCTTGCAGCTCTGTCATGTTTGCTAGCTCAGGATGCACTGCACCTGAACTGGGACAAGCAGATGAATAGGATTGTGAGAGGATTCTATGGGAAAGGCAAGCATGTGCATTGACAGTGTGGTCAAACTGGCAGACTGCCCAGAAACTATGTAATTATTTCAGTTGCTATCTAGGCCAGAGCTATGGAGCCTATGAGCCAATTGATCCCTCACTTCCACAATCCACCTGCAACACAGAGAATAAAAAATGGGTCTTTTTTTAGGGGTGGATTCTGTGCAAAATAGGTGTTTTATTCTCTTCCAACGTATGACCAAAGTACAGGAAGCTTTAAGTGGTAATGTAAATTATTTTTCCAAACTTTTAAAAACGGTATCTTAAGGAGTTAATCATGAAGAGATTCTGCCACTGAACCTGACTTTCCTTTTCCATTTTTCCAAACAGCAAAAAATTAGAGATACTTACCAAGAAATTGCTGGGGGCTAACAGTTCCAGTTTCAGTCAGTTGACCTAGAACTTTTAAAAAGCCTACAAAAATGTTTTCATATTTTAGAATGTTCTTAGACAAAGCCATCAATACAGAATAGAGTGAAAATAAAACTCTACAAATGATATAATAGAGCCAACACCGTCATATTCCACATAAAAGTAATAAACAATAAATCCCACAAAAATATTTAAAGATGCTGAGAGTAAAAGCTTCAGTTCAAAAATGCATCCAAATTCTGCATCAGTAGTATCTGTGGCCTCTACACTTCATGCTCATTGTTTGTTTTATTATTATTACTACTACTATTGTTATTATTGTTATTGTTGTTGTTGTTGAGTTAAAGGGAACCTTTTAGGTCTTCTAGTCCAATCCCCTGCTTAGACAGGAATCCCTATACCATTTCACACAAATGGTTGTCCAATCTCTTCTTAAAAACTTTCAGTGTTTTTAAGTGTTTCAGAGCATTCACAACTTCTGGAGGCAGGTTGTTCCACTAATTTATTGTTCTAACTGTCAGGAAATTTCTCCTTAGTTCTAGGTTGCTTCTCTCTTTGATTAGTTTCCATCCGTTGCTTCTTGTCCTGCCTTCAGGTGCTTTGGAGAATAGCTTGACTCCCTCTTCTTTGTTGCAACCCCTGAGATATTGGAACACTGCTATCATGTCACCCCTTGTCCTTCTTTTCATTAAACTAGACATACCCAATTCCAACAATCATTCTTTATATGTTGTAGCCTCCAGTTCCCTAATCATCTTTGTTGCTCTTCTCTGTTCTCTTTCTAGAGTCTCAACATCTTTTTTACATCGTGGTAACCAAAACTGGATGCAGTAGTCCAAGTGTGGTCTTACCAAGGCGTTATAAAGTGATATTAAGACTTCACGTTATCTTGATTCTTTCCCTCTGTTAATGCAGCCTAGCACTCTGTTGGCTTTTTTGGCAGCTGTAGTACACTGTTGGCTCATATTTAAGTGATTGTCCACTAGGAGTCCAAGATCCCTCTCTTAAGAATCATATCAACATATAGAAGAAATTAGGAACATGCAATTGTAAGAAAACCAGAATATTCAGATTCTTTTATATCTTTTAAGCTGAATGGGGACCACAGTTTCGTAAAAAGTTTTTCTATGCTACATATTCTCAGCTTCAAAAATTGAAGTTATTCTCCACACAAAGTCATTATCATCTGAATTGTTTTTGAATTTTCTCTGGATGAAGAGAACAAGTGCTTTGAAGCATATTCTCTTTACTCTGCTAATGGAACCTAACAATTATAAGTTTTATGTTAGTAAACATGCAATTTGACCCAATCATTCCCCTTTAATTCAACTATGAAACATAATTCAAAATTAATAAATACCTCTGTTGATGTCAGTACTGCAAAGAGGTCTTAAAACTAGACCATCTCCTGGATCCTCAGGAGAAATAACAGGAGAAAATGTCACAGTATTTAGGGTCCAATCAAGTTCTTCAAGAAGGTGAGGATCATACATTGGTGTGCTCTCGAGTTTTTTTATTGCAGCAGGCATCATGGCAACTGAAATTGAAGCAAGAACCACGGAAAGTGAATTACATCTTAACTCACATATTTGCCAATATTGTAAAATTGAATGGGAAAAGGATTCCTCTCATTTAATTTATACATTGTCTTTTTAAAATTAAAATATTAAACTATGATACATTCCATCTGATTAAAATAAAAATCAGACTACAGTAATTTAAGGTTGGACGAGGATGGCTATGATGCAAAAGAAAGTAAATAGTGCAATAGTGCACACACACACACACACCAAGCTAGCTTCTCAGAGACTTGGGTTCTGATTTATATTCCTACCATTGGCACAAAACCAGCTGAGTGATGTTGGGCCAGTCACTCATTCAGCTCTGGTAAGGCAAGGGCAAATCACTTCCAAAGATCTTGCCAAGAAAGTTGCAGTTACCAAGAGTCAAGAATGACTTGTAAGCATTATAAGAGTAGGAGAATGCACTTTTTCCTTCACCTGTTTAGGAATAAACCTCTCTGAATCCATTGGGATTTACTTCTACCCAAGAGTACATTGTCATTCTTTCCAACCCAATAGGATGTTGAAAAAATACTACATTAAGAGAAATTAGGACTATCTACTTCTGTAAACAGTCTAGGTAGGACAACATTTGCCTTGGTACGAGACACCAAAGAAAGACTGAATTCAAAAAGAGATCCATGGGAGAAAAAGAAATAAAAATAATAATAAAACCCCAATGTAGCCCTATAGGACACAATAGTTCAGTGTAGTGCCACCTCCTCCATTCTAAAGTATTCATCACATGAAATATCATCTCTGGGGAGAAAGTTCACGTACATGCAAACATGTTCAACAATATCTTTATGTAAACATTAGAAAATGATGCAAATTGCAACAATTATTTTTAATGGCAGGACTGGATATTTTTGTTAAAATGATGAAAATGGCATGCCATAAGGCATACCCTTTTTGTATGTGTGCATGATGTCAAGTGTTTACATCATGAGGCTCCTTTCATCATTTACTATGATTGCCACCAGAAGTATCTCCAATTGTCCAGGCTTTTTCAAAAACTACCGATTTTGACTGTTACCGGGGGATGAAATCTGAAATAAAAGTTATTCTTTGCATTTGAAGATCACTGATTGGAAGGGCTTTTTATGGTTGAGAGGATAGTGAAGCAGATAAGATGACCAACATTCCTCCTTTAATCACCACAGGTGAAACACAAAAGGCTTGATATTCAGACTTCAAATCGAACTTGAACCTAAGAACCAAGAACTGCTCATTCTTAGCAACTCTTTAATCTTATGTACAATAAGGGGGAGGGGTTGAGAGAGCATCTGCTACAATCCACAGGCATCTACCCAACTACAGAATGGAGAACACAAATGTAGTTTCAGAAGACTACAAGCAAGACAATATGGTCCATGAATGAACAGCTTCTCTTAATTACAGAATGCCACATGCAAAGACCAGGATTGAAAGACCACAAAAGCAGTTTCTTTGCCAGTTAATTACTGCATTTCAATGCAACCTTTGAAACCAAGTACTCTTTTAATGTATCATGGAAGAAATACATATTTGTAGGAATTTTATTTTTAAATCTCTAATCTGAAAGAAATTTTGAGGATATTGGCCATTTTCTTTCAATGTTTAAATTTATATGCCACCCATCTCATTCTGAGAAGCCATTCTGGATGATTTAAAAGCAGAAGATAAAAAATAATCTTATTAACACTTTTATTGCAGGACATGGAAGCATCTCTGGGGGCTTTGATGTTCTCTGAGCTTGGTTCCACCAAGGAACCACTCAGACCACTCCCACCAATACTGACAATCTACTAGTATATAAAAGGGCAATCTACTGACTAGTATATAAAAAAGAGCAAAATCCACTCTCTATTAGCACTGATGAGGTTACCTAATTTGGTAATGAAATCTCTGCAAGAAAACAACCAAGCTCAGAGAGCACCAAAGTCTCCACAGTTCAATCCTGAGCTACAAATATAATCTGTGCATCTGGTGTGCACAACACAGCAATGGAAAAGGTGGAGAAAATAAACAAGGAAATGGACGGCTATAATTCTGCATTCTTATTTGCCAATTACTTGAGAGTTAACTAGTTATGTAAAAACTAATTATAAATGATAGAGAATACTGCTTTTCCTAGGCTCACATTATGTACCCACTAGCATTACAAATAGACTAGAGGTGAACATTTAAAAGTCTGACTACCCTTAGATTCTTAAACCTCTGTGAAAAGAGAGGGAGAAAGCAACTAGCGACATAGGCCATTATAGCGTTTAAGGATAAGTTAAATATTAGCGTGCCAGGCTCAACTAGGATGCCTCCCAGGATGCGGGGGAGGGGGCGGAGGTCGGGGATCCCAGGCAACCCGGAGCGCCCTCTCGGCCCCAAAGACCACCCGGGAGGCTAGAGACCCTCTTAGGACTCTCCCTCGCCGAAGCTCCGCTCCGACCCCGGAGGAATTCCGGAGGAGCCGGAGTTCTTTGGCTGAACCGCGGCGCTTGCCTGGCCGTTCAGCGTAAACTTTCTCTCTCACACAATCAGGAGGAACGACACGAGGCGCTAGCGAGGACAGAGTCAGACCCGAGGAATGGAAGACGCTCTGCACATGGGCAGAGGCGCTCTTGTTACCCGGCGAGCGCACCTTCCGTTGGGGAAGCCGATCACGGAGCTGGGGGGGGGGGGTCGCCCGCGAGAGCTTCCCTCTTTTCCCGCGCCACCAGCTCCTCCAAATCACCGTGCGCGCACGTCAGTCACTCACCCCCTCACGGACTCCGTCGCACGCACTCCACGCTACCGGCTTCTAGGTAAGCTCCAGCTCACCCTCTCAGCGCGCAGGCGCAATTCAACCGACGTGGCAAATCCGGGAGGGCGGTGCTAGGGTCCTCCTTTCAGACACAAGGGTGATGAAAGTGGCCAATCGGAAACTTCCATCATTGTACAGCCTCATCTCGTACCCTCGCGAGGTGGGAAAGTGCTATATAACCGTCCACCCGGAAGCGCGCATGCGTAACATTGTTTTGAAGCTTGGCAAGTTGTTTCTCCGTTGGTTTGCTTTCTCCCATTCAAGAAGATGAATTTTCCCTCCGCCCCCCCACCATCCTAATCACTGTTTTGGAGAGTTTTGGGGTTTATTTTGCCTTCATGTAAAGTGATCTCAGGAAATACCGCTTTGCCACAGTGGTGCGGACTCTGAGGATGTAGCATTTCCCCCCCCATTCAGTCGTTTCCGATTCTCGGATATGTCCTGCAGTTTTCTTAGCAAGGTTTTCCTTAGCCTCTTTACATTATATCATTAAATGGTTTGAGCGGGCTAATTTATGCCGAGGTTAAGGCTATAAGATTATTGGACTTCAATTCCCATAGTTCCTGTTTAGCCTTGTGGTTCGCTCAGGCAAGGAATTCTGGGAGTTGTGGGCCTGGTCGGGGAGGGGGGAATAAAAAATCTCAATGGCCACTAGATGGCACCAAGGAGCCAGAGTTCGCTGTATTCCTTGCCTTGTATTTGTAGCGGTTACCCAGATATTTGCACCCGATTTGTTATAGTATGGTATGAGGAATGCATAGTTGTGTATCTGCACAGTTCATGCTAGATTCATGGGATGTGCGCAATTTAGGAGAGCTTTTCCCCTTCTAACTTGGTGGCATTCAGATGGGTTGAAATATATATCACCCATTATTCTCATCCCAGATGATTGTTTTCCACTGGATCGTGATGGCAAGGAACATAAGAAATTAGCCCGGATAATTTACCATAATTGTCAGGCAACAGATCTCTTTTATAACCAGGTGCCAGATTATTTTATTGAATTATTAAGCAAAGCCATCGCTTAATATTTAGATGGAGGATGATCTAGGAATTCCAGGTTGGAAATCCAGAGGCTGAAATAAAAGCAATAGCAAATCACTTCTGTAAGGCTGCCAAGACAGATACAGAGTTGCAGTAATAGCATTTGTGTTTCTTTTTTACTCAGATCTCAAGGCCATTGTGATGTATACTACTGATCATTATTATTGTTATTTATCTTCATGATTGTTGATATGTTAACTTATCACAGCCCAGAGTTACATGTGAGATGTGTGTCCATATAAAATGTTCAAATAAATAAAATGTATAAATCAAGCTGATGCTAAGTACCACAGCACCTTCACCTTTTTATTATTTTAATCTGAAATAAACATATAACCTACCTGTGAGCTACAGTTCCTTATCCCAGCTGTCATACAGAGGCATGAATAAATGTAGGCAACAGCTTAGTAGTTCCAGGATGGATTTCTTCCTTACATCCTTTCTGTGTCTTTCATACTATTTCTCCAGTCTCATGAGTCACCTATTACTATGGAAATATCCAAAATGATTCAGCTTTTGATGCAGACAATCCATCAGCGTAATCCAAATATTTTTGGATTAGGCACACCCAAAAGATCCCTGCTCTTTCTTCCACAGTTTTCAAATATAATTTGTAAACTCTATGAAAACAGTAAACTAGCCTTCCTATGCTTGATACTTTCCAGTTACATTGGACTACATTTCCTATCATTTCTACCATCCATGAGCTTTTATTCCATGCATTATCAAACAGGACCCTGTAAAGCAGTGGTTCTCAACCTGTGGGTCGGGACCCCATTTGGGGTCAAACAACCATTTCACGGGGGTCACCAAACAAGGCTGTCCACCACTTTTTCCCCCTTTCTTTGGCCACGCCCCTGGAACCCGGTGATGTATAAGTGGTTGGGGGTCATCACAACATGGGGAACTGTATTATGGGGTCGCGGCATTAGAAAGGTTGAGAACCACTGCTGTAAAGAATGAAACTCATTAGTGGAAAGCAAGGATTGAAGGGTACAATATATTCCAAAGAGAAACACACCAGAGGCCAGTGGAGCAGAAGTGACCTTAATTTCCTGGCAATCAGTGGAATGGCTTGCCTCCAGAAGTTCTGGGGGTTCCATCAGGTCTGTTCTGTTCTCTTCTGTCCTGTCCTATTATTTTGATGGAAATCCATTAATTTGAGCATGAGGGCACAGTTGAGATTATTTGGATAAGAATATAAGAAAGAAAGGGGAAAATGTTGTGAATATGGGGAGAGGGGTTGCTATAGATCACCAACTTAGACAGACGGTCTCCTGGTCCATATTACAGAACATTTGTGGAGGACAAAAAACATAGTGATAATGGGAGATTCAGACATTGTTAGGAAAAGTCAAGATGGCAAGGTTTCCAAAATCTCTTGCTGATCTTGCTCATAGCTTCACTTTCTAGAAAGTTGAAAAGCAAGGGATTCAATTCTAATCAATAGGGAAGAGTTGGTTGAAGAAATAAAGATAGTTGCAATCTTGGGGGAAGTAATTGTATTATTATGGAGTTTAGAATACTGAAAGAGAAATTAGAGCATAGTCATATACGCAAACTAGGTTTCAGGACATCCAATTTCAAACTTAAAAGAAATCCTAAGAGGATCCCATGAACCAAAATCTATATTGCGACATCAGATTTTTTATGAAACTCACCCAATTTTGTAAGAGGGAAAAAGTGACACCCATACAATATATTTATCTTTTGCTATGGATACTGATTTCTGGAGTGCAGATTCTGTGTGACATTTTCCCACAACTTAATGTTTTGCAGATTTTTGGAGTTAAAATTTCCATCAGCCTCATTAAGTATGACCACCACATTATGGGGATTAATAGTAATTATGATTTCAAAAGCTAGGGTAAGAAAGCCTACATCTTTGTATTATGTTTTAATTTTCAAATACATTCCCTCCAGTGGGAAATATTTGTAAGTGCCTTTGAAAATTCTCCATAGAAATCACATGTGCTGGTTAGTTGGTTTTAGATGGAATTTTCGTCCATTTTTTGAAATAGCTGACATTTTAAAACATACGCCTTTTTCAAAGAATGCCTTAATAGGAAGATCTCTACTCCTAACTCATCCCAGTTAAATTTCTCTTAAGTTTAAGGATAGATGTTTTCCAATAGGGGCTTTGTAAAAGGACCTTATCCAAAGAAATGCAGGGTGGAGTCACAGAAACATACATTTCTAAAGTTCCTTAGTTAGTAGGCATCTAGTACGTTTCCCAATCTTGGCAATTTCCAACTGTGTGGACTTCAGATCCCAGAATTCCACAGCCAATATGACCCTCATTGAGAATTCTTGAAATTGATTGACATACTTGGAAGTTGCCATTCCAGTAGGTTTGGTTCAAGTCAGAAAAGCCATCACTGAAACACCTTTGTTATTTCTATAGAAAACCTAATAGCTGGAAGAATAATGAGGATTTAGTTCTTAATTTTTACACAATTATATTGCAAATGTCAAATATTGATCAAATATCATGCTAAACCTGGGATTTTTACACAATATGGTAAATCATATGGTTTCTTTGGTGGTGATGTGAAGTCCTGTGTGAAGTTGGCCACCGTGCTCTGTAAATATAGTAATTCAAAATGGAATTTGACTTGACTGACTTTTTCTCAGGACAAAATTCCCTTAGGAACGAATAAACATTCTGACCCTACTAGAGTGGGATTGGGGAAGCAAAGGGGTGAAGGGAAGCAGGAAATACCATGAGATTCCATAAGGGAAGAATTTGAGATAAGCTTAAACTACATTGCCTTTATGGTCCAGGCATCTGTTGCAACATTTATCATTCCTTGAATATCAAGTATAAGTGAAAAGGCAAAAACTATTTTTTTTCTTGTTTTATATCTTGCATCAGTTGAAGAAGTTAAAGGAAAACTGTCTGTTCCAATTCTACATGAATAGTTAGATCAAGATTTAATGTCCAGAGAAGAATTTTGGTAGAAAATAGCCAAATTTGACTGACAGTTTCATGAATCACACCTAACTTTCCACTTCAGACGAATCTTAGTTTAATAGGAAAATCAATGGGGAGATGAAGGAAAGTTAGAGACAAGTTATCTGTCTATAACTCTGGGACACTGACCACTGCAATTTATGATCATGAATCCTGGGAACTAGCTAATTACTGCATCAAAGGATTATCCCTGGAAGGCTGCATTGTTTCTCTGAGGGGAAAAGCCTTAAGTATCCCTATGATATATCCAGGATATGAGGTGCCTATGATAGTGACACAAGCAGAAACATTCCAGAGTACAAAATCTTGTTTAGATGGTGAAAGAATTTTGTGTTCTCAAAAAACAATTACAGTATGGTTTTGAATGTTGGGGGGAAATTTACATTTCCAATTAGAAGTTTCCCAATTCCACACAATAAGTAACAGCTGTTCAATTGCTCCATTATAAACAGATACCCAGAATGAAACACAAATATAAGACCTCAAAAACAGCTCACTGGGATAATTTTATAACTTCTCGTTACTCACTGCAGACTTGCTTCATTGTGGTTTGCTCAATATGTTACAAGTAGACGGCCTCATAGAAGGGATTATAACAAAATAAAACAAACTGTGTTAAAGTTTAGGGTGTTGAATGAACTTCCCATTTCAAAGCATTCAGGGGCCAAAATTCATAAGTGAATTTTCTTTTATCCCAATTTGATTTTTTCATCTTGTCTACTTCAGTATTTCTCAAGCTAAATTAGAAAAATTGTATTTATGCAACTAAATGAGATGGTGCAGTTCATATTATGGTGATAATGGCCATCTGACATTCTGCAGCACTCTACGAGTGCTGGGACCATTTTTCCCAAATTTGGGGATCCTGAAAGTTGTAGTCCTCACTACAACTAGAGGGATTGGGAGAGGGATGTTTCACTGATCACTTCTGACAAGAAACACACAATATGCTCAGTTTAGCCGAATTATCAATGAATGCACAGCTAGCTTAAAAAGCAATTCTTTGAGGCTCCATCTAAAGTTTTTAACAATGCTAAGTGAAGTTAATATAGTGGGATTTACTTT